TATATATATATATATATATATATATATGGGGTAGCAGATAAAGAGATGAACCTAATGTATGAGATTTTTGTCAACATGGAATTTGGAACAATCAATATACTTAATTTTATTACTATAAATTAAGAATAACCTGTGATCCTATGAACCTCTGATCTCTTGGATTCTAATTACTTTCTTGACCACCTTGTCCAACAAAGTTACAGTGTCATTTGGAATTCCTGACACATCTATCATTGCCACAGTCAAAGCTCAGTATGAGAGCCCAATCACATCCTTTAATGTACCAGCAAAAGCAAATGTTCTTAGTAGTTAGTATGGTATCTTCAACTAAAAAAGAGCTTCCTTCCTCCATGAATAATGGCATTGAAGGACCCACTATCATGTGAGTCTTTTGATGAGCAATGTATTAATACATACTGTAGACAACCGCTAGAGAAGACATAAGACCAAGTCAAAGAGCTTCCCTGATGTTGTAATAAAGTGGTCAAAGCCTGCAAATTTGATTCTCCAAGTCAGCTTGGATAAATGTGATCACTGGCAATCACTGGTATATGGTTTGGTGACAACATTGCTTTAAGTGGGGACTTGTGTACTCCGGAAGATACAGGGAAAGACATGATTTTTATGTTGGTAAGCAAACTCATATCCATGATTTGATTATTATGTTGAAGGAGCCGCTATTTCTTTCATTAGATTCTGCTTTCATTATTTCCACTGTTCTTCGTTATTTTCATTAATCCTTTGCAAAAACAAAATATTTGAAGAAGAGAAGAATCAAGGGTTTTTAATCTTGGAAAGAGTCCTCTCTTTTTTAACGCCAGAACTGTCCAAAGCTTACATTGACCGAAGCCTTGTGCATTTTGACTGTCCTTTTGCTCACGTTTAGTGCTCGATGTAGGAGTTCTAGTTGGAATTGGGTAAGGCGCCATTTAACACTTTCAATCTCACAACTCAAATGTCAAGGCAGATACTAATGCATGTATAATGAATGAATTGACATCATTGATCAAATGAAGCACTCTGCAATAGCAAGACAGAATTTCTGCAGTCCCTTTTTGAAGGCTTTTTTTTATAAGGCTGAAGGAAGCAGCTACCATCAATCAGAGAATTTCTGCAGCTGCAGAGATGACCAGAAAAAATATCAACACTCACCACCAGAAAATATTGTTATCAATAATCAAAACATGGTGCAGTTGTTTTCAAAATTAAGAGCATCAGACTAGAGATGGTCAATGACACTTTTAAGACTCCTCACACCAGGCAATATGTTATCAAACCATGTTATAAAAAAAATTGCTATGAATAATCAAACCATGGTGTGATAGTTTTGAAAATCAATGTCAAGTTCCTCATGCATCAAATCAAGATGATCAATGAAACATTTAAGACTCGTCACCGGGCAATATGTTGCAGAGGCATCGGTAAATTTGCAAACATGGATCAACCAACAAAACTGCACCTTTCAAATTCTAGAAACCATTACTTCTGATGTAGCTTTGTTCCTAGAATGCAGCAACACATTTTTCCTTAAAGACCCTGGTTAACCTGTCCATGTAACTAGAGGGGAAGAGAAACCAAAATGCACTGCTCTGTTAGAGCTGTTATATGAATGAACAACCAAGTAATCACTTATCCTGAAGATACAGGCAAAAAATTAGTACATGAAGGTGAAAAAAAAAGAGGTTTCAATGGCTTAGATAAGTAGCACAAGTATCTGTCAGGTGATACCTAAAAAGAAAAGATTCTTATGAATGAATATTAATATCTAATAAATAAACATATGTTCAGAAATCACGGGGGCATCTGGAGAATCATTCTTATATAAGCATAAACGACTACTTAATACCAATAGTGCGATAGTGATGTAAGTCAATAATATGCTATAGAGCATACATTTTACATTGCAAAAGTACCAGTAGAAAATCATACTGACATAGACTGTGAACAAGAATCAACATTTTACTGTAGTAATCAATGAGCAGACGAGCTTCTCTAACATGTAGATCCAACACAATTTATCTTCAAAGCAAACTTCATTCTTTTTTTTATTTACAAGCTACCCATATATCCAGCAAATGAATTAGATTTCAAAAACTTCTTCACTAAGAGGAGCAAAATAGCAACCACCAACCAGATGGCAGCCCAAGTGAGAAAACGATCATCCAAGGGCTTCTGAACTCTAGCAGCAGGCCTCTGGTGCAGCTCACGCACCTCAACCGCTGGCAACCTTAAACTTGCTCCAGCACTTATGCCAACCCTTAGCGGCCCTTCAGCTGCATTGACACGAACCTCATGCCCATCTTCTATGGCTCTCTGATCTGATTCCTGGTTTGGAAGATCCTCAGCAGCTGTAATAGCATCCAAATTAGCAGTGACTTGATCTTCAGTTACCAAATTATCTGTAGGTTCAGTGGTTGGAGTTGGTGGAAGTTGAGGCACAGGGGGAGCTTTACTCAGCATGTACTGATGAATCTGGTTCAGCAATACTTTGCACATCAGGCATGTACATCTGATAACTACAAAATGATAGAATCTAAAATGGAGGCAAATTGAACCTCATCGATTAACTTTTGTCTCTCTGGGTTGCCATATCTAGGAGCTGCTTCACGGGACTTGATGGCAAGCTCATGCCTCACTTCTTTCTTGTAATCCAAAGAACCCAAAGCTCCATTGGGATTAGTTGACATAAACGCAATTAGGGCAACTAATGCTGTTCGCACTGGAAACAAGATGAAAAAATGTTGTAGCCTTATCAATTACTCTATAGATATATTCCACTTATGGAATTTTACATTGATGAAATATTATACTTACAAAAGGCACATCATATAAGTTATTACAAAAGATCTTGGAACTTTCTATCATAGCAGTACTAATTATGGAATTCAAGCTAACTTATTCCACAAGGAATCAATCTAGATATAGCTCTTAAAGTTATGAGTATTGGCCTGCCAAAAATTCTTTTGTCAAAGTAAATGAACTGGAAAGGTTGGAAGTTCCAGAAGCATAATCTAGGAGCTCATATTGTATCAAGCTGCACTTTTTTTTTGTTAATTCTACACTCATCGGTTACGTGAAAAGACATACACAAAACTCAGATAGCAGACCAGTTAGTGGACAATGCTAAAATAGAAATGACATTAGGTATAACTTTGGCATATTGCAAACATATAAACACTGCTAGAGAGGCCACTGGTCCAAAACCAATACCATCAGAAACAAAGAGGGAGAAAAGGACCAGACTAGAACAAGAAGAATAAACCACATACCGCTCCATGATGGTTGCCAATGTTCAGGATGATAATTTGATATGCTTAAGCAGATCTTGGTCTGTGTTTCAAAACGACCATTTGGCTGAATAACAATTCAAATTTAAAGGATCATTGTTAGTAAGATACCAAGAAAACTCTATTTGATGAGTTTTGAAGAATTTGAAAGGAAAATAGGTGATTACGCTCAAAAACATAAAGGAAGGGGGCTTAAGTGGGTATTCAGCAGGCAATTGGATCCGTCCGTGATAGATTCCTCCTTCAAATTCAGTATCCTGAGGCCCTCGAATGGCAAACTGCCACTCGAAAATATTTTCCTGGTTAACATGAGAGATGTCATTTGAAAAGTTGCACCATATGCATTCAGCAGTCATGAAAAAATTTAACTAATGAAACTATACCTTCCTAACGAACATTTTTGTTTTCGTTAATTGCTCTAGATGAACATAATAATTCAGATCTTACTGCAGAAAATTCTCAAAAGAATACGCCCCTATTCAACCTTCCAAAGCATATCATATAAAATGTAGAACAATAGATGCAAATATCTATAAAATAAAAACGTGCCAGAAGAGACTCTAATAGACTTGAAACACAAATCCAAAGTAGTCTAAGAACAATGAGAAATTTCTTAAAGGCTTCCCCTCTATAAATATTCAATTTAATTACAACACACCTTAAAACCAATATACCCTAATTTTCAATCCATGCATTGTAGGAAACTAATCCACCTGTCCATCAACCAACGTCGAATTCGGAAACTATGCATCGCCATCTCACCGTCTCCGAACAAGAACCGATTTTCCAAATAAGAAAGCCGATTATGACACCCCAAGAGTCGGTTCACAACCCAACGAAAACGAGGATGAATAATCGCACAAAATAATGGGCCGTTGGATCTAGGGTTTTTGGAACATATCGATTACCTCGAGAGGAAGACTCATGAAGTCGTCGGAGGGGTTGGACTGCATCTCCTTCACCTCCTGGAGGATCCGCTTCACCGCCGGGTTCCTCCGGTTGTACCGCTCCTCCGCCATGGCCACAGGCTGTCGATTAGCCCCCGCCGTTACTTTCTCAACCGAGGAGCGGGAATCAGATTCCACAACGAGAACGAGAAGGGGGAAGAAGGGGGCAGAGGCGAGCTATCGCCAGAACGGTAGATAATATTCCCCCCGCCGCTACTTTCTCAACCGGGCAGCGGGAATCAGATTCCACACCGAGAACGAGAAGGGGGAAGAAGGGGGCAGGGGCGAGCTATCGCCAGAAGGGTAGATAATATTCCAAAGCTTCCTTAATTAATTGGATTTAATTAAGAAAATATTATATGGAAGACTACGCGGAATGATGTGTTTTCCATGGGGACCACGTGGAGACAAGCAATCGAGACACGTGTCTTATAGTGCTTCGAAGATTGATTGGTATGTGGCGAGGAAACCACCAACAAACGTTGAAGACGTATCGGGTTTCGTAACGTGGCGTGTTTGCACATTTCTGTTATATTCCAAACGGCAACGGGCTTCGAATAAACTCGATCGACGCCTCTTCGCCTGTGGGGGTGTGCGAAACCGATCGCTGGTGCGGCGAAGGTGATATCAGGATCTCACAAGGTTTATCTTTTCCGCCTTTTCCCTTCTTTGGATTTGTGAAATTAGGTTTCAATCAGTAAGGATCTCGATCTGTTGCACCCGCCGCTCGATTGTGTCGTTTGAAGATCTGAGGGGGGTTTGCCCCAATTTGTTCTCCAAATCCTGAGATGGGTAAAACGATTTTTGTTTGGTTTTGTAAAAGCAGATGATGAATTTGTAGATACTGCTGGTTAACGATTTTGTTAGGGATGAAAGATTTAGGTTATTGGGTGATTTGGGGTTGACTAACGAACAGTGGCGGTATCGTTGTTGATATCGCGTTGCACGAATGGAAATCGTGGGGGGGGTCTACGTATTGTTGTTTCCAATATATTTGGATGTCAGTGATGTCAGTCGTGTCCCAAAAAATAAAAGACAAAGAATTTGGACACGGAAAAGGCCTACTTGTAGCGAGTTTATATGCTATGTTCGTTTGTTAAGATCTAAGCGAGGCTTGTGTATCAGATTGTATGATGATGGTTAAAGTTTACAGAATTTCATGAGGATAAATCTCAGGGAGTTAAGCGAGAAAAGGTCTTCTATTGGGTTTGTATGATGGAGGTTTTTATCTTGAGTGAAAAAGAATAGAGAATTTTTTTCTTCAATTGACGGAATTTTGGTGCAGGAGTAGCTCAACTAATTTCAGAGTTTGGTTCAGATAAAATTCTGAAAAAGGGCAGGTATACTGATTAAAAGACCATCTGAAATCCTAAGTTTAGTGGTATAACTTGAAATTAGTCTAAGCTGTACGTGCTGTGATATAATTCTCCAACCTACTTCTCTATTTTGGCTACTTTTAAATGATTGAATCATTTATGCTCTGCGTTCTAATGAGTCGTTTTGGAAAGTTGAAATTTCTTATTGACATTATGCTTGTCATTTGCAGGCTACCAGAGGTAGTAGCTTTAACTTTTGGTACTAAATTTGGTGCATAAGAGTGAGAACGTAGTTCATTTTTACTGATGCAGGCATTTGAAAAACTTTATGATTTGGAATTTTTTCTGTTCTTTAAGATAGTCTATACCATATGTTTCCTTTGCACCTGATTTCTTTTTCCACTTCTGTTAATCTATTTGTGTTGTTCTACAGTTCGTTTAGCATTCTTCCTTGGGAATGCATTGTCAACGCTTAACTTCTTCCTTTCACATGATTTTTTTAAAACATATTTTTCTCTTGGGCCTTGGTGCGCTATAAGCAAGATCACTCTTTTGTGACCTGGGTGACTAATGTTTGAGTCACTAAAATGTGTATGTTTTTGGACTAAGACCTTATGAAGGCTTTTATTAGCCTACCCAACAAATGGGCTTCTGTTTCTATTTATTTTTTGTGTTTTTTAGTTTACCATGTGTTTCCTTTTAAAAAAGAGTGGCTGACAAACTACCCAAGGACTTTACATCTGTCCTCAAAGGTCTGTTATTTATGACAAAGTCATCTATCGGTGGGCCTCATTTCCTCTCTTTCCATCTTCTCTCTTTCTCTTTTTTTCTCTCTTCTCCCTCTCTACTGTTTTCTGTTCCTTTTATCCTCCTCTCCTCCCTTTCTCCTCTCCATCTATTTATCTTCTTGTTCCTGTGGTTGATTAATCAGCTGTTTCAATTCTATTTTGAATCATCCAAAAAAATGCACAGTGAGCTGTCTGTTTTTTTTTTTCACATGTTTTAAAAGCGGAGGGGATCAGGCAACCTTTTAAGCTGAGGCATTTACTCACTTGTTTGTGTCAGGATAATATGCTATAAGTTAGTTGAAATGTTAAATGATCAAAATGAAGTATTGTGACCAAATATGATTTATTCATAGAATGGGTAAAATTAAGCTCCAAAACTTTGTTTAAGTGTTCTTAGATGCCTACAAATGATATGTTTGTTATATCTCAATTACAATGAAAAAGGTTGAAAGCAAACATGTGTGGAGATATTTGAAAGTGTGGGAGTTGGCTGTGATCTGTTGGTTTTCGTTGCTTTTGGGGACAAAAATTGGTGTCCTAAAGCATAGGACTTAAGTCTTATAAATACGATATTTCCTTCTTTTATAAGGTGTCCTATTAGTGAGAGGTTCTAGTATTCAGAAAAGGGACATCTGTGATATCTGCAAATGTAGTTCGAAGAACTTGGTTCAGTTGATTTTTTATGTTAATAGGTGCCATGCAAATTTTCTATAACGTCTAGCTTCATGAATATTATTTGACATGCTTTTACTTTTGAGACATAGTTAATGAGGTTTGGGATTCATGCCCTCTGAGATTCATCAATTCTTCTTTGACACTGAAATCTGAACATGTGAACCAAATTAGATTCATCAATTCTTCCTCGATATCTCTTATCTTGCAAGTCGAATGGCATATTCATCTTTGAAGCTGGGTATGATGATTAATGCAAGAGTCTTACTCAATTTAGCTTTTTCACAGCATGTGAAAATTGAGACAGGATGCTATTTAAATTTCTGAAATTCACATTTCCATTGTTGGTAGTTCTGTCGTAATATGCAAACAGTCACTACCATGTAATATACTTGTCATATATTACGGGTCATTGAGGGTGGGCCTTGGTACAACGGTAAAGATGTTTCTTTGCAATCTGGGAGATCAGGATTTGAGTCATGGAAACAGCCTCTTTTAAAGGTAAGGCTATGTGCATTGACCCTTCTCAGATCCTGCATTGGTGGGAGCCTCGTGCACTGGGTACGACCTTTTTATTCTTAAAATATATTGTGGGTCATTGTAGTTTCACAATTTTAGCTTGTCATTGTGTTCTCATTAACACTTTCACATGACCTCTTGATGACCATCTGCTTCCTGTTCAACTCTCCTGTACCAATGTGCTAATTTATACTTCTTTTATTGAAAATAAAATTCCCTGTCTTGCTTACATTGGGTGTTCATTTTTAACAGGTTAATCTTTACTGGATATTGTCTTTGTTATAAAAGCTAATTTCAAGATACTTGACATTGATATTGTATGTCTTCTATTAGACTTTGCCTAAGTTGAGTAGATCTATCTGTTCTCGGTTTGTTATGCTTCGATTTAGAAAGAAAAAGCAGATAAGTACAGAGAGTACTTTCTAGTTTGCCTAACACTTATTCTTCTGTCCAGCACATTCTAGTTTGTTGTTTGCTAAAGATTGATGGCTGCTCATAAAATTGCACATGCTACCCTCAAGGGTCCTAGTGTTGTCAAGGAGATCTGCATTGGCCTTACACTGGGATTATTCGCTGGTGGTCTGTGGAAGATGTACCACTGGAATGAGCAGAGGAGAACAAGAGCTTTTTATGACATGCTAGAGAAGGGTGAAATTAGTGTTGTTGTTGCAGAAGAATAATCATCCTAGTCTCATTCCTTCAGATATAAATGGAGACCTGCATTCTCATCCTGGAAGCTCAAGTACATTTTCAGATCAAATTTGCAGCTTTTTACTGCTGGATGCAAAATAAGTTTGGATGATTGTTGAGACCTACTACAATGCGGTATGGACTAAATCCTTTTTCCATTTAATCATTTCCTTTCTTTAAAACACTTTGAACTTTTACAAATTGCTATGTAGATTGCAAAAAATTAATTCTCTTATAATAATTTTTTATGGGTAGCAATGACAGTTTCTTCGAGGCAAAAAGCATTAATTTGTTGAAGTAATTGTTAGATTTCTTTAGTAATGCTACCTTTCATCTGGATGAATAGGCTCACCAAACTCATCAAGTTCTCCTTTAAAAGATCTTTATGTCTTTTACACAATTTTCCCCTAAATTTCAACGGGCAGATGTGCTATAAATCGACCAATGTCCATCTTCGATATTTGGAAACAAAAAGGGTGAACCTTTGACTAGGCAAATCGAAAAACTGTGGTCTTTTTACATTGTATCGATCCATACGAATCCATCTATTGCTATTGCTGTGTCAGTTATAATAATTTTGGTATCTCTACAACGATACTTTTTATTTACATTATAAATAGTATAGGAATCAACTTTTTCATATGTTCTTCGTACCTATTTGAAATATGCTTTGTAAGGTAGTTTGAATTGAATTTTGAGTGGGTTTTATTATTTTTTAATAAACTTATAATGTTTTTAATAGTTTTCGTAGAGGCACAAAAATTATAATCCTATTTAAAAATATTATAATTAACATAATGAAGTCCTTAAATGATGAAAGTTTCTTTATATATCATATCTGAAACATTAAAGGACAGAAAAATATAAAAAATAGAACCTTAGAAAAGAAAATAAAACTAATTTTCTAAAAAAAATAGTTAATGTCCTAATTCTCAAAAAATTTCACAGTTTTTTTAATTATGATATTACCTTTATTGACCATTGCCTCCGTCCAGCATCGTCGCATGCGGCCTGCGAAACCCGCCGCTTCGGCCGCAGGTGAGGAGAGCGGGAAGCCGTTCCCTCCGACATCCCCGCCAGGTTGTACCTGCGTAACGTGTATTCTACTGCTTTCACGTTAAGTCTTGAAACTTTCAGATCCATTAAAGTAAACCCAGAGTGTATACGGCATGATGGAGGAGACATGAAAACGATGTCTACAATTGCTTTATACTGTGACTGATTGGATTGCTCTTCACAGGCTCTACAAGTTCCCAGAGCTACCAGCAGCTATTGTGGACTTCGATGAAGGTGCATGCATTAACCATCTTAAACAATCCAAGAAGCTAATCTAGGAGATGCTGGTGAGTCAAAATCTGCTATCACTGTTGTAGGGGTTGAAATTGTTTGTTCTTCGTGTTCCATTAATATCCTGATATCAAGTGCTGTAACACCTAAATTAGCCTAGGAAGAAAGGTGCTATGAATCTGAAACAAAACTTTCTGCAGTCGAGTCACGTCTGCAACTATTGACATATGGCACTCGAGATTTGAAGACAGCCATGGGCCACCTATCATGCGTTATCTAAGACAAATCTATTTCGGATGCTGTGTCGAGGTGAACAAGTCTACACGTCTTCCCTGAGGAGAACCAGGTCTACATGCAAGCTTGAGTGATATGTCCAAGAGCATCACTTTCACAAATGATGTGTCGAAACATGCTTCACTCCGTGAACAGCAACTAAATATTCCTGATGATGACCTGCAGAAACACAAATCTTGTTCGTGCCGGATATGAGATGCTTTTTAACTCTTACTAATTAACACACCTGTGATCATAATCTTCAGCAAGTCGACACAGTACTCTACCGATGGTAGAGGGAGAAGGAGTGCAGTGGGATGAGAACAAAAAGAAGGGGGAGGAGAAAAGAGGGGTCGCCATCGTGCGTCGCCGAGGGAGAGTCGAGCGGTGGCCACCACCACCACCTTCACCGCCACCTGAGCTCAGGAAAAGGGTCGTAGGTTTTTCTGGTACCCAAATAAGTGCATTGAAGCGTTGACCGCTGTCAGCTGGGGGCGAGTGGCGATGAGCGCTCCTCTCTGTTCTTTGCAGACTCGCTCTCAGGTGGCGTCCGTCCTTGCCCACAGGCTTGGGGAGAGAGACGATGAAGGGAAAGGAGAAATGATGGCAGCTTTCCAGGGATTCCAGCAGTTCCATCCTTGTACGTGGTGTGAAGTATGAACCGAAAGCGATTCCGGCTTGTTCATACTAGTTTGGACAGTCAGACACTCTGCCATGGTTGCTGCTGCTGCTGCTGCTGCAGCTGCAGGGACGACCGCCACAGCCCAAGATCAAGTTATCTTTAAATTTGATGATGAAGCCCATCATGTCAGCTCGAGCCGCCTGCATGACAAAAGAGCCGTCAATTACCAAAGTAAAATCATACTGATCCTATAAGAACAGTACATCTCCTACAGTTGCTTACATCCGATGTCCCTCAGATCTGTCCCTATGCTTACAGTAGTCACTCACGTGGAACCAAACCTTGTAGAAAAGTTGGTTTGACCTAACTGTTGTCATACTTAGCCACAACGACCTAACTGTGGCTCACCCAAAACACCCATAGCCTGATAGTTATTTTGTTCAGGTGTTGTTGGTCTTCCAAAAGTCATGTATCACTGAGAATCCATATAATAAAAAAAACATTGAATTATTATTGAATCAAAAATAAAAATCTATAAGCTTAAAGGGAATCGATCTTCGAACACATGACAAATAAAAATAAGAGTAGAGTTGAGAGTAAAATAAATGGATAGTTTGTTCCAATTAAACTTCCAACTTCTAGCTAGACCAATTCTTCTCTTCATCACACTGTTAGACAGTCAAAGCATTATATACAACTTCAACAGTCAGTGCCCCTTTTGGGTTCTCAGTCAAATATCATTTATCATCACAGCGGGTGATGCATGCATGCATGCAAATATATATATATACCTATCACACATGCCATCGGCGTTCGACCAAAGATCAAAACAAATATGTTTCATATTCCAACTGTCGTCATCAGAGATCAAATCACGTACTTTGGAAACATGAAATACCACCCTCCATGTTCACAGAAGTGGGTCAACAATTCAAGGGGATGTTACTATTCCAGGGGTCATGCCATTATCAATGGTAATCATAAAACCTATCCTGATATCCCTTTAACAGGTTATGGGAAGTTTTAATGGAACAAGAAGGTCTCACACATTTGGGTGGAGTAAGTCATATTTTGCCACCAACACTTTTTTTTTTTTGACTCACATGCTAACTGAGAAGAGGAAGAAGTATTTTGACACAAATAAATCTCTTAATCGGGGATAAATCTTGATGCCCAAACCCTTCCTCCTCTCTGTCCTAATTATATGAAATCTTTTAGCTCGATATTATCATCCCACATGATGTCATCAACAAGTTTGGATATTTTATTTAGAATTTTTTTTAGAAACCAAACTATCGAGAGCATTCGGTCATATTTAATTCATAATGGATTGAAACCTCTCGGAAAGACGATCATTGACTTTTTTTTGTTAGCATAAAATCTAGAAAAAAATTTTATATTAAGATTGAAATCAAATAAATTAGACATAATAATATTAAGATTTATATATTTTATTATTGTTCAGAAAAATATTAAGATTTGTAGGTGCATTATCGTCAGATCTATATCAATTTGTAAAGAGAATTAGATTATTTTGTTCTCTTCCTATCTAAGTGATGATTAGAAAAAAGGGTTGAGAGGGAGACTATAGTCTTTAGGTCCTAGAGGTTCTGTCTATTTATAAGTCAAAGTAGAGGGTCTAGAATAAATTATTAGAAAATTTTCTCACATCGATTATCTCCTAAGGAATCATATTTTAACATAAATTTATTTTCTATTAACCAATAACTATAATTAAAATCCAATCGTATATATAATATATCTTATCTAATTAAATAGGATAATATAATCTAATATTCTTAACCCCTAATATATCACTAACCTTAAATACCTTAAAAGATTTGAAGATATTGATCCCAAGGTTAACAATACCTTAAAAGATCTTCTATGTGCCACTGATGTGCATGCGAATACAAATATCTTTTGATTAAATTGGAGATAAATAATGAATAGAAAACCAAGCAGAAAGTTTCAACTAAGTTCGATCGCAATCAAACTTCGACACGAATTCCGTAGTCATTGCTTCCGTACAACTACACATCTAAATGCTAAGCTTAAGCATTTGAGTGCTGACCTCAAATTCTTGCTGGCCTCTTATCATTTGTTTCCTTCAACCTTCGTAGGGTACGCAATAGGAAGACGAGTTGTATCAGTTTGCATGTCGGGCAAGTCGCAGTGGCATCGAATGTCACATCATCAATTTAATTTCAGACATCACTAAAAATCAATGTTTGTTAAATCAATTAATATTGTCAAATCATGTACGAAGGCAATATAAACAAAATATGCTCTTTAACTCCAATATATCAAAAAATCATCCATCCATCTTAACTATTTCTTATAATTATTCTTTCAAATTTTGAATTTTATGTGTTAAATCAAAAAATTAACTAAGTTTTTGTCTCCGTGACTTATTATGAAATATTTAAGCTATAATATAATATAACATAATATATATTATGAAAAATTGAATAACGATAAGTTTGAATAACATAAATCGACCTCAAAATGGATATAAATTCTATCAAAAAAATATTTAATCTTCTTCGTCGTGAGCCAAAGTCACTATTTGCAATATAACTATCTGTCTTAGTTCATCTCTTTTTGATATTTAAAATATTAATCGTATTTTTCACTAAATATATAATTAATATCTTTTAATCGTTCAAGAAGATGAAATGAAGAGTTTTCTACAATTTTGGCCCGATTTGAAGCCTTCAGGAACAGCTTGTGCATGTTTCTGATACAGGGCCTGAATTATGTTCCAAGCTGTGATCTTAGTTATCTCAAGTTTCATGGTAGAACATGCGTTGCATTACTCCAATAATTAGGTAAACAGCAGGTTTCAGACGGCCGGACGTTGAGCAGTGAAGGGGACTGGCGTTCTTCTCCTCCTCTGGTCTGCTTTAAGCCTTTACCTCGATTAGAGCACAGAAAGTACTGCTGTGGGAACAAGCGAACTCTACTTCCAGGTGAGCTTGAGATTATAATAAGTCCAGGAAGGTAAAACCCCTGTCTTCCCCCCTAAAAACCCGCGTCCTCGCTCGGGTTCTGCTACTCCCGGTGCACAAGTTATCATGGAAGCCAACGCTTTGGCTTCTCGCTTCGTCCACCACTTACTTCTCTGTGTCTCTGTTTCATGCACACGCGCGCGAGGGAGGAGGGTTTCTACAGAAAGGCAGTCGAGTGATGGAAGCATTGCTCGAGACAAAGAAGTCCTGTTCCTGAGAAGGTGTCGATGACGGTGTCACCCGTTCATCCATGCATCATGGTGTCGAAGGAACCTATTAAGGAGCTTTCGGTGATCTGTCGCAGGAACTGCTCGAGCAAGGGGAGCGTGGTAATGGCGGTGGAGGGGAGAGGAGGGGGGGGGGGGGGGGAAGAAAAGCGCCGAGAGAAGCAGAAGAGAACAGCAACGAAAAGTAAGGTACAGTGGCCGGCTTCGCATGTGGGCCGACGCTGTTCCCCATGAGAGCCACCCGGGCCGTCCGATCAGGCCGACGCCGTCTCATGGCCCGACGCGTGGCTGATCATGACGTCCCCGTTGATGATGATGGGACTGCTATAAATACGGCGGCCCCTTCTCCTTCCCCATCCTCTCGGTCTCTTCCCTTTTGCTCACTGTTCCTTCTGCTGTGGTTGCCATAAAGGACCCTTCTTCCACGTGCGCCACCTCCCTCTGCTCCTCTTCCTCTCTCTCTTCCTCACAATCCAACTATACTTCTCTCGTTCATTTATTTACCATTTATTTTAGTTAAAACAACTGATTATTCTTTTCTTTCAAGCCAAAGAGAACAGAAAAGGTAGGAGATGGGATTACTTCTTCCGTGCTGCTGTGCTTCTTACTTTGTTCTTCCTGCTCTCAGTGGAGGCAAATGGAAGCTGCGGTTCGCTGTCTCTAAAAGAGGAGTTGCTCCAATTTTTAGCATCAATCTGCCATATTTAGCACCTCCGGGCTTCCCGATTCCTCCATCTCCGTCTGCTATTTCTATCGTTATCTTTCCGTTTAGTAAGCAAACGCTTTCTCTCCCGGTCTTATGCATGTCTGGTTCTCTTTTGTTCCAACTCATTCCTTCTTGTTCTTTTGTTTACCTGCTAAGCTTAACGCAACATGTCTGTGAAGCAAGGAGGAGATGGAAGATTTGTATAGCATACATCCCGGGATCCTGCGGGGAGGAGACACGCCGGCCGTAGGGTCGGCGTCCAGCTGCCAAGGGAGCAGCGACGCGTCGGAGGTGACCGGAAGCAGCGGCGGCGTGTCGGATCTGACGGATCTGATTAAAGCTCAGATAGCTAACCATCCTCGATATCCGACTCTTCTATCCGCCTACATCGAGTGCCGAAAGGTATATACGTATATAGAACAGTAATGTAAAGATAACAAGGAATCTAAGAGCTGTTCAGCGTGTGATGTGTCTGTTTTGTACATGAAGGTGGGGGCGCCGCCGGAGGTGGCGACGCTTTTGGAAGAGATCGGGAAGGAGAGTTACTCGAGCGTGGGAGGTGGGGAGATTGGGGCGGATCCGGAGCTCGACGAGTTCATGGTAACGGCAGAGGACTCGGAGAAGCTGCTACGACCTCTTCCTTTCTCTCATTGCTGCTGCTTCGTTTCATTGATTAGCAGTGGATCTTATTGCCTTGTTCCATGCTAATTAATTTTTGAGGTCTCGTACGATCGAGGAATGTTGTTGTGATCTAAGCCTTGATTGCAGGAATCATACTGCCATGTCTTGGTCCGCTACAAGGAGGAGCTCTTGAAACCCTTTGACGAGGCTGCGTCGTTTCTCAACCACATCGAGATGCAGCTCACCGATCTATGCAAAGGGCCGTCCACCGCTCCCACAGCCTCCGCTGCCACCGGGAACTCGCCTTCTGGTAACTGTTGATCATTGCCTAACCTATGTGTAAAAGGTGAAGAAGAGGGATATGGTGGAGTGTTAGGGTTGGGGTAGTGAGCAGTCAAATCGTGTCCATGCAAATGGGGTGCAGATGTGTCAGAATAGGTGGTGGCGTAGGGATTGGTCCAACGTTGTAGGTCTTCCTGCTCTTGGCTTCTCTATCTTGAAGGGTCGTGAAGGAGTTGTCTGATCAATCTCCTATTTGGAAAAGAAGAATCTGTCTCTCTTATTAAAATACTATGGTACGGCTTACGATTCCTTTCCTCCAACTTAAGCCAAAGATTAGGGTTCATCTTAGGATAGTTGACCTTAGGTTTTTGTAGGTTCTGTCCTTATCTCTCTCTCTCTCTCTCTAAGCGTCTGAAGGTTTAGGAGATGCTGTTGAAGAATGTGTAACAGCGTTCTAGGAAGATTTTGCTTGGAAAGCTGCTGCAATTAACATCAGTGCAGCAGTGTTCGAAGAAGACTTCAAGGGCCTCTTTCATTTCTTCAGGATTGTTTCCTCTCTATTTTATGCTATAATTGAAGATTCTTTAACCTTAATGCTCGCTAATCTGGAAATAGGTGACCTTGGAGTTGTCCACTGTTTATATTTCTAAGGGAGAAGCTAGGGTTCTAGCCAGATTTTGTTTGGGGAATATGTGTAGATTTTGTGTTTGCCTAATCTGCGATAAGAATTGGGTTTTCTTGATCCAAGCTTAGCTTCATAGTCATGTGGTGTTAATTCAGTTGCGGTATTCAGATTAAATGGCTCTTTTGATGTTTGATAAAGGGATGGAGAATGATGGTACTAGAAGATGACTCTGAATGGTTAGATGGATCGAACTTTTCCCCCCGAAAATGACTCGAGAATGTTGATCACATTAACGACGTTGTTGATGAGGGTTACTGGAAGATCCTGGTCATGTAGGCGCACCGTCGTTTGGATGTTGAACTGTCGATAGCATTTTATCTCAACATTCTTCAGATTATTATGATGATAACTTATTGTAATGCTTCTTTAGTAGACTAGCTGAACTGTGGCTTCTGTGGATAAAACTGCCAATCTGTTTGTTGACATTTTTAGTGTTTTTATTGAGAAGATTTTGTGGACTGTCTTACTGCACTTCATGTTGTTTCTCGATTGATATCTGATCGATGGGTAAGTGTATGATTCACACACCTGTCTTGTGCTAGTGATGCTCACACAGAATCAGCCATTTAGAATACTACTACTTTTGGGACACTTAATTCAGTTTTATCAGGAAAGAGCATGTTTTATTTGCTTGGTTTTGAAGAGAAAATTATGTATATTGAGACCTCTCTCTCTCTCTTCACTCGCATGAAACCAAAAAAGAAGATGATCACTTTTTATTCTTACACTGTACTAACGAATTTGTGATGATATCTATGATTTAATACTGCAAATAATTTCTGTCTCTTTAATAGTAAAAGGAACCCTATTTGATAATTGAACCACCACGAGGAAAATTGTGAATAACTACACCTCTCTCTCTCTCTCTCTCTCTTCACACACAATGAAGCTGAAATAGAAGATGATCTTTTCTTCTTACATTGTATTCAGTTCTGCAAGTCGTTTCTCCTGTCTCTTTAGTAACAAAAGAAATCCTTTTTTGATAGTTCAGCCACCATGAGGTTATTCCATGCTCATCTAAGCAGATGAAGTGAAATCGCGACATGCATTCTTAAAATTCAAGCATATTAATTTGCTAAATCTATGTTCACTGTGAACTGAATGACCCTTTGAAGATGTCATAGTGAATGTCAGATCTGAGGAGTCCTGATCCTCCAAGTATGAATTACTTGGACACTGACATCCAAGTGAGCAACTAGGTCATGATTATTATGTATGTGTCTGGAAACTTCACCATTCTTTATATCTGGTGTACATTATAAGAATTAATTTATCCTGTTGTTTGTATAGAATATAGCAAAAAATGATTATAAATGCTATTATTTTTGTACTAGTAGCATTGGAACCTTTTCCATGTTGCATACTCATTCTCATCTCTAGTATCGTGGCATCTTTTCCATGTGGTACTTACATTCTTATCTTACAATTTTGTTAGCGGTAGTTAACTTAATGCTTATAACATACCTACTAAATGAGCTAAGACATATTTAGCAATGATATACACAATAGCAGTCATATATTTATCTTTAGTTCAACATGTAGCATATCAAATTTCTTTGTTCTTACCATGTGTACTTTTCACCGTATTATGGTTGAAAATTGCATGTTCTTAAGTGATTGGCTGGTGATCCATCAACTTGGCAAAAGGAAATGCTATATTTTCTATGGGTATATTTTTCGCAATCTTGTGAACTTGTCACTTGAATTTTGGTGTCCACACATTTTTTATGTTTAATTGATTGTGTAATTATCCACCTTTCAAACATGCATATTATTATTTCATGATTACACTTTAATTGTCTCAGTAACCTTTAAAAATAGATAGATGAAGTGTTCTGAAGATTTCTTATCTAACATAAAATAGTTACAATCAAGGAAAGGTTGATCTGCTATAAGTGTTACTTTGCCTAATTGGTCTTGGCAAGAACCAATCTGCTGATGTAAGCATATTACAATACGAGAGGACATGTCTGAGTACTCTCTCAGTAGATATCAGTAAATTTGTTTGTTGAACTATTGATAAATGGCTCTTAACTCGGTAAGGGTGCTTATTGCTTGTGTAATGTTTGAAAACTTATTTTATGAAACATAAGTAATTACGGAGTGTGGAATATTGGTTAAGGAGTTGGAAATTATTCTTCTACCATCTTAAGCATTTCCCAGCAGAGAAAGAATACTTATAACGTCTGTGGATGACAGTATTCAGAAGATTGTAAAAATAAAAAATTGTGGTGATTCACGTGTGCATCTTATGCATAATAACTACCATATGCCAGATAATATCCTTGTTTTTCCAGATCAAGTGACATTGTAAAGAATGGATTAGAATAGTAGAAACTAGAGATTCACTGTAGGACAGTCTTGGCGTAAGAGCTGTAGGGTGAATTATTTTTTATTAGGTTTTGAATGTTGGCATAAGCAGAGCAAATCGTGTAGAAGATGCAGTCCTGCTGCCACTTTACAAATATTTTTTATTTGATTTTTGTTTATGTGATCCTCCAGAAGTAGACACAGAATTCCAGGGATGAAATCCAAATTATGAGGACACCGTGCTTAGGAAAGGAGAATATACCAGTGATCTCTATGTTTATTTACTAAATTTGTGGGTCTTCTGCTCTGTTTTCCAAATGGAGAAGCTTAAATTACTTAGTTTCAAGCTAGAAATCCAAGCTATTTGTCACCTTTATAGGTTGATTTTTACGCTTAAATGTTATGTATAAGAAGGCAACAATTGTTAAGAATTGAAATCTTTTGTGTTTTGTTATTTTCTTGGAGGCTTTGAACAGCTGGTGAGATCCAAAAATACTGAAATGAGTTATCAGTGTTAGGAAGGCTGTTTGATATATTTTTCTTTTGTATCTGAGACATTAGAGGTTTGCGGTGTGGATCGAACAGTTTCAAGTGACTAACTTGCATATTTGCCGATCTTGATTTACACAACATTGTAATATTACTTGTTTTTCACGTATCCTTTTATTTATACTTCTGACCACTACCAAGATGTATTATCGTGTAGTTTGGTATTATGAGTTGTGCTTCATTATGGTCTTGTTTATGGCATGATCTCTTCTGTAAATTTTCCCAGAGGAAGTGATTGGATCCTCTGACGAAGAACTTAGTTGCGGGGATTTGGAGACTTTGGAAGGCCAGGAATGTGGTTCACGCATGGCCGACCATGAATTGAAGCAGATGCTGCTGACAAAATACAGTGGCTACCTGAGCAATCTGCGGAAGGAATTCTTGAAAAAGAGGAAGAAGGGGAAGCTACCAAAGGATGCGAGGTTGACATTATTAGACTGGTGGAACAGCCATTGCAGATGGCCATATCCAACAGTAATCTCTATGACTTGTTCATTTCACAAGTCCATCTTCAGCTAATTCCATTTCGGCCAGTTGCGAGTCTTAACCATATGGAAATGATTTGTGTAGGAAGAGGAGAAGGCAAAGCTAGCCGAGAAGACTGGTCTCAACCAGAAGCAAATCAACAATTGGTTCATAAACCAGAGAAAGAGGCACTGGAAGCCATCGGAGGACATGCGCTTCGCGCTAATGGAGGAAGTGAGTGGTGGATCAAGCAGGACGATGTTGTACTTTGACAGTGGTACAATTGGTCCTTAAGCCACCCCAATGTTCCCCTTCCTTTCTCCATTACTGCAAGCTTGCTATGCACTTTATCATGATGTGTATAATGGTTGGATTGATGAGGCTATATTAGCCTTGGTGTGGTTGCCTTAGTTTGTTAGCCTCAAATTGTGTTGAATGTTGATGAGGCCTGAATACAAAGGACATGAGAAGCTTGCAGGCAAGTTTTTCTTGTATTCTTGTATATAATGGTTATAATTATTAGGTGGACTGTGGACCCATTAAGGTTTGGCAATGGTCATGTGACAACTTTGGTCAACGACTTGCAATCTTCTTCAGCCATTAAAGTTTTCAATCCCATGGAAGGAGAGTTCTCTCTGTGGATTTACAAAAGGATGTTGGCCTCAGTTGAATGTAACTTAGAACATAAGGTGTTTTCATGGAAATGTTTCTCTTTTTTAACTATTCCTAAAAAGATATCTTTAATGTTTAGTTTTTAACAATTGGTGTGTTTTTTGTACAATTTGTGGTATTTTTTCAGCACCATGAAGTCGCAAGATATCATGGAGGGAAAAGAGATAATTTTAAGAGGTATTTATGTATTAGAGAATAAAAGGAAGCATAAAATATATAATCGAAAACTGAAAATCAAATGAATTAATTTCACATGAATTTTAATTGTTAATTAATTTTTTTAATTTTACATCATTTTTTATAACTTTTCAGGAAAAATGTTAATTAATATCACATGAATTTTTTCATGGGCAAAGGTAAAAGTATCAAATCATGTAAATTTTTAATTGATTCTTTTTTATTATGATTAGTGTTGATTTATAGATTATGTTTCTCCTCGCAAGAACATAAGATGAAGAAGAATTGTTAGGACCAAAATCATGATGGAAAGGGAGATAAGAGTAGCATAAATAATAGGTTATTCTAATCATTAGAATCCTTGGTTGAATCAAAACAAACACTTTCACTTACTTATCAACAGGTATTTGATGCATGGGAAGTACAGTCCACAAACAGATGTTTATACAAAGAGATGAAACGAAAATAAACTTCATCCATCAAAAAATTTCTTGTCAAAACTGTCACCAGCTTCGATAAATTTAATTCGAATAGCAATAGGAAAACACCAGACTCCATCAACCCCTCAACCAATAATGCCATGCATTTTTTACCTGTCACTCAACTCATGCTGCAATTGATCGTCTGTTCCACCGCAAGGAAGGGACACTCCAAAACCAATTATACACGGAATACGAGGGAACAATAGTTATACACATGACTCTGTATCAGAATCCAGCAGAAGTAATTGTTTCAAAAGTGTGTCCAGCCCTCGGAAGCTTCAGTGGGAGTTTTGTAACACCAGTTTGCTCACTAGGATTCTCACACTAGAAATTTTCTGCCGAGTTAATATGCATCTTCTGATCCAGAGTCCCAAGTATCAGTAGAAGAACTAGCCGGTTGAACAACGTGTAACAAGTAATCCATTCCATTTATAATATCATATACCATCAGGCCCATTCTTCCTCCGACCCAGCTACCAAGTTGGCTTCCCATAAGATAACCAAACCTTCCCATTCTCTGCTCTCCAAAGTATCCTCCTGCATAGGTCCCAAATGACGTGCCAGCTCCTCTGAGGAAACCCTCTGTCATGGTTCCCTCAAAGTATAAGGCTTCAAAGAAATCCCACCCTGATGATATGATTGGACCTAAAATGCGCTTGGCCTGCCTGGAAGCTACCTTTGCAGCTTTTGCTCCAGCTTTCTGTGCCTGCTTTACAGCCACGCTGGTACTCACACCCCCTGTCAATGCCTCACTCAGAGCAATCTCGGTAGCTCGCTGCCTTACTCTTTCCACATGTGCATTCCTGATGTTGTATACATACAGCTTAACCCCCTCTTTGCTCACACAGGCAAGACTTCCAGATCTCATGTCAAAACAGTTCATGAACGTGAACTTCCCACTTTTGGATGCAGCTTCTTCTCCGACTAATTCCCTGAATTTTTCAGCTGCAATGGCAGTAGAATAATTGAAAAAGGGTACAAACTTATAAAATATGTAATCACAATGAAGCATAAGATAAATGGTGCATTTTATGATAAAATATTATAGTTTTCTAAGTTAGTAGCGTATATAAAAAAGAGATGATGGTCTCAATAATGGATGTAGATCTACAAGGATAAGAAATATAGCATTTTAGTAAATGGTTTTACGGTCATGACAAGGTGGCCGATTGGAGCAATAACTTATACAGAACAATCTAATTCAATAATTGATCCAAGATACCTAAAACTTTTATTTAAAGGGACTTATTGTACATCCAATTTAACTATTTTCTCTTGTCTATTTCTAGAATCACCAATATTATATTTTATATATTTAGTTTTAGTTCTACTTAATCTATAACCTTTAGTTTCTAAGGTTTACCTCCATAGCTCAAGTTTATAATTAATTTTACTTAGACTCTCATCAACTAATACAATGTCATAACAAATAACATACATCATGGAGATCTATCATATAAGTGACCAGAAAGTTCATCCATTATCAATGTGAAATGGTGGGAACTTAATGCGGATCCTTGGTGTAATTCTATGCTAATAAGAAACTCATTAGATACACTTTCTATAGTTCTATAACTAATAACTACATTATTATACATATATTTAATAACATCAATATAATTAGTGGATACATATTTTTTTTCTAAAACCCACCATAATAAATCTCTAGAAACCCTATCATAGGGTTTCTCTAAGTCAATAAAAACCTATACGGATCTTTCTTTTTCTCCCGATACTTTTTCATTAATTGTCTTAATAAATAAATAACTTTATGGTTGATTTTTCAAGCATAAAATCAAATTGATTTTTAGAGATATTTGTTTCAAGCATAATCCTACTTTCAATAACACTTTTCCATGGTTTCACTCTTAATTTTAATTTCTCTATAATTTAAATGATTTTATATATCATCCTTACTTTTATAAATTGGCACTAAAAAATTCTTTTAACATTCATCAGGCTTCCTTCCGAATCTCATGATTTTGTTAAATAAGCTAGTTAAACATGCTACTCTCTTGTCCCCTAAACTTTTTCGGTCCTAAAAAAGAATACTATCGGGCCCCATACTCTTAGCTATTTTCATCTTATTTAATATGTATTTTTCTTAATTAACTCTAATTTTATGAATAAATCTATGTTTTTTAAATCTACCACTATTATTTATCGTTAAATTTAAGTCCCGTGAGAAATATTCATTAAATAATTTATAAAAAATAATTTTTTTCATCTTTCTTTAATCTCATTATCATTAATAAGTATTCTTCGATTTTCATCTTTAATACATCTAATATTATCTAAATCCTTACGCTTTCTTTTCTTAACTTTAGCAATTTGATATATATCTCTTTCATCATCTTTAGTACCTAATTTATTACAAAAATTATCATAAGCTTTATATTTTGCTATACTAATAGCTGTTTTAGTCGTACTAACTGACATTGGTGGTGTTAAAAAAAAAAGCTTATTACCAATTGGCAAAATCCAAACAGAGTTAAAGGATCCAGCATTACTTTTCAAGAAAGACCCTTTTCAATAGGTTTATAGCTTTTCTATATGACCGTTATTCTTTATACCTGAAAATAAATGCACTAGAAAGTTGAGTACACCACATGTAGGCACGAGCATGGGCAATGTTGTCATGATCAAAATTGCACCATGGAATGTAGAAGATCTCAGGTTAGATCAGTTTGTGAGTTGAATTGTAAATCACTAGATTTCTCTATCTTTTAAAAGCTAAATCATTAAAGAAATTAAAAACAAAGGGAAATAAGAGTTAGCTGAAAATTAGATGAATGGAGAATAAGAAAACATCGCTTTCTCCAAAGAACTAAGAAGGAAAACAATAAAACAAAAGAAAACAAAATTTTAGGCACCTTCCTTGTGCACACTCTAACCTCTTCAAGAAACAAATATTGCAGTTTCTTACTTTCTTTAATCAAAAGTATTTTTAGTGAATCAATATAATACCCTATTGTGCCAAAAAAATGAAAATATATCAAATTTAAAGTCTAAATTAACTTCAATTTCATTATATCATTAAATGTTAATTATCTCTTTTTTTAAATAATTAATATATGAACAAAAGAGTCAAGGATCTTACCATCATAATATTTTTACATTCGATAAAAGGCTACAAGCCTATTTGTTATGATTTTACTCAAGATTATTAAGAACCACTTAAGTTCAAGGTGTTGAATCATAAAATCCAGACAACATTTTGCATGACTATACTAAGCATTGAATTAATTCTCCTATAAGCATATTTTCTACCATTTGTTGTCAGGATCCATTAAGCTCCCTCCAAACTAGATGATCAAACTTGAACAGTATTTTTATGCTCATACGTTAATCTGAAAGAAAAACTTAAGCATCCTCTAGTCTAGCTCGATTGCCGATAAGGCTCAAGTTACATCACTTGATTCTCTTAAATACTTGATCAATCAAAGACTGCCTTCAGAAGTCCAGCCAACATTTACTACACAAATTTCATCTAATTCTCCCCATCAGAATTCACACAAAACCTTGATCATTAGTGATCTCTCCATCAGAATTCACAAAAAACATTGGTCCTTAGTAATATATTGATCTACAGGATGGTGTGAAACTAGCCCACATGTTAACAGAGAATAACATTCTCTTTCTTTTGACTATCAGGTTCACTCTTTGAAGATTTTCTTGAAGTGTTATAGAATTTCAGAATAGCATATCTCCTTTCAATAACACCCAAACTTAAGCAAATAACAGAGATCTGTTGGGCAAAGTGCTTGAAAAATCCACACAAGCTATAAAAGTGGCAATGGCTCAGTTTTTCCACAGCAATGTGAATTATCCAGATGCAGGCCACCTCATCTAATTGCTCAAGCAGTGTTGACATGAGAATTGAGGACTTGCCAAATCATTTAGTGCTACAACTTATAAACATGAATTCCCAGAAAACGAAGATCTACTCAGTTCCATGCGTTGCCAACATATTAATCTTTGTATAACTAGACTTGACATCTTAGCCAATGAAGATTTTATGTGAAGGTCAACCCCGAACCTTCTGTTTATACTTTATAGTTTCGCTTTAAATTTGACAGGTCAAACCAGAATGAAGCCTAAAACACTTCCTGTGTCTATTACTTCAAGCGCCACAATGTAATCACAAAAAGTACTTTAGGGGACTCTTGAGCACAAAATTGTAAGGAAGTACTAAAGTTGAAAGCAAAGTATATGATTGTTTTTCTTCCAAGTGTCTGAACAGACTTAAATGCTTAATGTTTGATTGTTAACACCAGCCTAGATCAACAAACCAAATATGCTATCTAACTAAATTGAGAGAAGAAGCTGAGAAAGGATAGAGACAGAGGAAAAAAACGAAAAAAAAAAAAAAAAACCACTGTGCTATCTTATGGCTCTCCTAGACCACAAGAAGGATACCGAAGATTGGACAGAAAGCAGAATTTTCTGTATTAGGGTCTGAGAAATGGTCAACTATGCATCATAGTGGTTGACTTGAAAAGCTGCATGAAGGCAGTTTTAGAGGATACAATCAGTTAACTGAAGCTGTAAGATGAGCCTCTCCATGCCACTATAGGACTAGTTTAATAACAGAGGAGCAAAGGTAAAAGATAATTGTTTCCTTGCAAACAGTTTTAGGATTAATTTCTGTTTAGATCAGGACCCTATCAAAAAAATTTAATATTTATCATTTTCAGTAATTGTATAATGTTGGCAATTCCATTATTCTGAGATTAACAGTCTCAATCATTTTAATTCAATATGACAAAAATTGCTGACATAATTCATTAGAAATCTGAGGAAAAAATGTGATGGGATCAATATTGGTGGTTTTGGTCAATTAATAGTAGCTGTAATGCCGAAACTGAAACTCAGAGTGAGTTCTTGATCCAAGTAGGCTGCTCTTAACACATCCCCATCAATCCAAATTGAGACCCATAGAAACTCAAGTCATGTAACTTTACTGATGGCATAATATATCTTTTTGAAAGGCTGAACATGCCCCCCCAGGTGCCTCCTATGCCACAATTTCCTCTCTATTTCTTGTCCTCCTTCTTGCTTTCCCCCCTTCAAGTGGGAGATTTTTTTTAACCCTTTAATGACCTCCCTGTCACCACCAACTAGTATAGTAACTCCAAAGGCATTGATGATCAACACCGTTCTTAACCACCTCACAGTTTGCTGATAAAACCACAATTTTCCTCAAATGCAACAGACAGAGGACATCAATATGGTTGTCAAACAAGCCTGTAGTGTCACCCATGGGTTCTCTCTCTCTCTCTCTCTCTCTCCTCCCCTGATTAACCTCACTGAATATACCCTAGTCCCTCCCTCCCACTTTCTCTTTCTCCCAGTCCCTTCCCCACCCCCTTTTCTATGATGGTGCACTGCAAGCTGTGGAGAAGTATCCCTGTAATTAGACAGTATGAGGGTAGGTATGGACTCAAGAAAATAGAGGTGTGGCAAGTACAAATACGAAGAAGCCAGCCCCTGATCTGCACCAATACTATTCATATAAAACAAAATATCACATTCAGCAAAACAGCTTCTGGTGGCCAATAATCTCAGTAGTTGCCTGTGATCTCATAGGAGCAATAAACACATCTTGAATTGTACTGCTGTATTCATTCTAGAAACGAGAACATATGCTGCACCTTCTCATCCAATTGATCATTGATTTGATCTGCTTTTATTGGAAACTCTACTCGATGACATCATTGCATTTACAATAGGAAATTGCTATATTGACACCACATTCATGAAATCTTTTGGTTCCGTTATGGTGCACCTCGGTTATCCCAGAATTGCGGCCCGACGGTATTCCCAAACCCTAAAAGTAAACCATTATCAAATACTAAGTCTACAAAATCTTATTTTTATTCGTCCACGATGGCATAATCAGCGCCAATGACCACGATTTCCCAAACCCAAACCATAACTCGGATCAAAAAGAAACAAGAGAAACAGAATCCAAAATTAAGAAACAATCCGAAAAGAAGGAAAACTAGGGGAGACGTGAAGTGAAAAGATCGAACCAATGCGAACCTGTCATGCTAAGAACTATTAGACCGAAGATGAAGAGCAGGAGCTGCACACGCCGCTTCTGGAGATCCATCATCTTCCCCAGGCGAGAGAAAACCCTGCCCCGACTCTCTCCGAGTCTGTTTAGCTCACGGGAAGAGAGGTAAAGAAAACGAACCTCCGTTCTTCCTCCGGGAGGAGAGGGAAAGAGAACGAACCGCCGGTCTTCCCCTCCAATTCAAGAAGATTTGGATCCCAGTGAGCCGTAAAATAAGTGGTTGCATTGCATGCACCAACGCCTAGACACCAAACACAGAAAGGTGTCCTCCCTTTGGTCACTAAGGCGTGGAGCCCAATTCATGGTGTGGGACCCAACCCCGATGGTCCAAGGAAGGTTGTGCTCCCCTGGAAGCGCGAGGCGCGTCCAATGCACACGAGCAAGTTGTTTACCCTAACACCAACCCTGTTTGTGATTGGAGGTGAACCGTAGACCGAGTGGGACCGTGACGTGAGTTTCGCGAATCGGTATTCACCGACTTTTGCCACGGCAGAATGCGTTCCCGACGACGTTTACCTAACTGTTAATAGGAGGACAACGTGGGCCTTCAGGCTGGCCCCACTCGAGCCCCACAAGTACCGCCAATCATACGTCAGGTACCTTTCTTCGAGGAAAAATTATTTCAAGATATAATTATTTATTTTGATTTGCTAGCTTTTCTTTCCCAATAATTTTTATCTGTCTCTCTCAATTTTCCTTTAATCACACTGGTTCTTTTGAATGACAGAACAGCTTCAAATATCAAGGATATTTAGGTAGCTGATTGGGTTGATGAGAGTGACAAACAAGGTCAGCACCACCGCCAGTTCTTCTCTTTTTCTTTTCTTCCTGTTGTGAAGTAGACACTAAATGGAAGAGAGCTGCTAAACCATGAGGAGCAGTTGTCTCTTTTGAAGTCCTAACAATGAGAAAATATCAGAAATGTTGATCTGCCACCAGTATAGCACCCAATACTTGTCCATGCTACACCACTCCAAATTGTAGTAAATATCTACAAGCCTGTGGATATTAGAGCCCTCCAATTGGCTTGAAGAAGATAAGAGATAAGTGTTCTCCAATGGCTATAAGACCAGTCTAATTCTTCCCTTCTGGCACTGCAGCATATCTTGGTTTTGCTACACTACTATCATCGGGACCAACTGCAAGAGGTGTGGTTCATGCTCATGGCGGCAACAGCTGCTTCCAGCGTGAGACTTTCCACCACAGGGGCGGTCTCCACGAAGGCACAACTCCCCAGGCCGCAGCGGCCTCATGCGAGGCTCCTCCCGCTTCTCGGTGGCCGGCGCCGCGCGGTGCTCGCCGCGAGCGCCCCGTCGACTCCGCCCGACATCTCCGACAAGGTATCGGAGAGCATCAAGAAGGCGGAGGATGCGTGCTCGGGCGACGCGGTGAGCGGGGAGTGCGCGGCCGCGTGGGACGAGGTGGAGGAGCTCAGCGCGGCGGCCAGCCACGCCCGGGACAAGCTCAAGGCCAACTCCGACCCCCTCGAGAACTACTGCAAGGACAACCCCGAGACCGACGAGTGCCGCACCTACGACAACTGAAGGCCCGAGACAAGCATGCAGAAGCGATTGCATGCACTGTTCGACTGCAGAGTGCATGCAGAAATAGTGTATTATCTCTATACACTTACTTGCATGTTTGTTTAATGATTAAGATAAATTGGTGTTCTTATCTATTGGAGAAACATCGATCAATCATCTTTGTGGGAATCGATAGGGTATTTTCCACACACAATATATTGTGTTTTCTGTCTTCACCAGATCTAACGATGTTCAGGCTTCCTAGATAATCGATACAAGCTTAGATTTGCTTGTTAATTGATCAAGCTTTAAAAGTTTATCGCTTTATGCTGTCATCTATAACTCAACCTTCTAAGTTCATACATAAGGATGAGTCTCACAGCTCAACTTCTCTTCTACAAGAAACAAAACATCAAAGGCAATCTTGAGCTGTTCATGAATGATACATTTCAGTAACCAGTCCTAGCTTGCAACAGCTTCACTACAAGAGGGGGAAGGTGAAATAAAAATTGCCATATTTTAAGTACATCTACAGATAGAAAACATTTACAATTGCCAATCACAGATTTATGCATAAGAAATCGAAGTTGACAGTAATTGGTACTACATTCAGGTGCACAAGAATGATCAACATGATTATTAGCGCTTGATGCCTGCCTTGATTTGGCTACCTAATCCAATAAACTATTGAACATTTACTGCAAGGTAATGTTACAATAAGCACACAGCCATGTAGCACATACTGACTCAAACACAAACAACCACACTAATTTAAATACGACTCGGGAAAACGAAAACATAAGCATCGGATAGACCTTTCTTTGCACAACAATGATGGCTCAGAACTGGAACATGTCGGCATTGGCCATGATCGGCTGTGATGTGGAAGGAAGCTGCCATGGCTTCAGAAGAGGGATTGGTATCTCTGGTATGTCCATGGCCATCCCACTGACCTCCTCAACCATGCGGAGCACCGAGTTCACAGAGTGCAGCCTCTCAGCCAATTCATGTAGCTGAGCTCTTAAGATGGCGTTCTCTGATTCCACTGTGATGTACTGCTGCGTCGCCAGATTGATCTGCGCGTTGATCTGACTGTTTTGGTACTTGAGCTGCGCCGCGAGGTTCATCAGATCATCCAAACGCTGCTGCTTCCTCGTCCTAGACCTCCTCGCGGACTCCCTGTTCGAGAGCATCCTCTTCCTCTTCCTCTCGTCGTTCGTCAAGGAAGACATCCACTTTGGCTGGGTGGTTCTCTGATTCTAAACTAATCAAAATTGGATTGAACGAAGCAATCAAGAAGTGAGGTTTTTAGTTCATGAGATCACATAGGACCAGTAAAGGAGGACCACCGAGAAGGAGTGGAGGAAGCAGATGCTGAGAGTAGCTAGATCCATGAAGGCTAGAAACCGGTTTTCGACAGACTTAGAGACCACAGAATTAAGATCATCGACGCTCTTTAAGATCAAACGTGAAGACCAAGGAACAGATTTTGAGAAGAGTAATCTCTCTAAACGGAAAGGTGGATCCCAAAGACCAGATTTTGGGGATTGAGGATGAAGATCATCAACCTAAAAGCCAAAACCAACCTCGAAAGATCATATTTTGACGCTGGATTTGTATCCTAACAAGGGTCCAGCCACAGATTAACGGTACAGAAACCAAAGATAGGCCCTAACTCTTGAGAACAGGAAAGCAGAGAGAGATGAAGAAGAACACTTAGCTGGAATCGATCGACCGAACGAATGAAAGAAGGTCATCACAGCTTTGAAATGGGCTATTTGTAGAGGAAGGCACGGGTGTCGTGGAACGAGTTCATTTGGTTCTCGACGTGGGCGATGACTTCACGTGGGACAACCAGATGCGGTGGACTTGTGTGCTGGAGCGCCATGGTTGGAGGAGTCGAGCTGTCGCCTCGAGAAAGCGTGTTCAAGCTGCCGACTATCGATAGCTGGGAAAGCATCTCTTGAAATCTCCTAGAACACCACCATCGAACACTTGCCGGATTTGACTGGGAATCTTGCTTAGATTCAATGGTCATGAAGAGGCAGGAGATATTCTCCGAGAATATTCTCGTAACGTTCTCTGTGAACAGATCATGTTCTGACATGATCTGCTTCCCGAAATTTATGGTTAAGTGGTGCAGCAAAAATATTAGTCCGTAGACGATCAGACCAGTCTTGTAGAGCGCCTTACCCAAGGAGACGAGCTCGCATAGGCGATCCTCGAACCGGCCCGACCCACAGCTTGGCCTCCTTGGCCATCCCCTGCTCCTGCCTTGCCCTTGACTGGGCGGAGGCTATTGCCTCCGGCGTGGCGTCGATGCTCCACCGACCGGCGGAACGAGGCGCTGGGGACGTGGGCCGGTACGGGGAGCAGGAACGAGGGAGTGGAGGAGGGACTCATGGCCTTAATGGGCCGAGCGGGAGAGTGGAGATGGGCGGAGGCGTGAAGGCGACGGAGGCCCGCGGCGTCGTCGTGCCACCGTGTGAGGTTGGGCCCGTGTTTTCGAGCCAACGGTGGGTGAGCGAGCAGCGTCAGGGGAATGGTTTGGGTCGGACCGAGTCGCACGACTCGTCCGCCCCATTTGGTGCAGCTCTGCTGCCCGAGTCCAGCCAGGATTCACCCGTTTGAGCACGCCCATTCGCGCACAAATCGGACCCACCAGCTCTATTACCGCAAAACCCTAAACTGTGTTTCCGCTAAATTATAATCAAGATTTTAATTAGATGAAAATTTCCACAAAGTTAAAGCTATATGATGATATTTTTAATACTCCCATCACTTATACGCTAAAAATCATTAAGTCTTTTAGAAAATGATTTAAACTATATAAATTGTAATAAAAATCATCAAAATCTCTATGGAAATATTTTTTTGCTTTTTGTTCTGTGTCATAGGCCCTTTAACGTGAATGGATTTTCTTCCCTTTATCCTCATCTCAAATCCTATTCAAAATCCAATTCATAATTAGTAATTTTGGACAGAATGAAAGACAGCAAAACATCTGTTCTCAATCTCACTATTGAGAAATCTGTATGTATGTCTAGATCTGCAGAAGATTACACCAGTGGAAGCTCTGATATCTGTTCTTAATTGAAATCAATTTTCGATACTCTTTGCATGAGAAATGTCCTAATTAAAGCAGTAAAATTTGTACCAAAGCATCACCAAGAAGTGTGCCAAAGCTGAAAAATCACAGCTAAATAACATTTTCTTATATGTACAAAAGTACATTTTATGGTTCTACATTGAAGACATTGGGGTGCTCATGAAACACATATACCCAAACGAAGAAGTTATTCCACTGATCTAGCCGTCGCTCTGCGTGCAGATCATGTGGAACAAAGCAAGAAAAAGTATCAGAATCATAGCCAATGTGTTGGTCCTTCAATAGTAATATAAACTGCTGGTTTCAGATGGAAAGGACATAGATAATGCAAGTAGATTGTGTTGTGTTCAAGCTCATCTTCTTCTTTAGGAACAAAGCAAGAGGTATTGTGTTCAGATGGAAAGGACATAGACAATCATGGATGCATTTAGATTGTGTTGTGTTCAACTTCATCTTCTTCCATTCCATTGACCGATAAATTAACTCCCCTCTGTTCAACAAAAAAGAGAACATAATTCAGAAACATAGATCATTCGATATATCTAAAATGATATAATAACTCTTGTTTACGTTTTCTTTTCTATATCATAAATTATAGCAAGATCAAAATATCTAGTTTTTATTGAAAAAAAATGATATACTAACTATGAGATGTCTATAATGGCTTACATGGAGTTGCTCCAGCTGATACTGCTTCTGTGCCTGTTGAACTGCTGATATCGACCACATTACTACATAGAATGGCAGTAAAATTCCACTGGCTCTTAGCAGAAACACCTGCACAAAATTCTCAGAACATTTACATGTAAACCATGCCGAAATAAACCTAAATATGTAGCTTAGCAATAGTACCAGTGACCACAGACTAAGATCAACACTCACTGTGAGGATGCCAAATGTGTGGTGATTAGCCCCAAGTATTATGACAGCAATCAAATGCCTGATCAGCAACATGATAGTGAACTGCATGTATATGTTTCAGACATCATTAACTAGAAGGCTAAGATCAAATACATAAATCATCTTGTTTACATCTAATTCAAATTGCTGACCGTGATAACCACAGATCGACAGCAAGAGGTACATCCATGCGATCCAGGGGAACACACAGTGTAACCTGGGCCTGCTGCATCATCAGTTACAGTGATGGATCCAGGGTTTTCTGGATCATAATTAATCCTGGAGGCTTCCAAGCTTTCCCTGGTATCATCGTTAAATCTTGTCAGCACCAGAGTTTAAATCTTGTACCATATCATTCTAGATATAATTGCTGTGTATTGAGAATAAGAAATGATCAGATTGACAGCTAACAGTTAGGCCCATGAGATTAAAATGGAGTAACATGTTAGGTTCCACAGTATCCATGACTTGGATAGTGAGGGATCAACAGATGCTGAAAGCACCACAGGTACAAAATTAGCTTCTGTTTTTAGGGCCCACAATTAGTAGAAATTGGGTGTTAGCTGGCAGCCATATGATCATTTCCGTATCTGGGAAAAAAATTCAGAATCAAAGAGCATGTTGCAGCCAGAGTGGGCCTTTAATTTCCTAGCATAAATTGATTGAAGAGAAGGAGCTAAGGTCACCTGATGGTCACAGCTACATCCACCAAGGCCTTCTTTTCAGGAACAGTATAGCCTGGTTCAAATACCTGTGAGAGAGTTAAAACAGAAAAAAGTTTTGATTAAGAGGAAAATATATGAGAATTTGATTGTTATGTGCATCAACTATGTGAAACTTGATCTCAAATATAAAACAGGATGAATGATTTAAGAGGACAACAAAATGGAGTAAAGTTTCCTATTAGTAGTGGGACAACAAAATGGAGTTGAATAAGATGGAGACTGTCTTAGTCTATAAATCTTCAAACTTCAGCAACCACAAAAGAGACAGGCAGTGGAGAGTATGATATTATCTTTAACAAACTTTTAGAATAGAAAATGTAGTAGTTCTGAAGTCAGCAAAAGATCTCAACAGAATGAAGTAATTTTGAAGTCAGAAGAAGATAATAACCATGTTTCAGGGTCATCATAAAATTGCATTTAGCCATGCACAAAAATCTGAATAGGAAATAAATAAAAGTGCCTTTTTCTGTTGAAATTTGGAGAACCAAAACAAATGGATGGAGTCTGACAATGATCTTCTTCAATGAGTAACTTGTAAAATAGAACAAAATGGATAAAAAGATCAGCAAACTAGGCTTGGATAAGTATAAGATGTAGAGACTCTCTTCTTAGTAATTCAAGGTTCTTCTTATTAGCAAAAAAATAAAAGTAATAAGATATAGAAATTTAGTACAAAGATTTTTGAGAAGAGATTTGTCAGGGAAGAAATGCAAAGGAAACCTAGCTATCTTCTCATCCATGAGGAAGATATAGTCCAGTTTCTGTATTCTTTCTTGTTTTGTTCAGTTTAAAAGTATCAACCATGTACTACTCATGTTTCTCTCTCTAACCTGAAGGCAAATTTCACAAACATTGCTTCCTTTCTGATCACACCACCTCTGGATGCACTCTCTGTGAGCAAACTGGAAGGGGGAACATCAAATCAATATCACAATAAAATAAAAACCTTTCCTTCATACCAAATCCACCAAGGAAATCTACCAAGAAGAGAAAAACCATTTAAAAGCAATTACCTTCAGAGTCCCAGAGCAAGCACAAGGGGTTTCCATGCTGGTGGAGCTCTCTTCCTCCTCTTCATGGCATATTTTGCATAGACATGTGGAAGCAAACGGAGGCAAATAAGCACAGGACGCGGCAGCTAATCCCTCGTCCACAAGCAATCTAGTTTCTTGTCTGACGCCAAATTCCATCTCTCTTTCTCTCTCTCTCTCCCTCCCTCCCTCGCTCCCTCTTTCTCTCACACGACACACCAGTTCAAACTATATAAGCAAGGGACAAACAAAATTGGTGGGCACAGGATGCCATTTCACTGCAAGGAAATGGCGGAAGTGTCCCTGAAGGTGTTGCTAGTGTCGGACCAACCAAGGGTGACAGTGTGTTCCTTCTGCACTGTGCAGGATTTGGTCTACGAGTTGGAAAGGATGTTGGACCTGCAAAACATTGACTGTGACAGCAAATGCGCAATAAGCCTTGTGGCTGCAGGCTCTGTTAGATTAATAAGAACTTGTTCTTGAAGTTTGACAGCAATGGACATGCAGGCTGTTTTGAAATCAGCAGAACAAACACCGGGGGGGAGACCCATTATCTTCTTCCTAATTGTATCTAAATACTGAGATTGCATAAGAGATTAGTCAGATACCACTTCAACCAAAAAGCTTTTATAATTACTCTATGTAAATATAAAAATTATAATCATATTATTATTATTATTATTATGTGAAAAATCTTAATATCAATAATCATGAATTGAAGATGTGATGTGCATACATTTTGATATTACACGAAAATTTTTTTTTATCAGAATATTAAATTTTCTTTCTCCTCTCTTTTGATCTTTCACAAGACTAAAATATATTTGTAATCTCATATCGTACTATATTATATTATCATATTGAGTTCGTAGAAGATCCTGTCTATTCATAAACGAGCGTAATAAGTCAAAAATAAATAATTAGTAGAGTCTTTATCATAAAGGTTATATTGGATCATAGACTTTTTTTTCTTAATGACTAATAATTATAATTATAATCTAAATATAAATAAATCTATAATATATCTTATTCAATTAAATAGGAACATATGATCTAATATTCTCTCACTTGATTTGACACGCTAAATGAGAGTTATATATGCTCTAACGATTTTAAATAATTTGAAACAGAAAATATAGGGATATTAAAAGCATGATAAATATATATAATAAAGTATCACTATAAAATAAAAAGTAATATTAATACTTTAAGTTTTTAAAATATGATAAATTATTGATATAATACATATTTTACTTTTAGAAAAAATATTAATATATTTAGTGTTCATTTAAAGTTATTTATGAATAATTAATATTATTCTTACAAAATAGTATTACTATAGTACATAAAATATAAAGATATCTAAAACAGTATCATCCTATTTATCATATATAATTATTAATATTATTTTTAATATCATTTATGATTAATTATTTAATAAAATATTTAAAGTTATTTGTCAAAACCATTTTAGTGATTATTAAACTAATATAATAATATATAAATATAATTTAAAAAATATTATAAAAATAATAAAAATATTTATTATAATTCATACACCATAGTCTACTAGGCCACCTTAGTAATTGCTAATAAAATAAAACTCAAAGGTATAAGATACAAATAATATTCATCAAATATTCTATAATATTGATCACTAAAAAATAACCATAAAAATTATTAAATAGAATATTTAATCAACATAAAAAAACTCATATAATGATAATAATCATGATAAATAAACAATTAAACTGTTAACACCTAATACGTCTCTCTAATCCAACTTTTAACAACTATCATGTTCTCAAAGAGTTTGCTATAATTTGATAGTTTTCAATAGACATACTGAGATCAGTGAGCTGTTCAGCATTCACTAAGCAAGCTTGAAGCTTCTCGTTGACAATTCCACTATATGCATGACTTTTTCTTCACTGTTGATATCAGACAAGATCAATTATCCAATCCATCATTATTGATGTTCAATGAGTATGGTTGGAAGATTTGAAATTGCTTCTGACATGCATTCACTACTTTTAAAAGGGAAAACTAGAAAATATTCTGCTCTTGCTTGAAACTTCAATCCATCATGGACAACCTCTTGATGTTAACTTGTAGGAGTCTTACCTTTTGAGCTCTCTTTTCTTCATGGTGAATTTTTGCTGTTGAACACCTCCAACATTAATGTACTACCTTCCAAATTATTGTCCAGTTTATAGGTTTACCCAAGAACTTTATTCATCAAACAAGAAACTTTAACATGAATAAAGTACCAATCAGTCCTTTGGGAACAGAAGAAACAAATTTGAGTACATGTTAGAAGATATCCTCAAGTGGTCCATCTCTTCCTTCTGGCACAGCTCCCAAGCCAGGATTATTTGCTAACTCATTGGTGTTTGTCTCTGTGACTTCCATGACCAAGAAACCACAAGTCTTGGGCAGAGAGTTTAGGTGGAAACCAGCAAAGCACCATTATCGAATTGTTGTATACATCAAAAGGCATAATCGCGACAAAACATGTGCAATTAACTAAGATAATGCTATCATTGTTTAACCCCACTCACTGTCTACATGACTTTTGAAGGTTTGGATTAGTTAGCATCCTTTGAGGTTAAGATGATTAGGACTGGGCATTGTGAAGTTAAGAGACACACACTGACTGAACAACCATTATGCTCCAAAGCTCAAATCCTTGAGATGGATAGATGTCCTTATGTGCATGTTAAGCTGCCAAGGGATTGAAATGCTCAGAAAAGGATACTGTGATTTTTATTCTGTATCTCCTCATTCCTTTACCATTCTCCAAACTCCCTACCAAGATTCAATATCATATTTGATGACAGTTTGAACTGAAAAAAGGGGTTAATCTGCTCTATATATAATCACTCTTTTGCAGCAAGTATAGCTTTCAGATCTGGTTCACTGCAAAAAGGGTTTAGCAACAATCATATTAAGAATACAAATCATCAAATATTGTCTCATCTATGAACTGAAGCTTTTAGATGAATTAATCGGCAAAGATCCGCAATTTATTATAATATTAGAAGGAAGATTAACACCTTTAATTCAACTTCCATTTGTTGAGCTGCTCTTACATGAGGGAAAGCATTAACAATAAACAAAGCTTTCAGATGAATTGACAGAGATTGACAATGTAACAGGTGATGTTAAATTTAAAAGGACCCCAATTTAGAGGCATTGTTCCATGTTAATGCGATTATTATCTGTGCTGGACCTGCATGAGTTGTTTGGATTTGGTGGAGCAGTCTTTACCTTCAAGTAAACAAAGCTTAGATAGTATCCTCATTTGTTCCAATTCCCTTCAAAAGCATATTTTCCATGGTTTGTCTTCTTTAGTGAAGAAGAAGAAACAACCTTGTAAACATCTGCTTTCCGACACCTGACTTGCTTCCACTCTAAGGAGTGACATTTCAGGGTGAGATTCCCGGAGCCATGTAGCTGATGAGATTATGGTTTACGCTGTGATTTGGATGCTTTTTGGTTCGTTCCAAAGTCACAAGAGAGATCAGAAGATGCTCTCGTGCTATGGTGAAGAGGTAATAGATCATGTGGACTCGGGACCTGAAAAGAATGTTCATCTGGAGTAACTCCTAGCTTACTTTCTAGCAAAGTAAGTTCATTACGTGCAGAGCCTTCAGCCAGTATCTGTTCATGGAAAAGAAATGAAGAAAAGGACAAATTGATTTGGTCTCCAGTCACAAGAAAGATCACAAGATGTTCTCATGCTATGGTGAGAAGGCAGGAAGCATGTGGATTGTGGACCTGCAAAGAGTGTGTTCATTCCTTCAGCTGGCAAAACTTGAGATGCAGGTCTCTGAAAGCGACTACTGAGAGAAGGTGGGTGTCTGAGGGATCAAACAGCTGGGAAAGCAAATAAAATGGTTGCCCTTAAGCCTCAGATGACTCCCTCTCAACATGACTCCTGTTCTTATCTTGTGCTTGTGCTGTGGGTTGTTCAGTTGTGTCTTTCAATGCTTATCCTCTTCATTGGGCCTATCAGGATTACATGATAAGAGAGAATGACATGACAAAATTGTCACATCTCACACGTGAAAATACAATTGAGTCATTTTTTTATAGGTCTAAATAAATTTATATTTGTTTGGTCGCTCGATCTTATCAATTAAGTTGAGTTTTCGGACAACAAAATAGCAGTATCTCAGTGTCTTTTTTTTTTTGAAAGGGAAAATATCATAAGAAATAACACTGAATTATATGGAGGTCATTAGAAGCCAATGAGTTACAACATCTATGACCAAAGAAAAGTGATAAATGAAGTAATAGTTCAATTACGAAAAATAAAAGGCTACATATTTGCGATGATACACCCGAAGGCAAAAATATTATCTTCTCTCTTGGAAGAGTGTTAAATCTGGATGTCATCAGGCTTTCATATCCAATGAATTTTGCAATGACTAGCAAGTGAACTGTTAAAGCTTGAAGGTTGGCAATGAAATTATACGATTGGTGATTGAAATTTGGGTCACACAAACTTGTGTAGCAGGTAAACATCAACTTGGATCATTTGACATCAGAAACTTGTATGAATGTGTTTCCTATCATTTATATACTTTATGAAGAACTGATCAAACATGATGAATAAATACAGTTCCAAAGAATTAGGGGTGTTGAATTTAACCTTCCTTGAGCTGATCACTATATGCATATTGTATGGCTTTCCTACTGGGATTTATGCTAGATAATCAGTACACAAATCTTAATCTGTCACTAAATCAATTTTCTAAAAAAAATTAAGAACAAAAAAGCATCATAAAACTTGATTGAAACATAAATTGAAGTTTAGATAATCAATTCACATGTTGAAAAATTCATCAAAGTTCAAGGAATAATGATGTTAACTCCCCATTGAGTATAGCATTTGTGTCATCCACAGAGATGGAATGCTACATGAACATAATAGTTAATGTGATGCCTCCAGAGGAAACAATTTGCAGAACACCCCATAAGTTGGCCATATGAGGGACCTAAAAGCAGGTCCCATCACACCACCCCAAATGAATTCTGGGTGACTCTGTGAAACCAAAGCACATGTTCCACTCAAATAAGTCTCCAGCTCAAAATTTCCAGTATAGACACCCCCAAAGCTATGCAAGGTACACAACCAAATCTCTCAAGCATCAGTAGAGCTATTCAAGAAGCCCTTGTGCCCATTGTACTACTGAACTACCAGACGAGACTCTTGTTGAAGGCCTCCCTACTTTATGCTCTGTTATTCTGAAAGTAGCAGTAGGATTCAATGCTAATGAGGGGCATGAACAGAGTGAAAACTCTTCACTAGATATTGCCAGTCAAACATTTATCCTAACTAGATATTGCCAGATAAACATTTATTATAAAAAGTAGCCATAAACACACTGATGTGCCAATCATAAGCATTCAATTAATAGGAAAACTTTGAATATATGCCACTTAACCAGATATTGCCAGCACTATTCTTAACATAGATGGGATAGGAATTAAAAATTTGCATTCATGACAAACCTGCATGCGGGAAAGCATGCATGCACAATCTATCATCCTATTAAAATCTTACAATGGATGCATCAGACTGGAAACAAGTATTAGCTGCAACAAATAGCTTGTCAAAAACCAACAAATGAACAATCAGAGAACATAACAAAATCAACAAGTTGAGAGCCCTCAGACTCATTTCCTAAATCAGCATGATGATTTGAAGGACCTTGGTACAAGTTACAATCACAAGAACCATCATACTGAGAAATAAAAGCATAACATCTCGAATTCCATATCCAATCAAACATTTAAATAGTGAATCAAACTTTATCTAATAATTCAGAACACTGAATCCGTTATGCCTTGAGATGCCAAAAAAATAATTCAAGATTGAGAAGGCTATTACACCATTTGAGGACGAGATTATCTGATTTTTGTTTTCTAGATAAGAAAGTGAATAATCAATATCACTATTTAGGAAACACAAAACATGTCCAACCTTCATACATGATATCACAAAATGACATCACAAGACATGGAAAATAATCTAAATTGCAACATGACAGATAAAACCGAATAATTGTCTGAGTCACAGGAAACAAGTTTGCATAAGTTGTTCAACGTAATAGCTAAACGAATCTAACAGTGCCCATTTTTGTTCATACATATTCTAATTGATAGCATTCTGAAACATTCAAACAGTGCAAAAGAAAACAAAAACATTCCCCACGTAAAATCCAACTGGCTCCTCGTTCCATAATCTACTCCTCCATCTCAGAACCCGAGACACCGTCCTTCTTGTTATGCTTCCTTGCATACCTCTGATTCCTCAGAAACTTTGGATCCATCTGCAAAATGAAAAATCATGTCTATGGATGAGAAACCAAACACTGAAAAGATGTACACATAAGAATGAATCATTACCGAAGCACAATCAGATTACATAAGAACTTAGTAAAAAGAGACCAAGACATCATTTTGGAGGACTATATGAACCATACGAAGCATACTATCAATCAACAATCAAATAATCTGCCGCGACAGGGAAAAACCAGCCCAACGATCCAGGCAAACCTAAGTTACCGGAGGGGAGGAGATCGAGAAAGATCAATACCCCTTTGGTGGAGGTGTGACGATGCTTCCGAGGCTTCTTGATCCCGTTCTTGTGCGCTTTGTAAGACTGATTGTGAGCCGTGTGGTTCTTCGACTTCGCCATTTCTGAAACCCACAAAAAAATGAAGAAGGTTCGATAAATTAGCCGAAAATGTGTAGAATCCAATACCAAAACGCGATTTCGAAAGCCAAATGTCCAAGACAAATATCAATTGAAGGTGCAACAGATAGATTAGGAAAAGACTATTACCAAAGCAAAACGCGATTTTGAAAGCCAAATGTCCAAGACAAATATCAATTGAAGGTGCAACAGATAGACTAGGAGAAGACTATTACCAAAGCAGCGGAGAAGGTGCAGCGTCTCTTCAAGCAGTGCCGGCTAGGGTTTGGAACTCGGCGCCGACGCCACCCTTTTATAGGTCTCCTCTTTTATTATATCTATTTATAGAATGACGGTTATATCCTTTCACTGTGTGCAATAATTGGGCCTTTTGGGCTTTATATTGGGTTAAGTCCAATCGTGCACCGAACCTGAAGGCCCATTTATCCATTATTATTTCCTTTTTTCTTGCAAGGTTGAACTAATATTAGCATGGGTAATAATCTTCATTTCAAATCACCATGTGAAGAGTCAAATGAAAATTATTTTCTCGATCGTATCAAAATACCATACTTTAAAATATCATTTCTCAATTATTGAAACTTATTTTTATAATATTGTAACAAAAGAAAGAAAGAAATGAATAAAGAGTATATTAGATATAATGTACATTAAATATAATATTTAATCTAATCGGATCAGAGATTATTCGACCCGAATCCGTTCTGTGTCAAACGAATCAATACCGACACTAATACAAGATCTGGATCGTCGATTGTGAATCTAATGGTCAGAGAGAGACCGTCGTTCTAGGTAACTATGTACCACGGGCTTGACACACGTGCCACTTCCTTCGTCCTTGATGCGTGTCGTGAGTCGTCATTTGAGTCGCGGGGGGAAAACAACCGGTCATCTTCGTGTACAGAGACCCGGAGAAATCCAGCAACTGGCAATTCCGGTTACCCGAGACCAGCTCCTTCTCATATAAATACTCCTCCAAGAAGGGGTTCCACGACGAACACGTGGCTGCTGTCTTTGTCCTCTCATTCTTCCCGATCGCTCCTAGGGTTTCGTTCTCTCCCTTGTATCTTCTCGATTCCCTGCGACGAGATCGCAATTAAGGAATTTCGGTCGCCGATAAGAACGCTTCCGGCAAGATTTTGATGGAATTTTAGGGGATTTCGGCTCTTTGGTGGAATCCCGGCGCGGATTATTTCCCTGCGACCATGTTTATTATAGATTGGTTTTACGGAATCCTCGCCTCGCTGGGACTGTGGCAGAAGGAGGCCAAGATCTTGTTTCTTGGACTTGATAATGCCGGGAAGACGACGCTGCTTCACATGCTCAAGGATGAGGTAGTCTCGAGATTCCTAGTCTCGTTTGAGCCCCATTTTTGTCGGAACTTCTGATTTTTGAACACGTTGGGAGCCTGCGAATTCTTTTTTCTGATTTTTTGGGGGTATTTTTATGGTGTTCGTTGTATGGCTAGAGGTTGGTCCAGCACCAGCCAACGCAATATCCGACGTCGGAAGAGCTGAGCATCGGGAAGATCAAGTTCAAGGCCTTTGATCTGGGTGGGCATCAGATCGCTCGGCGTGTCTGGAAGGATTACTATGCGAAGGTCTTTTTCCCAACCCGGTTATGTCGGTGATTCGGTTTAATTGCTTCTCCAGATATGAAATGGTTTGGATTTTTCAAGATTTAGGATCAGGAAATCTCTTTTTATTCCATCGTCTTTATCTCCGTTGGCCAAAGATATGTTGTCGTGTTTATTAGTAATTAGAATAACCCTTTGTGAATCTTTGTTTCCATTAAGGATATTTCAATCTTAATGAGTGCTTTCGATCTTATTAATGTAAAAGCATAGTAGGAACTAGGAAGTGATCTGTTGTAAGCTCTGTTAAATAGATGAACATCATGAGAAAACTTTTTTATGCTTACTTTACAAAGTTGCTTTTCTTAAGGAAATTGTTGAAATCAAAGGGTATCTTGTGACAAGTTATTGTTCAGATCACATGTACTGTCGAGAGTTATGTGCATTGTGTTTTAATTTATGAAAGTATAATATTCCAGTTCCATTTGTAGAAGTCCAATTTAACATCAATTCGTGAAAGAAAAGTTTGAACACTCATCATCATCATCTGTGGAGAGCAAGTTACACAGTGTATCTCTCATATGCATATATTCCTGATACTTCATCTTGGCGGTTGAAACACATGAATATGGAAACATCATGTTCATATTTTTTTAATCTTTAGATGGCAGAAGCAATTATGAGCCAAGAAATAACACTTATTCAAGCAACATGGTTATTGTTCTACCGATTAATTGATAATGCCTCAGTTGTTTAATCTTCTATTATGTTAAATCTTTGTTCTATAATTCTGAAATTTTTTTGGCATTATTAAGATCTTTGGATCATTTTCTTTACCTTTGTTCCTTTTTTTGTTTTATGTTCATCAATTAGGCTGACACTATAGGTCCCTCATTAATTTTTGTGCTTTTAATATTTGCAAAATGCGACCAAGTACTAGTTCTGTTGAAAATCAACTAGTTTATTTTGATATTCACAAGGACTAAGGTTCTTAGTGTCATTGATTATAAACTATGGATTATGTATCATATCTGAAATGATGATATTATAACTAATTTGTTTTTGGTTTATGAGGTTTTACATGTGCATTTGCATGTCAGTATTGCAACTAGTTAGTCTTCCAGATAATATTTTGCACGATTGCTTGGATATGCTTATTTTCTATTGTCCTGTTTGAAGCTTTGTATAATCGATGTGTATGGTTCATGTTCTCCTGTGACTTGCTTAGCTGCTTAGCTTGTTAAGGACAAAAATGGGACGACGAGCATTATTTTGCACAATGTAAATTGACAGCAAGAGTGGGACCTTGAACATTGATTATATTATTATGGTCAGAATGTTTGTCCCTTGAAATAAATGTTATGTATTATTTCTCAACTGTTGCCCTTGTATAAACATATCATAGTCTTATGCACTCATTTGACACCTTATATTTGCATCTTGCTGATGTTATATGTGTTTCATTTCCCAAAGGAGATCTTCCATTCAAGGCCTTTTTTTTTTCTTTTTCTTCAATGTTTCAATCTTATATTTCTGTACTTCTATGGATAATATGGTGGTAGAAGAAATGCATAGCATGCTAAACTGTTTTAGGTCATCTTCTAATTCAAGCTTGTAAATGTTCCGTAAAAATGAATGCATCGCATCATATTAGGCCTACGGTAATAGTGTTTAATACACCTCTGTCCCTGGTATCACATGCAAATTGAATTACGAAACTCAAAACAATTGACTCTAACTTGATTCAGCAGAGATTCCTCTGCCATTTAATGTAAATCCGTCATGTGTCATGTGTATTCCTGCTATGATAAAGTTATAAGTTTGTTACTGGACAAACCTCGATTTGTTTGTTTGGTTAATTGCAAATGTACTCTTGAATATTGTTTTTGACGAATACAATTGAAAATTGGAATCGCAGCTCATTGATATGATATTTTATATTTCATCGTTGGAAGTTTAATCCTTTGGCAGGTAGATGCTGTGGTTTACTTGGTAGATGCAGCTGACAAGGAAAGGTTTGCTGAGTCAAAGAAGGAGCTCGATGCACTCCTCTCGGATGATTCGCTCGCAAACGTGCCATTCCTTGTATTGGGTAATAAGATCGACATACCATATGCAGCATCTGAAGATGAGCTACGCTACCACTTGGGCTTGAGCAACTTCACTACCGGTAAAGGGAAGGTGAATCTGGCTGACACCAACGTCCGCCCCTTGGAGGTCTTCATGTGCAGCATTGTCCGCAAGATGGGCTATGGAGAGGGCTTTAGATGGATGTCGCAGTACATCAAGTAGTCGTGCTCGTCCCAACTATTTGAGGTTAGCAGCAGACACGTTGCGGACTCCAAAACAAAAGAGCCCATGGTGTTTTTGGCCGTCGTCCTTTGGCAGGTTCTTGTTAAAACCGTCTATTATGCCAGCTTTTATTGGTTTCATTGTGGTGTTGAAGGAACAAGCATGTTCGATGATATAGTTAATCGTTGATGATAACATGGTAGAATTGGAATGTTTTCACGTTCAGATGTTGCTTCCATGGATTGCTTTGTAGATATGTCTTTTAGTTAGCATGACGATTACTGTTCCCGATAATATTACGGAAGGACCGAGTTCAATTGTGTCGAGTCACTTCAGATCAATAAATGGAAGGAAGATTAATGTTTGGTATGAAGTAACAGAATTGGGGGGAGATTCGGAGTTAAAAGGAGCATTAAAACCCGCTCTCATAACAGTATAATTATATATAATGTAGGCTCATATACACCCATTTCGAACTTCAACATCATAAGAGAGTAAAATTTTACATCTAATTTAAACTCAAACATGTTGCTGCCCTCTAATTTAAAAGTTAAAAACGCATTACATACACAATTAGGTAGGGCATTTCCAACAACTAAAAAAGAAAGGAAACTGCTTCTGTTGCAGCATGATCACTCATGATGGAACTCCCACAATTGCCTGGCATCACTGCAGAAATATCATGCCAGTGTTGATGCTACACATGGGTTAATTAGAAGAAACAACCCTAGCTTCAAGTTAACTGGTGCAAACAACATATCTGAACACCTAGTTAAACATGAAGAGCCAGACGAATTTGTACAGAGGAAACATGCCAAGAAAACTTCCCCTAAGAAGCTGCTGCGTCACTTCCTACCGGAGTTGATCGACGTCACAGAACTCCAACTGCATGATCAGAGAAATCGTAAGATTATCATTAGGTCGGGCATTAGAGCAAAACATGCTATGTTTTTGTATTTTGAACCAAATTTTGGCCTGTGTACTGACATACAGATGTGCTGACAATGGATTGTCAAGCTTCATGCATTTAACTTGCACCCTTTCCACCTTTAGACAATCAAAAATTTCAAGAACACTCGATAACAATGATTTTAACTTGACCACACTGGTTGTACGAACTATTATTTGTCGGTCCCAACAACTAGTACACGGGCAGAGCAATTTCACCAAATCTGCGTTTTAACTGGACATTCCAGCTGGCATGCTTACAGTAAGCCCAGTAAATATACTAGTACTGGTCCACTATGTGCATCTTAGTCTCTCTCCCTTGACCAAATAGTCCTAGCTTGGTAGTGCAGTAAAGTGAACAATTAAACCTAGGAGACTCAACATCTCTGCATCGTAACAATGCACTAGCAAGAGAGGAAGTTCTTGCTGCAGTAGTACTCTACCCCCTCTATCTTAGTTGTCTCTAGGCCTAGCTTTTAAATCTGGACGGAGTTCTACAATGATCAGTTGGATAGTTGTTGCAGTAGTAGTATTCCACCCTCTTTTTTAGATGTCTCTACTCTCTAGGCCTATTTTCCAAATCTTGGCAACGTTTGGAGAGCAAAAGAGAAAGCTGCTAGGCAGTTGTAATGCTCCACCCTCTCTCTCTCTCTCTCTCTCTCTCCCCATTTCATGTTTTTATGCCTAAATCTTAGAAGTTCATACATTGATCAGTTGAACAACAAAAAAGTAAATTGTTAATGTAGAAGTAGCTCTCCCTCTCTCTCTCTCTCTCTCTCTCTCTTCTGTGTGAGATGAAAAACCATCTAGCTTTACAAAGGATTTCAGAAAAAAATATTCTAGACGAAAAAAGGAATAAAAAATCATCAATTAGTTAATTCTAAGAGTTGTGTTGAAAATTGAAAAGTCTATTGGCCTTTCTAGGGACTCCTTTTATATTAAATACACTCATTTACTATTTAGGTATCCCAGAAGTCACATTTTGAATTTATAAAGACATACTAATTCCTTAAAAGATTACTCTTACGAATCATTACCTTCGTTAATTAACTAAGGCTCCTAAACCCCTATAAATAGTGGAGCTTATCAATGAATGAATTACTTCATATTTGAATGAAAAGATATGCATCTTCTCTCTAGTCTCTTACTCTCGACTCTTATCTCACACTTATCTTTCTCTTCCCCTCTCTTCCTCTCTACTTCCCTACTTTATTCTACAATAGTTTGGTATCAGAACTCATCAATAAACCTACTCTGTACCTCATTGGGTCCCAACTAGCACCTTTAATCAATAGTGACATCACTCACGGATCCTTACACCTCCAACGTCAATCTCTTGCATGTGAAGTTTGATTGTGGGGCGACTATCCTATGCAATTGGTGGACCACCTAGCTCTCGATGTCTAGTAATTTTTGAAAACTTCTCTAATATTTTTGTCGAAAAGAAAAAAAAATCATATATTTTATTAGATCATGGTTTTTATCGCTTCTCCCTCGTTTTCTCCTTTTTTTTCTTTCTATTTATCACCTTTTCTCTCCCCTTTGACTACAACTACAGTATCATTAAAATTTAAAACATTGAAAGTTGTCCACAAAAAAGGGAGAGAACCACTCGAATCATTGCATTTCTACTTTGTGCATTACAATAGTAAACAACCTCATTACGAAAAGGTAATTTGTCGATAGTATTAGAATCATGATTAAGCGAGGTGAAAACCAAAATAATCCTGATGAATCCCAAAACCAATAAGAGTGAGGTGGATACCCTTAGGACCAAACTAGCAAATCATGACACAATATTGAACAAATCATGGAACCAGATGACCCAAGTCCTAAGAGTTCTCCAAAACCTTGTAAAATGACCCATGAATGAGAAGATTAAAAAGTCGGTAAGACAACATGTTCACTCTCCATAATCCATTGCTTTAAAAGAATGAATTTTACCTACTCTCCAACTCCCTATTCGAACAAATCCTAAGTCCACCTGTTCACAATCATGCTTCAACAATTCTTAATGACCAAACTTTTGACCTTAATGATAAATTCCTAGAAACTACTAGAAATCCATTAACCTGAGTAATAGACCAATGAGTTTGGTTTGCTGACAATCTGGGGAACATGGCTGGAAGAGTCAAAGTGGATGTGTCAAACTTTGATAGTAGGTTTGACCCAAATGTATTTGTTGAAAAGTTAGATAGCATGGAGGATTACTTCGAGTGATATGAAATGATTGATATTGAGCATATACGATTTGCAAAAATAAAACTGGTTGGATCCGCTAGGAAATATTAGCAACATATCTACCGTAGTCTTAAACACCGTCGAGACCCTCCGATCACCCAATGGGAAGAGATGAAAGAAAATATTAAGAAAAAATATTTACCAACGTACTTTCAAAGCCATCTGGTTGAATAATTGTTAATTCTTAAACAGTTGAATTCTAGTATGACAGAGTATTTTGCTTGATTAGAGGAACATTTACTTATGTGTGAAATAAAAGAGGACCAAATCATTATTGTTCGAAGATTTATTAATAGGTTAAGGTTTGACATCCAACGGGAAGTCATCCATAGTTTCCCTGACACCAAGTAGGAAACTTCTCGTCGAGCACTTGAGCTTGAGAAGTACCTCAAACTCTATTCAACTCATCGATACTCTTCTTAGTCTTTCATGTAGATTGGCTCTATAAAAAATCCTCACTACTAGCAACAATCCTAACCCAACCATGAATCGTCCAAATGGTTCAATCACTGATTCTCAAACTAGTTCGTCTTCAATCCAATGTCACTATTGTCATAATACGAGTCACATTGCCTCTTGTTGTCCTCAACGTACCTTTATCTTAAAACAAGAACCAAATAATCAAATCGAGGAAGTAGACCAAGTAGTTAAACCTAAAGCCTACTTAGGTGATGAAAATAAATTAGAAATTAAATATGCTCATATTAATGTTGTTGAATCCCGATTTTTGATGATGAAATCAATTGATGAAGTTATGATCTAATCAGTGTTTTGAGTGATGCAAGACTAATCTCGATCAAGGAAAGGCAAATTGATTAAAGTAGGAGGAATCAGACGTTGGGCCGGAGTGAACATGTCAGAAGATTGGACGTCGACCGGAGGATCGGTCGACGTGTCAACAGAAGGACTTCATGTTGTGAGTTCGGGTATCGAGCCGAAGGATCGAACATTGCGCCAAGGAGATCGAAAGTTGCGAGAGTCAACATATGTCGATTGGGCAATACGCCGAAAGAGAGGACAATGCGTCGAAAGATCGAAAAAAGCGCCGGATGAACCGATGATATGCCGGACAACATAGGATTCATGCTTGTAATCGATAATGTCTAGATCGAATTAGTTTAGAGTCTAATTGAGTCGGTTTGGGGTGTAACCAATGGCAACTCAATTAGGGGCTCATTGGGCCTGAGTTAGGATTGTTTTGGATTAAGTGAGGCCCATACAACAACCCTTAGCAGGCCCAAGTGATGGCACCGCTTGGGACTCGACCTCCCAAGTGATCTGGGCGGTGGTACCGTCGGTAGTTAATGTTGCCAAGTGCTGGTACTGCCCTGTCAGGCGATAGTACCGCCAGAGCTTAGTCTCTGAGGCTTTGTTAGACGGTGGTACCGCCTAGTGTCAGTGCTGCAGGTGATGGTACCACCCAGCATAAGTGGTAGTACCGCCAGGATCCGGGAAACACGAGATGAGACTTTTTTTTTGCTCTATTTTTTACGTCGTTTGGGGTCTATAAATACCCCAGTTATTTCTGCTTGGAAGTGCACGGAATTGAGTAGAAATGGGGGAAAGAATACTTGAGAAAAAATTGGAAACCCTTTTAGGATTTAAAGTCTCTTCCTCCTAGAGTTCGAAGTTTTCTAAAGGAAGAGTGAGGTCTAAAAGAGAGGTGTAAAAGTTCTCTCCTGAGCCTGTGAAAAGGAGAAAGAGTTGTAAGGGTAGTTGATCTTCGCCCATTGAAAGAATATCAGTAGTGAAAGCCGACGACCTCGAGTGAAGAGGAATCGGGAGTGGACGTAGGTCACGACGACCGAACCACTATAAAATCTAGTTTGCATTTACTATATGCTTTTCATTTACATTGCAAACTTATTTCTTACTCTCACTATGATTACGAACGTGTTTTCAAGTTAATATCTTTCTGATGCAGGCTTTATCGAACATAGTTTTCGAATCATCGTAATTTTTACGAAAGCACTAATTCACACCCCCCCCCCCTCCCCCTCTTAGTGCCGAAACGATCCTAACAAATGTTATCCACACTATTCTCCTGACTGCTAGTGATTCCAATGAGTGGAAGAGGACAAGTATCTTTCATCCTTTTATCTGAAGCGGGGAGAGAACTTGTAAATTGGTTATAGATGGGGGTAACACTATGAATGCAATCTCAAAATCTACTATCAAGAGACTAAACCTTAAGATAGAGTCACATCCGACCTTATTTAAAGTAGCATAGGTTGACAAAACACTTAAACCGTGACCTAGAGATACCTAGTACCAATCAAAATAGGCGATTATCAGGATGGCATTTACTATGACATCCTACCAATGGATGTTGCCCACATTCTTTTAGATTGGTCTTGGTTGTATGGCCTTGATATTACTAATCACAGAAGAGAAAACATGTATGTCTTTCAATACAATGGCAAAAACATCATCCTACAACAAGTAAAACAGTTAGAAAATGACATATCAGGAACTCTCAAGTCTCTTCCACAAGCCCCAACTACCAAGGGACTCCACTTATTGGATCCTAAATCTTTTGAATAGAGAGCCTAGACAACAAATTTTGTGTGGCCATCATTGCTAGAGAAATTTTGAGTCCTTGTACTATTCTTGACCTAACTCCTGAGATTAAATCCTTATTAGATGAATTTTCTGGTATCATACCCTAGGAATTATTGAGTGAGCCACCACCCTTATAGGAAATCCAATATGCTATTGACCTTATTCTAGGATCATAGCTCCCTAATCTCCCACATTATAGAAAGAATCCTAGGGAGAGAGCCAAGTTAAACAATCAAGTTGAAAAACTTTTAGTTAAAGGCTTTATGCGACACAACCTCAATTCTTGCATTGTCCCTACCATATTAACCCCTAAGAAAGATGGGTCTTTAAGGATATGTGTCGATAAACGAGTGATCAACAAAATGACAATCAAATATAACTTCTCGATTCTTCGACTAGAGGATATACTAGACCTTCTCGCTGGATGCAGTTGATTTTCAAAACTTAACCTAAGAAGCAAATATCACCAAATTCATATTAGACCGGGTGATGAATGAAAAACAACATTCAAAACTCAATTGGCCTATACGAATGGCTAATCATGCCCTTTGGTCCATCTAATGCCCCAAGAACTTTCATGTGCTTCATGAACCAAGTTTTACAACCCTACATATGTAAATTTGTTGTAATCTACTTTGATGATATCTTGATTTTTAGTAAGACCAAAGAGAATAATTTAGAACATCTTTGATAGGTTCTTACTATCCTTCGAGTTGCTAAGCTCTATCTCAATATAATGAACAAACACGTCTTATTCCTAAGCTTCATTTTATCATCATTTTAGAATGACCTTAGCCTAAAACTATTTCTGAGATTCGAAGTTTCCATAGATTAGTCTCTTTCTATAGGAGATTTATTAGAGACTTTAGTTTTATCATGGCACCTATCACTGCTTGCCTAAAGAAAGATGAGTTTTCTTGGACCTTTGCCACTATCAAAGCCTCTGTTGACATCAAAATGAGAATGATCACTGCTCCAATTCTTAGGCACCCTGACCTTAGGAAACCCTTTGAGGTCACTTGTGATGCCCCTGGTATAGGCATAGGAGGAATTCTAAGATGTGAATAAAAATATTCACATCTTCCCTCTAGCTTCTTACTCTCCTCTCTTTTCTCGCACTTCTCGTTCTTTCTCTTCCCCTCTCTTTCTCTCTACTTGTATCTAAGCCTTTTTTTTTTCAAAATGTTGGTTGTGTCATACAGTGATAAGTCAGAAAACAAAAGAGAAAGCTGTTATTACTAATATACCCCCAATCACTTTAATTCAAATGTCTCTACGTCTAGCTTTTAAATCTTGACAATCTTGTACAATGATCAACTGAACAGCAACAGAGAAAAATGTTGCTGCAGTAGTAGGATCAATTGGATGGTAAAAGAGACTTGTTGCACTACTAGTACTCCACCCTCTCCATTTTAGATATCCCTAGGGCTGGCTTTTAAATGTTGGAAGCACTGTACAGAGACAAGTTGAATGCCATCTCCAAATTCTCTGCCTTTAAAAGAAAGTTACGACAGAGAAAGTTGCTGATGCATTAATACTACTCTCAATTAATACTAGCTTCTAAATATTGGCACAACTGAACTAGCTTTTAAATCTTAAACAAAATTGCCACCCTCTCTCCCCGTTCCAATTGGCTTTGCTCATAGCATATAGTATTTTATAAAATTTAAGAATATATTTTTATTCCTTATTGAGGCAATAATACTAAAAAAATCAGGGTTTGTCAGTTGCTATCAGAATACCTGATGACAAGTTTACCAGGGTTGAATTCTTTTATCATTGCTAGATACACCAAATATTTGGTTATTGAGATATGGCCATTGTGCTAACATTGGATTATCAAATTTTGTGCATTTAAGTCCCTCTTGACCTACAGACAATCAAGCAAAATTTTCAATAATGCTCAATACACCAACCCTCTAAGACCAGGAACAGTCCTCTGATTGAAATGTATCTCAGCCATGTTGAGACCACAGAAGTAAGAGGGTTGGAATTTGATAAGTCTGAGTTGGCTATAAAATTTTTTTATCATCTCTTAAGTTAGGCAAGATAGGTATGCAGAAAAGTTAGCATATATAGCATTGCAGAAAAGTTCTGTGCCCTTCTCCGGCCTGGGCAGCTGGCCTACCTTTAGGTATATTTCATGTATAATAGAAGCAGCCTAAGCATGCCTTAAAAGAAAATTTACCTCAGCCTGCTCGTGTGCCATCTTCATTCTTCGGTACTCTTGCTGTGCTCGATATGAGCGAAACATGGCTTGGACTCGTACAACTGATCTCTGCACCCGTTCTTCAGCTTGTTTCCTACTGATTCGAAAAAAATCCTCCTCTCCAGTGCTTTCTGGCATCGTATCCACTTTCATTGTTTTTGTGGCTTCAACTTGAATGCCACGGAGACCTTTTCTCTTCAACCGCCAACGAAGGACTGCTTTCTCAAGTACTCCTACTGACCAAACAATTTTGCGGTATTGTTTCCTCACTTGATGCCCTCTGAAGGTAGCCTGTTCAGATATTGTTGATAAATTGGTTGAGACTAATATAGACAGAAACTAACATGGAGAAAGACAATAACATTATAACCCAAAATGCCGACAAAACAGATGCTTTTGGAAATATAGATCAGTATGTATAATTTTCACCTCTAGAACAAAACCTTATGAATAGTGAAACTACTAGAAAGAGGAGAGCATGAAATTATTGAAAAGCTAGAGTACAACACTCAGCCCGCTTACTTCCGAGAAAGAGAAGCTGATTTTGCTTGTCCTTAAAAACATAGTCAGCACAAGCCACAATAAAAAAGGATTTTCTTAAATCTCAACTTACTTGTATCTTAATAGCCTTTCTACGCATGTTAATATAATCCCTCCGTGTCTTCCAAGTGCGGAAATGGCTTTGTATGCGTGCAGCAGCCTTCATCAGCTTTCGTCTGTTATAATTATGAAAGGCATGCTGGATCTTCAGAGCAGCAATTATCTGGGTTGCTTCCATCTCAGGTTTGACCAACTGAACTGCTTTTGTTTGAAACTTTAGGGCACGCTCCCTCATTGCGGATTGTATACGATCAGCTGCATCAGCAGCATTCCTGTATGCTGCTAATGATTCTTTCAGGCATAGTTCTGGCTCGCTAAGGTTCTCAGAGTTATCTATGGTAACTGATATAGATCTTCCTTGAGTAGTTATGTTCCCTGACAATGACATAGCCTCAAAATGTGCAGATAGTCCTTTTTCTGCAAGATATGCTGCCAAGCCTTCATAACCTTGTTTTGATGCCAGATCAGCAGCGGTCCATCCTCCAGGGCTTTCAGTAGTCGGATCTGTAACCAAGCTAGGATTTGCTCCAGCGGATAAAAGAGCTGCAACCATTTTTTCCCTGAGTGGAACAATTTCAACATATGTTCAACAATCTTAGTAAAATAGAGTCTGGAAGAAAAAAACTTTCCACCATGAAAAAAAAAATAAAACTATATGTCCTTTAGTGATTATACCATCAAGCAAATACTGTTAGAAAAATAAGAAAATATCCAAATATATGAAAATATATGTAAATATGCCAATAAAGCATTCTTCAAATTAAGTGCAGACTACGTGCCTTCCCAAGGATGCAGCCCAATGCAATGCTGTCCAACCATGAATATCCCGGAAGTCCAAGGACAAGCCTGACAACAAATATAGACGAATTGCCCATGTATAATTTAGAATAGTACATAAATGTATGACTCCCTGACCTTGACTGTCATGGTCAGTTGTTTTACAACCTTCAGCAACCTTTAGCAAAAGCCACTCTTGAAACTTATTTCTTAAAACCACCTCAAGTAAGTCATCTCTAGTTGATGCAGATGAGACCCCATCAGCGCTATCCAGTTTTAACAAATTTATCCAATCCTTTTCAACTAAAGGAGAGGTGAGTGATGCAAATCTTTTTGCTTCATTCAGGGATTTCGGTGGTATCCTGCTAGATAAAATGGACATATTGTTCGATGTAGTAAACAGTAAATAGGCAAGTCTCTTCTGCACCTGGTAATCTTCCCACTTTAATTTGTTATAATTGTCTTCTGATGAAGTGACTGGACCATCCATTTGAGTATTAGGTAAAAGTCGATAATCAAAGCTCAAAACTTGGCTAATTGGTGTGTGGCCATCCAGAGTCAAAAAAAGATCCACAAGACCAGGTGGCTGTGGAAATGCCATGCACCGATAGACACCAGGATGTACCATCTCTGCTTTGGCACATATCTCACCTAAGACATAGTAGATGTTTGATGATATTAGGTGCTTCTTTGATTCACCAAAATATCCAACAATTAGGACCTGCAAATTTTTTTTTTCAGAACAATAAGCTGCCAGAATATGAGTACAGGAGAAATCATATACAACGGAGTACATATCTTACATCTTATCGATATAGTGTCCTAGTTGAGATTGAAGGTCATGGAATGTAATTAAACAGTGTATATATTTTACCAAAAACTGTGTAAAAAATATGTACATGTACATACAACTAAACTATATCTCAATTGGATATAGTATTTATGACAAGAATATTACACCAGAAGTATGATGAACTTAAAGATGACCCTGACTTTTTTCTCTTTCATGCTAGTGGATACATACATGTATGTATGTATGTATGTATGTATGCATGTACATATATATGTATATATACATGTACATGAACATATATACATATACACGTATACATATACACATATACATATATACATATATACATATATATATATATATATATATATCAAGGTTTGCAATATCGACCCGTACCATTCGGTATGGGCGGAACGTACTGATCCGATAGGTGACCGGTATGCGGGCCGCCCTCTCCCGGATAGTATCATAACTTGATCTCGTATCAAGCGATACGAGTTCTGTACCGGACAATAACGATCGAATTTCGATCGTTACCAATCAAGGGCGAAGATCGCTCTATTTCAAACGGTCAAATTGACCGTTTGAACCATAGGAAAAGATTTTTAAACCCTTTCAAAACACCAAACCCCCCCCCTCCCTCCTCCTCCTCCTCCTCCTCCTCCTCCTCTTTCAACACATATCACTCTCTCAATTTCTGCAACTCTCTCAAATTCATTCTCACTTACATCTAACAATTCAAATTATTTTTTTATAGATAATTCAATATTAACGGAAGGACAGTTCAGAACACACCACAAAGCTACTCTTCAAAGTCCAAAAAAGATGTGTTTCTATTCTTTCCTAATTTAGATTATTTTCACTAAAATTATACTAAATTTATATTTATTTTCAATTTTAAAACCTTAATCTAACTTTTTTTTTTCTATTTTAAAGGTATTTTTAGAATTATTTTTGATTTTTTTTGGGTATACTGTCAATACGCCTCGGTATGTACCGTACCAACCATTGGTTAGTACACCGATATAGACCGAAATTACAAACCTTATTATATATGGCATATCTCCAAAAAGATTAATCACCAATTGGTTAGTATCTGTTTATGTACTATAAATCATGGTATGTAATTTCGAATGGTACCGTCCGGTACGGGCGGTACGTACCGGTCCGACGGCATACCGGTACGCGGATCGCCTGCTACCGGACTGACAGTGCTACAGTGTTACACTGTAATACACTGTAGTAGTGCTATAGTGCTACAGTAAGAGGAAATCACTCGGTAAGCCCTGGTATACCGTTCGGTATGTCCTGGTGTGCCGCTCGGTATGCCGATACCATACCGTACTGAACCAACCTCGAAACACCGGTATGGTACGATATTGTATACCTTGCTCTAAATTTATTTGTCCAAATAATTCTACCATATTTCACACATCTATTTTGCCCCATTGAGGGCAATGAGCTTTAAATCCATGGTTCATCACATTTTTTCATTCTTTTTATTTCTTAACAAGTCTTATATGACAGGTCCTTCTAAGTTAATTAACCTTTGCACATTTAGAGCTACTATTTGTACATGCTACACCACCTTAACTTTCATTGATTTAATTGTTAAAAACTGTTAGTGTACTTGAAATAACAAAATATTGAAGTGATAATTTTCTCTTAGACAAATTTCTTTATGGTTTAGACACATTAAAAAAACAGAATTACTATTAAGTAATTGTGAGCCAGCAAGTTTGACATCCAAAAATGCGAGCCCAGTGGGGCCCATGCAACATTAAGTGGAGCTTGGAGAAAAAAAAAGCCAAATAATTAAAACGTACCATTGTATTCTCTGTGCAATAAGACCAGCAAGGTGAGATGTCAGTTACATTAAAAATATGATCTCCTAATGAGGTCGCAATTGGACTGGCCTCATCACCGGTCAAACTTTTAGGTTGAAGTTGCGTATCGTCTATCAAACCAAGAGAATCATCATTTATGCAGTTCCAGCTTCCAAAACTATTCTGAGTAAGAAGGACATCAGCATTATAAATGTTTGCATTTTCACTGCAAACTGCAACATCCAAATTAAATTCTGCCACTGGAGGATTTGGATTTCCTGTCTTGAATGGCACCAATGTGATCTCCTGATCTTTTAATTGGTCAACACGACCATGATCATTACCAGAAGTAACATTAGATAGACCTAGAGAAACTATTGGTGCATTGTTATTTGCAGTAGATCCAACTAGTTCTTCCCATTCTAGTGTGTTGATCTCATGAAGACTCAACTCATGATTCTGAAGTTCAATGCAATTACCAGAACCTGCAAGATAAGAAAACAATGTAGTCTCCTGGCAGCAATTAGAATACCAATGAAGCTGTATTAGATTCTAAGCATACACCATGAGGCAGTCACATGTAATAATTTTGAAGATATTGATTAGTAATTTTGAAGATATGAGCTAATCATAAGCATATATATGAATTCTATAATGCAGAAGGGCCAATAGCATCATCCACCCTGATGTATTAATAAGACCATGCCTACCAAAAAAAAAATTTAAAAATGGCATATAAAATATATCAAGGAATTCAAAACTCTTAAGTTATTGCATTTAAAGGATGCAAAGTTTATCATGTCAGTTTAGCAGGCAGATACATGAATGGTTTTGTCTCACCATTGCCGCTGACATTGTAGTCTATTGAGTTAATTTCTTCTGAAACAAATGTGTGTCCTGACACCTCCGATTGGGCAGAACCACCAGCTGAATTCACTGGTGTTGATGGAGAACCATATTGCACCCTACCAGTAGCCGAAACAACTTCTTTACATTCTACTGATGCAGGAACATGTTGAAATGAATTATCCTGATGTCATGGACCAAAGGAGAAGCTAAGAACAATGAAGAAATATTTTATGCAAGAATCAAACTTTCACTGTCATGCCCCATGCTGCAATATGAGTGCACAGTAAATTCTGTGCAGTAAGGTGCACAGTACTTCCAGAATTATCAAGCAAAGTGCCTGCCAACCATGCGAACAATATGCCAAATGATGTGTTGGTGCATCCTTGACACAGCATGATCACATGCTGATATCATGCCAGCATGGTTGAAATTCATCAAAACTGAAAGCATGATTTAGGATAAAAAAAAAGCTAGAAAGAAATCCAAGTTCATTTAAAAAATATCTGAAACAGATTAAAATGGAAACAATCTATAAAAAACAGAAGAGATAAGCCTGCTTAGTTTATCTAGAACTCATCATGGCTTGAAATTGAATGTTGCCACTGGAAACCAATTACTGGGCACTTAGAAATGGAAAATAATGTAAACTGAAGTCTATGTTCCATAAAGCATACTATCTATATCTCTAGGTTTACATCTGAGGTAACTGGTTATAAAGAAATCAATTACTGGGCACTTAGAAATGGAAAATAATGTAAATTTAAGTCTATGTTCCATAAAGCATACTATCTATATCTTTAGGTTTGCATGAGGTAACTGGTTATAAGAAATAACCACACTAAAGATAAAACCTGATTGAGGCTTGTTAGACATATCAAAACTTACAAAATTAGCACATTAAAATAATTTAAAAAAATGGTGACAAGATCCAAGAATATGGCTGATAGAAAGCATCGCACTTGTAAGGTTGTTGACACAGATGATAAGTAGGAAATCATCTACGTATGAGCAAGGAAACGTTCTCAACAGGCATATATCGATGTAGGAAATGAGCAACATGATATGGGCTAACTCGAATAATACGGCAACGTCAGAAAGTTAATTGGTTTATGTCAATAATGTGTAAAGGGTGTTTCAGCATACCCTTGGCCCAACTACAGACCAGCCAAGCCAACACCACATTGGTACGATACTGCACAACAGAACTCAAAAACCATGTGTACACATGGACAATGTTCTTCCCACGAAACAACAGACTGAAGGAATCCCAATACCAACAATTGTAAGGTCTACATGTGGCAATTGTCTTCTATGGCACACAAAAATTAAAATATATGATGTAATGACTCACCTAACAAGTTGGAACTTAATTTACATATGCAAACTCTAAAAAAATCTAAGTACTATATGCAAGTATTTCCATTCATTCACCAATTGACAATAAAAGATTTTCTTATTTGTACATGACTAGTTGCAGGCTAGATACTGCCTTAAATGTTAGTACAAATATGGCTAAGTACATCTTATTCTATCCCTGTTGTTGCTCTTGAGCCAATATTCAGGACAATGACCTTCTTCTTGTTTAAATACCATAAAGGAAATGGACCCTTTTGACTTTTGATTCCTATGTAATTTGGAATAAAATTTCCAACAAGGTTAAACAGATCAGAATTTCATGCATTCTCAAAAAGAGAAAATCTGCATTTCAAGAGGTGCAGACTAATATCAGTCCTTTTTTTTGCCTATTTTTTAATATATTGGTAATTTCAAAGGCATCAAACAAAGCCACAAGATAGGTCCCTCAATCATAAGCACTCAGCATATGGCAACACAAGCCTCATATATGCATCAACCAACAGATGCATAAGTCAATTTTCCTGGCAAAAGAAGTGACACTTGAAATGTTGGATTTCTATTCACTAGTCAAGATGATGAACATAGAACTCAAACAGAGCTCGTCTGAAGGAAGAAACCTCTGATGTTTGACGATAATGTACGAGAACTATACGCTCCAAATCCCTGAATAAGAAAAATATCCAATATTACTTCAGTTGTGAATGTTCTAAGACATTGTGATTTCAACTATAAGCCAAAAAATATATCTAAAATCATTTTGAGCAACCTATTACATATAACTAGAAATGGAGTCTGTTAACTAAAGCCCTTGCATGACACAATTATAAATTTTACGGAAGACTTCAGAAGGTTCAATTGATAAAAATATGTATCAGGAAATATGAAAATAAAAGATGAGTTCAAACAAAAAGACGCTTTATAAAATACTCTAGGTTAAGATTAATCTATGATGCAAAATTATGAAAACCTGATATTTTGGAATGCTACACTAGCTTACTCCATAATGTCAAATCTATAAGGAACTAACTCCAACATCCCAGAGTCCAGACATTGTTAATATAGTGGTGTGCAAACCGCCACTTCCATTGGCATGCTTACTGATGAATAATGATGAATGACAAGCTAATTTCTAGCCGACACAGAATCACCATATGAATCAACTGACCGAATAACAACCAGTGGAAAATAATGTACCAACACACACACAAATGGGAAGGTAACTGCATGGAAAAGTGCTCTTAATCTGAGGTGTGGGCCTACGGATGCTCAAAGCATAGATTAGTAAATGTAAAGTAAGAAAAGAGATGGCTGCATCCTTCAGAAAAGAAAGTCACCGACTTCCCTAAAATTCCATACTTATGAATGCCAGGTGTTTAATCATCTCAAGTTCTGTCATCTAATTTTGAATTGAACTAAAAAAATTTCTAAATCAGAAAACAGTAAGTTGATTACATACATGTGTTTGACATTATCCAATTATTAATAAGCTCTACATGATTTAAGCTAAGGTATGAATATCCTGATAAATTCATATTTTATTCTCTACATTCCTACTCCTCTTCCTATTCTTGCATTTGTGTGTCCTTTCCAACTTTCTTTCATTTCACCCCTCTAACCTTTCTCACCAAGCAGACACTTGGCAAACTCAATCCTTCATCTAATGCTTATAGTTTCTTCTAGTAGATCCTACCAAAAAGATAGATGCTCTGGCTCTAGAATTGTTATTAGAGGTCCTCTAAAAACAGGATAACCAATGCTGTCTAATACTAGAATGACTAATAATTTGTAGATTTCAAAGTTCAAGTTTAATTAAAATTTGATCACAAAAAAGATTCAAGAAATATTATGAAAACAATACTTAGGTAGTAGAACTGCAGCCCGACTATGATGCATGGTATGCAATACCGAATGGTACCGCCCGGTACGGGCGGTATGTACCGGTCCAACGACATACTGGTACGCGGACCGCTCGGTACCGGACGGAACGTGCTACAGTATTACACTGTAGCTACTACAGTGCTACAGTAAGAAGAAAATATATAAAACTATTCAGTACGCCCTGGTGTACCGCTCGGTATGCCGGTACTGTACGAGCCAACCTCGAAATACCGGTACGGTACGGTATTGCATACCTTGCTATGATGTATATAAACAAGAAGGAAAAAAATGAGATCAAAAGATAAAATAGATTAGATGAGGAAGACAAAAACAAAAGAGAGCGAAATGATAGAAGATTACAATGAATGCAAGATGGTCCTAATTTTCGATCATTCCTGTTCTAAAAAAATGAGAAGATATTGTTGAATCTCGTATTTTGATGATGAAATCAATTGATAAGTTTTATGATTTAATCTGCGTTTTGGGTGACGCAGGATGCTTCGATCAAGGAGAGACAATTAAAGCAGGAAGAATCATGTTGGGCCAGAGGAAAACGTGTCAAAAGATTGGACGTCAGGCCAGAGGATCGGTTGACGTATCAACAGAAGGCTTCAGGCCAAAAAGAGCGGATATTGCGCCAAGGATATCGGAGTTGCGAGGTCAACTGGCCGATTGAGCAATAGGCCGCAAGAGAGGACGATAAGCCAAAGAATCGGACGAAACGTCGATGGACCAATGACATACCGGACGACATGATTCATGCTTAGTAATAATTGTCTAGATCGAAGTGTGTTTTTATATGTGCAGGATTAACTACGATAGCAAGGCATAAAGCAAAATAAAGTCCCGAAGTCAAGAACGCGATTTCGTTGGGAGTTCGAGAGTTCGTTGGAAGTTCGGACGTTCGTCGGAAGTTCTACCGAAACCAACCGAGAAGTCCAGGAGCTTACCAAAGAAGCTCGTCGGAACTCGCCAAGAAGATCGTCGTGAAGTCCAGGAGCTTGCCGGGAGTCCACCGGAACATTACCAAAAGATCGTCGGAAGTTCGCCGGAAGAAACCGGACTTATCTTGCTTAGATTATGTCTTAGGAATCGTAGTTAGCACATAATTGGAGTTGGGATTGAGAGGTAATCCCATCAGCTTTGTTAGGGGCCAACTGGGCCCGAAGTTGGGTTGGTTTAGGCCGGATTCAAGGCCCAACTAGGGTGCTGAAACCCTAGCCGACGATGGCACCGCCAGGGCCGGCGATGGCACCACCTGGGGAACAGCACCCCAGGAAATCTAGGCGGTGGTACTGCCGGCAACAATGCTGCCAACGGTGGTACCACCCCTGTTCGGCGGTGGCACCGCCCAACTGCAGATCCTGCAACGGTAGTGCCACCCAGGAACGGCGGTGGTACCGCCAGTACCCAGGAAACCTAGGATGAGACATTTTTAGGCTCCAAGTTTGAATCAACTTGAAGCCTATAAATACCCCTCTCATCCCTGGTTAACTAACACAAGCACAGAGAATTTAAAGAGGGAAAAACGCTATTGTAATCTCTTGTGAGAATCCTCTTCTTCTAGTCTAAGTGTTAGAATAGTTTGAGAGAGGAGTGAGTGCTTGTAAGGGTTGTCTCCTAAACCAGGTAAAAGGAGAAGAGGGGTGTAAGAAGGAGGTTAATCTTCACCTATTAAAGGAAGATCGATAGTGGATGCCGATGGCCTCGACGGAAGAGGAATCGGAGGGGTGGATGTAGGTCACGACGACCGAACCACTATAAATCGGTTTGCATTTCTGTTTTACTATTTATCTTAACTGCAAACTGCCTTCCTTGCTTTACATCAACTACACTTCCGTATGCTTTCAATTTAAAGATATTTCCGAAACGGTTTTCGTCGAAATCAGATTTTATCGTACGAAGGTTTTTCAAACCGACGTAATTTTTACAATTACACTAATTCACCCCCCTCTTAGTGCCAACTCCTTTCCTAACAGTTGGTATCAGAGCCTTGTGATTTCTCATTTGGTTTAACACCCAAGAGAAATGGCTCTTTTCGGCTTTCAAGAGGGTCACTCTCTCATTCGTTCTCCCTTTTTCGAGGGGATGGACTACATATATTGGAAAACTCGAATAAGTGTTTTCTTGCTTTCTTTGGATTTGAACTTATGGAGCATTATTGAAAATGGTTTTCGAATGTCTTCTCTTCCAATGAACCATTGGAATGATTTGGATAAGAAGACATTTTCTTTAAATGCTAGAGCTATGAACGCTCTATTTTGCGTAGACAAAACTAAGTTTAATCGTGTTTCTATGTGTGAAACAACTTTCGACATTTGGCACATTCTTGAAACCACACATGAAGGCACTAGTAAAGTAAAAGTTTCGAAGATTAATCTTTTAATGCATGATTTCGAATTGTTTCATATGAAACCAAACAAAACCATTGGAGACATGTACACCCGTTTTACGGATGTCGTCAATGGTTTAAAATCACTTGGTAAAAGTTTTTCGGATTTTGAACTTGTAAACAAAATTTTGCGTTCTCTTTCTAAAGATTGAGATTCAAAAGTAACTGTCATACAAAAAGCTAAAAACCTAAACAATCTTACACTCGAAGAACTAATTGGGTCTTTAATGACCTACGAAATGAACAATGTTGCAAAAAAAGAACTCGAGAACCACCTTCCAAAGAACATGAAAGATTTCGGACTAAGAACAATTAAAGATCACTCGTGTATAAGCTCAAGTGATGGTGAACTTGAACTCATCACTATGAAATTTAAAAAGTTCATGAAACAAAAATTAAAGAACAAAAAAAACGCAACTACTTGCTATGAACGCAAGAAGAGGAAAGAACTTTGGGACGAATCAAGCTCCTCCGAAGACAAGGAGAAAATCAACAAAGGTGAAGTGGCAAACTACACCTTAACGACTTTTTACAACGAGGTAAACAACTCAAACGAAACTCCCTTAGTTTACTTTGAAATTACTTGATGTTCTTCATAAGTTGTTTTTTAATTTAGTTTTTTAAAAAATTATCTAATTTTTTTTTGAAAATTATGTTTAATAATGTAATAAAAATGCAAAAATTAAGATCATACTAGTAATTTTGAAAATGATAATGAAAATTATATATTTTATGTTAAAGCAATAAAATGTTAAATATAAATCTAATGCTTGTACACTTATCAAGATTAATCATATTGTTTCTCAATTTTAATTAAAGATGCTCAATGATTAATGAAATCAAGTTTTCATTTGAAGTAATGATTTGATATCATGCTCAATAAGTTTATGTTTCGAATTTATGCATGATGATTCTTGCGATTTATAGATTATCGATTTTTACCATAATGAAAGTGGCTTTTTCGATTTTAAAAAGGATACATGTCTTGATTTGGCATAAATGACAAAGACATGCTTATATGAAATAATGTAAGTATTGATGATTTTACATTTAAATTATGCTTTATGGTTTATTGATCTTGATGATTTCCATGATGAGATTTACTTTTTCAATTTTAAACCATGATATATGATTTTCATACGAAAAAGATAAAGGTACGAAATAAACAACTTCAAATGAAATATATAAAAACAAAAGGGGGGGGGGAAGAGGAATACATTTTCCATCTTATTGATTTTTCATTAATGAATCCATGTATATTATGCTTTAATGAATCTCATGGATTATGAAAATGATTTAAATTTAATGGATTTTATCGAAATCATGATCTTGATTTCTCGTGATTTATAACTTGAAATCATTTATGAATCAAGATCTTGTTTTTTGAACTCCCATATTTCTTCTTATTGTTTACTAAAGAGGAAAATTTCCTAAATAAATCATGATTTTTTGGAATTATAATTTTTATGATTCATAATGAATTGAGAGATTTTATATGCATGAATTAATATCTTGTTCTCCTACAAGATTGAATGAATTTTATCTATGTTATGATTTCCTAAGAATTCTTTGGTCAAAATGAATCATGTCTTTTGGTATTCACATGATCTCATGATATGATTTTTTTTTTTGCTTTGTATAATTCATTGTATTCTTGAAGTATATCTCATCATCTAATTCTTCTTGATATTCATCATGTGATGATATGAATACATGAAATACTCATGATATCATTTTGATGCTCTAAAATGATATAAATTTGCTATGATTTGTTGTCAAAATGATGTATCATGAATGCGTGAATATCATGTATGATATGCCCATGGTGATTGATTTATTTATGTCATGCATGAAGTAAGGATATCATATGTAAAGTTTTAAAATTGTGCATATTGTAAATTGAAACCATAATGATGTACAAACATATTGAAATAATGATTGAAACATTAGTGTAATGATGATTTAATATTATGCATGCAATACTTCAACTTATGATAATAATTCATGCAATGATAAAATATTCATGATAAAAAATTATTTTGACATTCATAACTTGATATTTTGATTATTCATCCTTTGTCATGATTTGAAAATTGTTGTAAAGGGAAAAAGAGATACAAAACTGTATTCTTCCCTTCTTTTTGACAATGATAACGGGGGAGAAAAATTGCTAGCTCAAGATGTAAAATTTGAAAAATTGCACATTGTAAAAGAAGCAAACTTGCTAGCTTGCTCATCTCAAACGAGAAGCAAGAAGTGCTATCTTGCAAATTTCAAGACGCACAAATGCAAACTTGTAAAATTTATAATTTTGCACATCATTAAAATTTATGATGATTTGGTGATTATGCATGTTCTAAAATGTTGTAAGATTCACTAGCTTGCATGATGTAGAACTTGCTATCTTAAACATCACCAAGAAGTGCTATCTTGTCTATCTCAAGAAGCAAAAAATGTTAACTTGTACATCTAGCAAAACTTATAGCAAGAGTTGCTTTCTTGAATATCTCAAAATTGCTAGCTTGCATGTTTTAAAATGTTATAAAATTTTGCTAGCTTGCACTTTGCAAAGGAAGCAAAAATGGCACTTCTCCAAAGAGAAGAAAGAGCTTGCGATCTTGAACATCACTATCTTGCCAATCTCAAGAAGCAAAACTTGCAACTTGCACATTGCAATAGAAAGCAAGAATCGCTAGCTTACACACTTCAACAAGAAAGTTGCATTTGCTTTCGAAATTTTTGCTAGCTTGTATAAACTTGCTATCTTACTACCTTGCATATCTAAAACTTGATAGCTTGCTTGATGCAGCACTTGCTGAATTTTCAAGCTTACAAATTGCATGATGATAAATGCAATGTTTGACAGTATGTCTAAAATACTTGATAATTGAACTTCTCCTTTTTGTTGATGATAAAGGGGGAGAGGTATGTTGATGTTATGCATGGTTTTATCATGACATGTTGCTTAGATTTTTGAATCCAAAAATTCAACTCAAATATGTCATATTGATAGGGGGAGTTTGTTTAAACTCCGGGAGTTAAGGTTAACTCCGTCATCAATTGGTTGTCATCGTAAAAAAGGAGGGAGATTGTTGAATCTCGTATTTTGATGATAAAATCAATTGATAAGTGTTTATGATTTAATTTGCATTTTGAGTAACGCAGGATGCTTCGATCGGGGAGAGACAATTAAAGCAAGAAGAATCATGTTAGGTTGGAGGAAAACGTGTCAAAAGATTGGACGTCGGGCCGGAAGATCGATCGACGTATCGACAGAAGGCTTCGGGACATGGATTCGGGCATCGGGCCAAGAAGAGCGGATATTGCACCAAGGATATCGGAGTTGCGATGTCAACTGGCCGATTGAGCAATAGGCCGCAAGAGAGGACGATGAGCCGAAGAATCAGACGAAGCATCGATGGACCAATGACATGCCGGACGACATGATTCATGCTTAGTAATAATTGTCTAGATCGAAGTGTTTTTATGTGTGCAGGATTAACTACGATAGCAAGGCATAAAGCAAAATAAAGTCCCGGAGTCAAGAACGCGATTTCGTTGGGAGTTTGAGAGTTTGTCGGAAGTTCTGCCGGAACCAACCGAGAAGTCCAGGAGCTTGCCAAAAAAGCTCGTCGGAACTCGCCAAGAAGATCGTAGTGAAGTCCAGGAGCTTGCCGGGAGTCCGCCGGAACATTACCAAGAGATCGCCGGAAGAAACCAGACTTATCTTGCTTAGATTATGTCTTAGGAATCGTAGTTAGCACATAATTGGAGTTGAGATTGGGAGTCCCATCAGCTCTGTTAGAGGCCAACTGGGCCCGAAGTTAGGCTGGTTTGGGCCGGATTCAAGGCCCAACCAAGGTGCTGAAACCCTGGCCAACGGTGGCATCGCTTGGGGAACAACACCCCGGGAAATCTGGGCGGTGGTACCGCCGACAGCAATGCTGCCAACGGTGGTACCGCCCCTGTTCGGCGATGGTACCACCCAGCTATAGATCCTGCGGCGGTAGTACCACCCAGGAACGGCGGTGGTACCGCCAGTACCCAGGAACGGCGGTGGTACCGCCAGTACCCAGGAAACCTGGGATGAGACCTTTTTGGCTCTAAGTTTGAATCAACTTGAAGCCAATACCCCTCTCATCCCTGGTTAACTAACACAAGCACAGAGAATTTAAAGAGGGAAAAATGTTGTTGTAGTAATCTCTTGTGAAAATCCTCCTCTTCTAGTTGAAGTGTTAGAATAGTTTGAGAGAGGAGTGAGTGCTTGTAAGGGTTATCTCCTAAACCCGATAAAAGGAGAAGATGGGTGTAAGAAGGAGGTCGATCTTTGCCTATTAAAGGAAGATCGATAGTAGATCCCAGTGGCCTCGACGGAAGAGGAATTGGAGGAGTGGATATAGGTCACGACGACCAAACTACTATAAATCAGTTTGCATTTCTGTTTTGCTATTTATCTTAACTGCAAACTGCCTTCCTTACTTTACATCAACTACACTTCCGTATGCTTTCAATTTAAAGATCTTTTCGAAACGGTTTTCGTCGAAATCAGATTTTATCGTACAAAGGTTTTTCAAACCGACATAATTTTTACCGCTGCACTAATTCACCCCCCCTTTTAGTGCCGACTCTTTTCTTAACAGATACATCTCTGCTTTGGGCCACATGAATCTGAGAATACTTTCTTATACCCTAAACTTCTTTCTAAATCTCACCCATAGCAAATGCAAGACTAAGAAGACCGCCAACTTCCTATTATTAGATCATTTAAAGTCCCATGAAAACCCATATAAAAGAATACTTGAACTATTCTGAACTACACACACACACACACAAATATATATATATATATATATATATATATATATAACTGAACCTCATAATTTTTCACTTGAATTAGACTCAAGAGAAAAAAAGAAAGGTCCTTTATTTGATTCCAATGCTCTTCCTTTAGGAAAGTATGTGATTATAGATTCACCTATGCACAATATTCACACTTTAGGTGCCTTGTTAGATCCAGGTTTGTTGTGACATAACATCTGGGACTATGTTAGGACTCTAGCTAGTAGAGTCCTAATTGAATTTTATTGAAAGAGGCATTTATGTAAAACCTACCTAGCCGACCCCTATTAAAGAGGTAAAGAGGCCGACTAGGGTTAGGGTTAGTAGGGAGGTTGTTTCTTAGAGTAGGAGTCTTATTAGGAGTCGGTTAGAAGTAGGGGTCTTGAGTAGAAGTCCTATTAGGAGTTGGGGTTTAGAAGCCTTATAAATAGTCATGTATTCATCCTCTTTTGATAAGCAATAGATGAATCTTTTTAACAGCCTTTGAACAGCAACTTAGAGGAAGGAACCCCTATAGAGTTCCAAGGAGGCCGATCCCCAAAAGAGATCAACCCTAAGCTTAGAATCCGCTAGGGTTCTAACAGACTATGTCTCATAACATGAACTAATTAATTCCTTCAAGACTTACTCTACGAGTTGTCAAATTTTGTATAAGCTACATGTAGCAAGAAAATTTTGAAAGCACATAGTCATGCAACACCTACAGCAAATAAAACGAGTCCCTCTACAGATATATAATTCACCTTATTCTTGTAGGAACCATACAAATATAAGAGCAAATACATGCTGCATGACCAAGCTCTATTTCTTACATTAAAAACAAATTTTACTAAGACGAGCATGTATTGAAAATACCTATCAAGTAGCCAGTAGCACCTACGGTAGAAGTTAGGGTCATCCTCACTGCGTGCATAGTAAACATGAATTCTTTCTTCATTACCAATCTGTGACATAAACAAATATACTTCTCAAAACATAACTAAGTCGATCTAATGGCAAAGAAAATATATATTAATCACGATGACAATAACAAGTAATGCAAAATGAAAGATGGAATGATGTAGACAAGATGACAAATCCAAGAAGCTATACACTCCATAGTTAGTCACATACAAGAAACAGCAGGTTAAAGAAGGAAACTGGCAGAGGAGATCTCAAAGTGAGATTCTCAAGGCACTAAAAGATATCATATAATCAAGAAAATGAATCAGCAAGCCCGAAATATGCTCATGCCACGAAAAATCAAGTAAGAACAAGATGAGACAACATGGTGACCGTTTGTTAAAAGAAAAGGGATTTCACAGGAGTATCCATTAAACTAGAGTCATTATCAGTTAGCAATTGCACCAATTAATTTTTGTGAATTTAGTAACTTCTTGCTACTCCATCAGGATGGAAATTGATAGGGGTAAAAACAAATTGGACGTAACACACCGGATTTGACGTAATACACCCCGACGTCAGCCACCCCTGGACGGCACACTGCCCCAGGGGGCGAGCATTAACACCAACATAATGTGCACCCTCGCTCACCGTACCCAGACGACCTCATCGTCTGACCCCGCACGACCGGACGAGGCAGGGGAAGGCGTCGACCAAGGCTCGCCATACCTTGCGGCGGCTCGGCCTTCCATGCAACGCCCACGACGACGACAGACGCAATCGGGTGTACGGCCCTACCCCGGCAGGATGGCGCATCAGGTAACATCGAACTTACCTATAAATACCCTCGGGCTCCAAGCGAGCAGGGTAAGCACACAGAAGCACGACTTCACCCAAAAACTCCTCTCCCAATCACTGACTTGATCGTCGGAGGGGTCGGGCCGAACCGCCGACCCGACCTTTGTGCAGGTACTCAACCGAAGCCGACCCAACCCGGCGTCACGAAGCATTCCAACCAGATCCCTCGCAATCGGCCGTCACAAGATCCCGGGGGGAGTCACGCCTGATCCCAGCCGTTCGGACCCCTGAACCAACCGCGTCGACCCCAAGGTCACGGCTAAAAAAGTTACTTACCATAACAGAAATGATTGTGTGTACAGTTAGAAATTTCAGCAATCATATCTTATATGTAATCTAGAGTTTGTAGTCACCTATGACAGTTCTGCATCAACCCAGCAATTGAATATAGTCCTTGCTACTCCATAAAGGTGCAGTGGCACAGTGCAAACAGTTGCTAGAAACTTCAACAATAACAGTCCTGAATGTGATCTAGATTTTTCAGTCCCCTATTGGCAGTTCCACCTCAACCCAGAATCTGACTTTCAGGAAGAGTCATATCATTTCTCGATAACACATTCTCATATACTGAATTGGTAGGCATCACATATTTTCCTTGTATAAAACAGAAATCATAGAGCTAACTATATACAATGAAGGTAAGATTTAAGTGCTCTTCCCACAGTTATTCATCATTCCATAAAAGATCTGTTATATGCTGACATAAACTTGGCTTTAGAATTTAAATTAATATTATATCAATTTTACAGAATTAGGCTAATTTTTATCATTGAAAATATTTTGAAAAAAAAAGAAGTTGATAATTGTTCTGAAACTAAGTCCTTAATTAGCAAAGATATTAATTAGTCAATATTGAACCAATCATTTCAAAAAAATTGTCATTAATTACTTCATTCAATAATAAATATTCAGTTTCTTCTTGAAACTTAAATTATTCTCTCTTTTCCTTTCATCCATAGTAAGCAGAACTTGTATTTTGAATTTTCTTTTGTGTTTTATTTGTTTTCCTGCATGTTGCATTTGTTCTTTTGCTTGTGTGTAAACTTATATTATCAAATTTTAAGTTGTCAAGCAACACATGATTTTAGACGACTTCTCATCACCTCACTCGTTCACTTATTTGCTCCCCGACAGCGGCTCGTGAGGTTCTGCAAGTGTGATGCAATGGTTATAACCTATCTAAAATAATCAGACATCCTACAGGTGATCTATGACTGGAATAACTAGAACTGAGTTTTAAATTCTAAAGGTAACCCCGCGAAGAAGATAAAAGTAACTGACTGAATCTTGACCTCCTAGTTGAGCCCCAAAAGCAGCCAGCAAATTGAAGAAGCAAAGATAGGTTAGTCGAAAAAACCACACAAAAAAAGGACAAGCAAAGAACTTTTTTAGGCACAAAGAAGCTACACCCACAAGTTTCAATCAACAATGTAGGAGGATTCTACAAAGGGTGTTGATGGGAATTAGTGGATCCTCTTGCCTTCAAGCGAATTAGATTGATGCCCATCTGTCACGAACGGTCGTCGCGCACCCGCAACAACTCCATTCAACGAACCGTTCGTCGCTCTCGTCTACATGTACAGCTGCTTGGCAGCATGTTTTGGCTTGGTTTTAAGTCCTTTTGCTTGTAAAAATGTAAGTTCGAACAAGTTGTCGCGCTACAATGCGACCGCTCACCGAACCGAGCAAAATAGCCCCAAAACAGCTTCGTTTTCGCATGCCACAGGCTGATTTCTGCAGCCCGCTGCTGCACACAAAACGTCAGCCATCTTAGCACCCTGGAACCACCCGGGTGGCACAGGGCTGGATGGGGCTTCGGTATAGTGTCGGGCGTTGAACACTCTTTCGCAAGTTCGCACGTTACCTTGACGGGAACTTGTTGTCGCGCCCGACACCCAGTGAGCAACTATTTGTGGACTTGCAGCTGTTCGTTCAACCTTCTAAAGTCCTTGTTTTCCCCCTCTCCCTCTTTTCTCTTGTGCACGCAAGGTGCTCGCTGAATTGCTTGTAAAGCTTCCTCTTTTCGCGAGACGTCGGGACTTATCCGTCGCTCGTTCTTCGAACTAATCAACTTTCTCTTTACAGGTCCTTCGGGACCTACGAGAGGTTGCAAGTGGGCTGATCTTTGCGGACGCAAATCGCACGGGCAAAGCGCGACTAAGGCAACGCAAGCTACGTTCGCGTCTTTGCCGCAAGGGTGCCTCGCGACTTAGGCAACGCAAGCTAAGTTCGCGTCTTCGCCGCAAGAGTGTCTCACGCCTTAGGCAATTCCAGCTACGGCCGTGACATTGTTGCCTAAGTCGCGAGGTATCAGAGCGGGCAAGCACTTCGAGCGAGCGGCGAAGGAACTTCGTAACTTCGCCATGGCAAAGCATCGTGACGAATCAAGCAAGACGGGGCAAGCCGGACCCTTGCCCCAAGCAGTTGCAGGTGGGCTGCAAGTGCACATTCGCTCGCATGTTGTTGGAGCTGCTCAGGAGGAGCGCGGCAGCGAACATGATGAGCGAGAAGTTGGCTACTCTCCGCGAGCGGAGGAGGCGCAATCTGGAGAGCCAATCGGGAAAAAGAGTCATAAGGAGGGAGACTCACAACGGCGGAAACCCGCTTGGATGTTCTCGAAGCGAGCTTGGAGAAACTCTACCATGGCCAACGAAGGCTTGTTAGGGTAAAGAGCTTACAAGAAGAAGCAGAGTCCAGGATCGACAAGGTTGAGGCCCTAGTCGACCGATTGTCAGATGACACCAAAGACTCTGTGCAACACCTGCAGGAAGTTGTGGCGGAACTCACTTCGAGGGTGTCCATGCTCACAAGGGCACTAAATGTGGGAGGAAGCAACACCAGCGTTACGCCGCCACAAAACTTGAGGGCACCCGAGCCTCATGGTTATGGAAGGGCCAGAGATGTAAAAGAGCTCGAGAATTTCCTGTTCGATATGGAACAATACTTCCGAGCTATGAGGCCTGATTCTGAAAAAACCAAAGTTTTTATAGTGACCATGTATCTGAACGTAGATGCAAAACTTTAGTGGCGAACCCGTTGGGAGGAGATCCAACAAGGTCGGTGTCGAGTTGACACATGGGAGGACTTGAAGCAAGAATTGAGAACTCAGTTCCTACCGGAGAACACCGAGTTCGTCGCAAGAAGGAAATTGAGACAACTCCGCCAAAATGCTTCTATCCAAGACTACGTGAAGCAATTTTCTGCACTAATGCTGGACATCCAGGACATGTCCGAGAAGGATAAGCTGTTCAGCTTCCTCGATGGTTTGAAGCCATGGGGGCAACAAGAACTACATTGAAGGAATGTCGCCAATTTGATCGGGGCAATTGCTGCCGCAGAAAGGCTCACCGGCTTCGTTTCCTTTGAAGACACGGGAAGAAAAAAATAATCTTCAAGCAATCGCCCTCCAAAATATTCTCGAGGGAAGGAGCTCGGGGGCGAACAAAAGAAGAGGAGTTCCCACAAAGGGCCAAGCCCGAAAGGCAAGGCCCCGAAACCAGGCGGATACTTCTTGTGCGGAGGGCCGCACATGGTGACGAAGTGCCTACAAAAACAGGCACTCAATGCTTTAACAGCTTTCATCCATCCCCCCAAATCGGACAAGGGCAAGGCTGTTGCTCTTAGTTCGAGTAGTTCTGAATCCAACAGCGACGGCGAGGAGTCGCAAGGACCCCGGATGGGAGCAATACGTTTGTTGAACGCCATGCGGGATCAAGTGGGGGAGAACACGAAGACAAAGCTATAAAAAGCAAGAAGTTGTGAGCTGATGTACGTAGACATCAAGCTAAATGGCCAAACGACTCGTGTAATGGTGGACACGGGTGCTACCCACAACTTTATTGTCGATCTAGAAGCAAAGCGACTTCGGCTGATCTTGGAGAAGAGCCCAAGTCGAATGAAGGCGGTGAACTCGAAGGCCAAGCGAATCTCCGAGTTGGCAAAGGGAGTCCCCATCGAGATTGGAACATGGAGCGGGAGCACAAACATGATGGCGGTGCCATTGGATGACTTCCAAGTGATCCTTGGAATGGAGTTTATGAACGCGGCAAAGTTGGTGCCAATTCCGTTCCTAAACACCCTATACATGATGGGGGGTGACGACCCCTATGTGGTTCCCGTCTCTCGGAGAGGAACCAAAGACCCCCAACAGATATCGGCATTACAACTGAAGAAGGGGGTACGAAAAGGCGAACTAGCATTCGTGACTGTTATGAAGCTAGAGTCACTCGACGAGAAGGCCATTCATGAACCTGCCGTGGTGGCGAACGTCCTGGAAGAGTTCACTGACGTTATGCTACCCGAGTTGCCAAAGACTCTTCCGCCACGCAGAGGCGTGGACCACAACATCGAGCTGGAGCCAAGAATAAAGCCTCCAACGAGACCACCCTACAGCATGCCCCCGCCAGAGTTGGCAGAACTCAGAAAGCAGTTAGGTGAACTGCTAAGCGGTGGTCTCATCCGCAGCTCTAAAGCACCATTCGGAGCTCCCGTTCTCTTCCAGAAGAAACAAGATGGGAGCCCCCGACTATGCGTCGATTACCGAGCCCTCAACAAAGTGACGGTGAAGAACAAGTATCCCATCCCGCTCATCGCGGACTTGTTCGACCAGTTGGGCAAAGCCAAGTATTTCTCAAAACTCGACCTTCGATCGGGGTATTGGCAGGTGCGCATTGCTGAAGGCGACGAAGCGAAGACTACCTGTGTGACCAGGTATAGAGCGTTTGAGTTCTTGGTGATGCCTTTTGGCTTAACCAACGTTCCGGCCACGTTCTGCACTCTCATGAACCAGCTATTCAAAGAGTATTTGGATAAGTTCGTGGTCGTCTACAGTCAAACGCTCGAGGAGCATGTCAAGCACCTTCGAACAATTTTCAAGGTTCTCAGGGAGAACACTTTGTTCGTGAAAAGGGATAAATGCTACTTTGCTCAAATAGAGATCTTATTCTTGGGGCATCAAATCGGTAATGGCTCCATTCGGATGGATAAATCGAAGGTGCAAGCGGTTGCGGAATGGCAAACTCCAAATAAGGTGCTAGAGTTGAGATCTTTCCTTGGTTTCGTCAACTACTATCGACGCTTCATAGCGAGGTATTCGAAGCATGCAACTCCACTAACGGAGTTGTTGAAGGAGCAGTCTTGGAGGTGGTCTGATAAATGTGAAATTACATTCCAAGATCTGAAGGTTGCCGTTTTGGAAGAACCGATGCTCAAATTGCCGGACTATGGGGAGCCCTTTGAAGTCCATACAGATGCTTCAAACTTCGTTATTGGGGGAGTACTCATGCAGGAGGGTCATCCGGTGGCCTACGAGAGCCGCAAGCTCAACGAGACCGAGCGGCGGTATTCAGTGAATGAGAAGGAGATGATAGCGGTGATCCACTGTCTACGAGTTTGGCGACACTACCTCCTCGGATCGCGATTTGTGTTAAGGACAGACAACATTGCTTTGAGTTATTTCCAAACTCAGAAGAAACTTTCCCCAAAGCAAGCACGATGGCAGGACTTCCTGGCTGAATTTGATATGGCAATGGAGTACAAGCCTGGGAAGACAAATGTTGTGGCCGATGCATTAAGTCGGAAAGTGGAGCGAGTGAATACTGTACAATTGGAGGGCAGAGGCCAAGCAAGTCAGTTGCACTCCAACTTCCTTTCCAAGATCAGGGATGGACTGTATAGTGATCCCCAGGCAGTTATCCTGATGCAGCTCATCAAAAAAGGCAAGGCACGATGATTTTGGGTCCAGGAAGGACTCGTTTACACAAAATGGAATAGGGTTTATATTCCTCGAGTGGATAATTTGAGGCGTGAACTCTTAAGAGAGTGTCACGATTCCTTTTGGGCTGGACACCCAAGCATTCACAGAACGTTGGCTCTTGTGGAGAGGGCCTTCTACTGGCCGAAGATAGGGACTGATGTGGAGGAATATGTTCGAACGTGCCTTACTTGCCAACAAGACAAGGCGGAGCAACGAAAGCTAGTGGGACTTTTAGAGTCGTTGCCCGTACCAAAAAGGCCGTGGGAGAGCATTTCCTTGGACTTCATATCAAGCTTGCCCGCAGTAGGGAGACTCGGATCGATACTCGTGGTGGTCGATCGATTTTCTAAGTATGCAACTTTCATTGTTGCTCCACTACACTGTTCAGCAGAGGAGGCGGCCAAGCTGATAATGAAGGATGTGGGAAGTATTGGGGTGTCCCGCACAATATCATCAGTGATCGAGACGCTCGGTTCCTGGGACGATTCTGGACCGAGCTATTCAAATTATTGGGGTCAAAGTTATACTTCTCCACAAGCCTCCACCCCCAGACGGATGGCCAGACTGAAAGGATAAACTCGCTCCTAGAGCAATATCTTCGGCACTACGTGAGTGTCAACCAACGAGATTGGGTGAAGTTGTTGGCATTGCCCAATTCTCCTACAACTTGCAACTAAGCTCTGCGTCCAACAAGAGCCCCTTCGAGATTATTACAGGGCAACAACCGTCAACTCCTCACACCATGGTAATTGGGTATACTGGGAGTAGTCCGTCAGCCTATCATTTTGCAAGGGAGTGGCACCGAAATACAGATATTGCACGAGCTTACTTGGAGAATACGGCAAAAAGAATAAAGAAGTGGGCAGACTTGGGAAGGCGACCGCAAGAATTCAAGATCGGCGATTTGGTGTTGGTCAAGCTCCAACCAGCATCACTCCAATTCTTTAGGAACAAAGTACATAAAGGATTGATGCGCAAGTATGAAGGGCCCTTCCCAATTATCAGCAAGGTGGGCAACGTCTCCTACAAGTTGCAGTTGCCGGCGTGGTTCAAAATTCACAATGTTCTTCACGCAAGCAACTTGAAAGCCTACCACTCGGATCCGCAAGATGCTTCCCGAAGTATTCCAACTCGGCTACCCCCCACCACAGCCTCCTACGAGAAGCGAGTTGAAACCATCCTGGCGGACCGCAAGATAAAGCTGCCCACTGGAGCTGAGCAGACAGAGTACTTGGTGAAGTGGCGAAAGCTTCCCCGAACTGAAGTCAGTTGGGAGCCTGAAGACGCCCTACGACATGAAGAAGCAATCATCAACAACTATCAACAAGCGTCGACGAGGGCGTCGACAGTTTGAGTGGGGGAGAATGTCACGAACGGTCGTCGCGCACCCGCAACAACTTCGTTCAACGAACCGTTCGTCGCTCTCGTCTACATGTACAGTTGCTTGGCAGCATGTTTTGACTTGGTTTAAGTCCTTTTGCTTGTAAAAATGTAAGTTCGAACAAGTTGCAACACTACAGTGCAACCGCTCACCGAACCGAGCAAAACAGCCCCAAAACAGCTCTGTTTTCGCGTGCCACGGGCTGATTTCTGCAGCCCGCTGCTGCACGCGAAACGTCAGCCTCAGCACCTTGGAACCACCCGGGTGGCACAGGGCTGGATGGGGCTTCGGTATAGTGTCGGGAGTTGAACACTCTTTCGCAAGTTCGCACGTTACCTTGACGGGAACTTGTTGTCGTGCCCGACACCCGGTGAGCTGTTGTTTGTGGACTTGCAACTGTTCGTTCAACCTTCTAAAGTCCTTGTTTTCCCCCTCTCCCTCTTTTCTCTTGTGCACGCAAGGTGCTCGCTAAATTGCTTATAAAGCTTCCCCTTTTCGCGAGACGTCGGGATTTGTCCGTCGCTCGTTCTTCGAACTAATCAACTTTCTCTTTTACAGTTCCTTCGGGACCTGCGAGAGGTTGCAAGTGGGCTGATCTTTACGGACGCAAATCGCAAGGGCGAAGCACGACTTAGGCAACACAAGCTAAGTTCGCGTCTTTGCCGCAAGGGTGCCTCGCAACTTAGGCAATGTAAGCTAAGTTCGCGTCTTTGCCACAAGGGTGCCTCACGCCTTAGGCAATTCCAACTAAGGCCGTGATACATCGGATCCCAACCTATTATCCTAAAACCCTTCTACACTGCTAAGTGAAAAATTCCATTATCTTATTTTGTGCCAAACAAGGCTCCATGCTTGAAATGACAGGCATCTTTGACTAACCCGTTTTCCTCTTTGCAAGACCTTGCAGCTTGCAATGAGGTAGCAACTAGGCCGACTCTTTTGTTTGATGCTTGACTACCAAAGGCTACATCAAGATTACATTTGGTCAATATCTTACTGATAAGACACTAGAATAAATAGTTGACTCCCCTTCAACTGGGCTCAGATCCCATTAAAAATTAAGAAAAATAGGAAAACTAAACAAATGTTACACCACATTATGTCTCAACTACATGTGAAACAAAATTATCATGAAATATCATTGAATACAAAGAGACTAAAATGGTTGGATTTAGATTTATAAGTAGAATAGATAACATGCATAGGCATTATGCCAGGATTCATGAACTTAGTGATATATAGAATGATTTCATCAAAACCAAATTATGAGACATCCAGGAACTAGTCACAACTTGAAAACCAATAAAGCTATAAGGTACATAAAGGTGACTATAGAATTTTGTATTGGATGTAATCTAACTTTTAATTTTTCATGAGCTTCTTGAACCGTCTTTCCATCCTTTTTCTTCTTCCAGTTGTAACCATCTTTGCGAAAATTTCTCAACATTTTACGGTCAAATAGCAATACCCTGCCACCTAGAAAGATGAAAACACAGATTAATAAGTCAGCACCTAAGTGATTGGTGGCTGTCAAAAAGTAATTAGATCTCATATGCTTATTTCCATAAGATAACATAGAAAGAGACTGCAGTAACAGAAATAATAACATCCACTGTATGCATATTCCTAAACACAATCATAAGGATGCTTATAACATTCTAGAAGATGTTCCATGAGGCTTATGGAAGCAATATCAACTATAATCACCAAATGATGCCTTGGCCATCCAATTGGTTAAAACTAATGCTTATGGAAGTGTATCAACTTGAATCATTAAAAGATGCCTTTGCCATGCAAATTGACTAAAACTCATTAGAAACAGAAACCTACTTAGAGTCTCACATCATATATTTAAAGAGCATATCAACTTGCTGGAGGTCAACCATCCAGAAGTAACCAGAAATTGTAATTGATCATCGCCCCTTTGACTTTATTTTAAGCTTTTCACCACATAAAACACTAAGTCACTAAGCAGCATCTTATCTTAGTACCTATAATACACATAATCCTTATCATATGTACACAACTAACTCTCCAACAGACATGCAAATTCTTGATATTTACACTCTTCAGATGCATCTGCAGTGATACAGATTTCCATCAATGGGCCGGAGTTAGAAATCTTAACATCATAGTATAAAATACTAGTCAGAATGGTACATATCAACCATTATTTACTAGTCTGACCAAGCTTGGACAGCGAATCATGCATCTTGGTACAACTCAACATAATGCTCATTTCTATTGTTTTCTTATCTTTTAAGTGATAATAAGCGATACAGGTTAGTACATTGTCCGGTATCTTGGTGATATATTTGTCTAACACATTGTCAAAAGACTCAAAACCAATATCAGACTGGTATTTTACTTGAGATTATTACCAAAGATTCTAAAACAAAGAGCAAACTTGGCAAAACCTTATCACAAAAGGAGATAATAAAGTTTTGTGTGTCAAGGGAGACGTTTTCATCAGAAGCCAGAGAAACAATGGGCCAGTTTATAACTTTTCCTTATTAATATATATGAAATAATCCATATATTATAAAAAGGATGGCTTCGTTACTATAAACAAGATACAATATATCTTGTAATATCATGATGTTATGGAGTAGTCAGACGACTCGGACCCTAAATCACCACCCATGAAGGCTCCACATTGGACAAGGGCCTTCTAGGAGGATGTTTTTATCTTTTGTTATTTTCACATTAGTTACCATTTTAGATCAATTTTAGAATAATATGTTAAGTTGTGTTCTTATCTTTAAGTCTGATTTCGAGATAACAAGTCTCTCCTCCCACAAGTTATATCAGTTAGCTATATAGATAATATATAAAGACTAGAGGCCATGTTTTGGTATTAGTTATTTCAATTATTGCAAAAAATATTCATTGTAATTTAGTATAAATTCTCTCTTTTTCTTTCTTTCATCATTGGTAGATCAATTTCTCTACCTCAATTGGAAGAAAATTTCTGATAGGATGGTCATATCATATGAATTCAGCATGTTGATAAATTTCAAACATATTAGTACACATTCAACCTCAACTACCATTGAGAACCTTTACAAATAAATGTACGCATTTTTGTTAAACTAGTAGTAGTTTTCCCACCATACCATTTTTGAAGTAACTTAGAATCATTGCAAGGAAGGTAAGACTCTGCTTACATAAATGAATGCATTTTTGTTAAACTAGTAGTAGTTTTCCCACCAGACCATTTTTTAAGAAACCTAGAATCATTGTAAGGAAGGTAAGACTCTGCTTAGACGAAAAAAGATAATTGTATCTTTATTCCTTCCAATCTCATTGAAACAGTATGAATAATAAAACGAAGAATCTGCAAGAAGATTGCCGTTGTAGTCAAGAGGAAAAAAATCCAGATAATGATAATTCCTCCTGTTAATACACATCACATGTACTTTGCTTATTGCCATGGCTAAACTATTTTCTGAACATTTTTATCATCTCAATATTGAACACATCTGCATTTGTATTATTCATTTTAGTTTCTGACCCACAAATATTGTTAACTCAAGACTAGCAAATAGTGAAGATATCCAGATACAGATCATACAAATATAAGTATGATATGAAATACATATGTATAAAGAAAACAGAACAGTTAAATGTTGTAAGGGTGTTGGTGTGCCTCAAATTAATTAACCAAAAGTTCCACAAAGATGTAAAAATGAGTGCAAAAATACATTTCTAGATTTAGAAAGCATTCCGTGCAAGGCAAAGAACAAGGAGTATACTTGCAGGATTATCAATTGGTTGAGGTTGTATCTTAAAAAGTGTGTAGTTCGACAATATTGCATAAACTTCATTAGGCCGAAACCACCTTGATGAGGCATCTTCCATTAACTTATCCACATCCAGATCTGTCAGGAAAGTGAAAAGAATATATATATAGTAACCAGCATATGTCAGAGAAGTCCAAGATGGAAACACAACCTTAAACGACAGCAATGGAAAGGACTATAGAACTAAACGTTGATTTCTAGAACTCATTGAGATGAGAATGAGATAGGTACAAATCTTGGACATGAAAATAACAAACAATTGTAGGCTCAAGTTAACATTCTATAACAACTTCAGAAACAAACAATTGTAGGCTCAGATCCAATAACAACTTCAGAAACAAGATCAATAGGTTCCAAATCAGTCAAAATCTTAGAAGTGAGTACCATATGCAGTTTTCTTTGATTAGTTTATCACCTGGAAGTCAGCACCAAGGCTGCAAGACAAAAGGCTTCTTGCATGATATTAACATTCATATTTGAGGATTACTAAACCGATAGTGATATTTGTTGTTAGTAGTGTTGTAGCCAATAACAATAGCTCCATGCCTTCAAGTCATAAGGATGTTAAATGGAAAAGCTGCAGTGCTCTTATTTTCAGCTATCCTCAAGAAGAGTTTGGGAAGTTGAGTATAAATGAAACCCTAAAACCAAGATGGTAAGGAAATGTAGCTAAAGCAGCAACAAATACCAGTTGTAATGATTAGAGAAATTCACAGGAAGATGCAATGATCACTAAGGAAACAGGTTTGACATCTAATAAGATATTGCCAAGATGAACCAATTGTTTAAGGTCAACTACATAGATCATTTTCCTCCATTAATATTTGTGGTAAGGAAAACCTCTAAATAGATATGAGCATTCAAATCTCTTTTAGATGATAGTCATACATCAATAATAGAAAAGAAAAGGAAAGAAAAAAGAGTTGAGAAGTGGGGATTGGGAGGTGCATTAGTAGTATACAGGACCAAGGATTGACTTTTGGCCAGACACAGTGAGTTTCAAGCAGAATCATTCCATATTGCTCATGTGGTGTTGTGCCTGTGCAAATTCTTAAATACCATGGCCAAAAAAATATTGGCCTATATCATTAGGCAAGGACGTTTGACCATATCTATTTTTCTTAACAACAGACCAAAACCCCCCATATAACTAGTATATAAAACCTTACATAGGTTATCTGAGTAAGAAATGTAGTTATCTGAGTAAGAAATGTAGTTGGTGAAAGAAGTTTTTACACTAGTAAAGTTAATGTATCTGCCATTGACAAAGTATATTTTGACCCTTGTAAATAATTAAGTCTAAGTGAATACTTCTTTTATGTTGGACAAAGTTCTTTCAATAGCAGGTAAGTATAGTTCTATAGGCCACAGAGAACAATTCTATAAACTAATAAGTGGATAAAAGACATGCAATATGATAAAGCAATAAGAAAGTAAACTCTAAAGATGCAACGGTCTGAAAGCAACCCGATTGGCATCTTGTTTGGAGTTTGAAGGAAAATTCATCCCCATAATCAGAGACCAACAAGCCAACAAACTCAGATTTTCAATATTGAACTGCTACTAACTGCCTATTTCTCACATGATCCAGTAGAACAACAAAATCCAAATAAAAAACTATTAATGAAGAACAGAATAATAACGAAAGGTGAAAGGAAGAGAACTCATCTTTAAGACAGATTTACAAGGGACTTTTACCACAAAAGATCAATTACTTTTCAAGAAGTGACTTGGTAGATCACAGAACATATCACTCCAATACCAGCTTTATATTGTTCTTTAGCTTTAAATGAAAATTCAAACCAATAAATTCTCAAAACCATTTGGACATAAATATTAGATCAAAAAAGCAAGAAACACACTATATTGCCATCTAAAGCAGAAATTGTATAGTGCACCTACAGTCAAGGAATAATTCCATCTGGGTGGTCCCCCATGTTCTTAATCTAGTAGCCAAAGCATGAAGTAATACACGCCCACACATCTTAATTATAGTATCTTCATAGGCACATTGCATAATCACAAGAAATGACAAACTATACCATATCGTGACTAAATGGTTAGAACTTGGAAGATCATCCGAATAGAATCAAACTGCCTATAGCATTTTAAGCATCATAAAGCCCATACGTGCAGGTGTTCAGGTTGTCTCCACATTCCTTAGATCAAACAGACTGTTTGTTCTGTTAGTAAGAAATCATATACAAAATGATAACAGTACCTATATGTAATGTCAGTATTTGGTAGTATTTTAATGGTTTTCTTTTTGACAACATTGTGAGCCATGGTTCATGATGAACTGTATTTTAATGGTTTTCTTTTTGACAACCTTGTGAGCCATGGTTTATGATGACTATACCAGTAACTGATCTTGGATGTTTGAAGCATGGTATGCAATTTCGAATAGTACCGTCCGGTATGGGCGGTACGTACCAGTCCGACGGTATACCAGTACACGGACCGCCTACTACCGGACGGAACGTGCTACAGTAAGAGAAAAAAAAATATTTAAAACTACTCGGTATGCCCTGGTGTATCGCTCGGTACGCCTTGATGTACCGCTCAGTACATGGTGTTGTATCGTACCGAGCCAACCTCGAAACACCGGTACGGTACGGTATTGCATACCTTGGTTTGAAGTCACAGATTTTGATTGCAATGTTCATAAGGATTACATAATCATGATTATAGAAGTAAGAAAATCATTCTAATTTGCTTCATGCTTTACATATGTTCCAAAATGTAACTTTAGAGCTAAAAGGCTCTGAACTGTTATCAATTTGGAACAGACCTATTTGAGAATAGCTCCTGACGAACTTTATTGATGCAGAACTATTAGCTGCAGTTAACTATTTCCAATATAAAATTTCTGTTTATGGAAAAGTCTAAAGAAACTACCATTCAATAAAGAGAACAAATTGCTAGGTGGATCAGTGTAATTCATATATCAAACAATTAGCATATCATCTTAGTTCCCTCAACAATGCTTCCTTATTACATGGTACTTTCCAAAAAGCCAAGAAAGGCTCATCAACAGAAATGGACAGAAGCATGAATTGAAATGAATGAAACAAGAGAATTCAGCAACAACAGGTGCCATATGCTCTAATTAGAGTTTAAAAATTTATAGATGGACCTCGGGGCGTTCGCAAGCACGGAAAAAATCCGATTTGGAGGATCTGATGGGCTACCTCTAAAGTTGCTTAGAATCCATACGATAATTTATTACGGCCAACACCAACGAAGCCATGATCGTGATGCGATTAAAAGAAAGTTTGAGCAGCGATTTCATCAAGTACATGCAAGAGATTCAACAGAGCTGAAAAGAAAACAACATAACACGCATCCAAGCCCACAATCATAAGTACCCCAAATCATAAATCCTTCACGACCAAACATCGATCACATGAACAGGTGTTAAATCCTAGTCCGCGGCAGCAAAATTCTCTTACGATTATCCTAATTCGAGCAAAGAGAAGTGCATAAACAGAGCTAGTCTTCGATGGAACAAAAAGGGGACGGGAATCTCCACGGAAAGCACCAAATCACCAGTTGCTAGAACCCGAACTAATTCGACCGCTGAGCCTAGATTGCTTGCCAAGGGCAACGAACCTGCGGACGTCCGAAAGCCGTGGATCTCCGCTCCGGCGAGCAACCCCGAATCGCCGCTCTCCATGGAGTGCGCCAAAGAGCGAGCAACAGACGTCGAAGGAAGGCGAGGAAAGATGACTCGAGGGGAGACCGCTGACTGAGCGACCGTGATAAGGGCGAGAAACACTCGTCCCACGGACAAGAAAGAATACGACGCGTACAAATTTGCGAGACGGACCGCATTCCACTGACTACACCGATGTTATACGTTCAAGTACACGGACCCACAACAAGCTTTTCATATGATTGGTCCGATTCGTCAACCGTGTTCTGTGCGTGCCACCGGACCTGCCACTATGTCGGTACACGACCGAAACAACAACCCTGGAACACGAGGTCAGTGGTTCTCGCGGATTATTGCGTTCTTAGCCGTCTAATCTTTCTTAACGGATTATATATATATATATATATATATATATATATATATATATATATGGTACATAAGTGTTTCCAATAGCATTAGGATTCAACCAAACGATAATTAAGTGTTTAAGCAAGTTAAAGTATAAACCAAACCATGTGAAAAAGGAGGGAAATGATGATGGTGAGTGGGATTAGTCAAATTGGATATGTTAGTCACCTAAATGTGTGGAGTTATTGGTCGCACAGCGAGGAGGGCGATTGATGCCGATCACCCCCATATGACAACTATAGCTTCTCTTGAATGTTCTAAAGCTCATAATAATACCACCATACTGTGATATTCGAGGCCACAAGACTTTTTTTGTTTATTAATTTCTTATTTGACTCCTTTTATATTTTTTAAATATAGATATATATATATATTACTTCACCAAAATATCATTTCTATTAGAATCTCGCTTTCAAAACACGTCGATGTAGCAATGTTTGCTAGTCAATTAGCCGACCTAATTTTTTTTTTTCTATGTACACATCATATCATATAATTTATAAAATTATTTTAAAAGATTGTAAATATTTTTAAGTACAATCAAAATGGAATCTGACATTGACATTAAATTTATAGTCAATAAAAGAATACTCGTAAAACTAGTGACATCGTTTGAAGAAGACTATCGATACTCCTCTCATTAAAAAAATTGTCGGTCAAAATCTTGAAAGATTTTTTTGTGTACGATAATTTGTCTTGACTAAAAATTTCATGAAAATTATTCATAATTTATAAGCAATTTGTACATCTTTCTCACATGTTGATAGTGAAGTAGGAAGCATAATTATCCATATTATTTTAGGAGAAAAATGCTCTACCTTTTATATATATATATAAAAATATAGAAGTATATATAATCAATGATTCAGTAACTACATGGGATGGGATAATAAGTCACATGAAATGTTGTCCATCGTATACATTGTAAGTATGATTTTTATTTCTTTTGAGCTGAAATTGCACATTGTTTTTATTTTTCCTTCAAGTTATTAATGGATCATAGAACTTCGTCCCTTTCAATATCATGTGATACATACAAAAACGTGATGCATGCAAAACATCTAATCCTTGATGGAGACACCAAATAGCAAGCAAGATGATAAGTCATGGAAGTGTCCTTTGAAATTAATATATGGCATGATGTCTGTGTTGTTTTAATTTCTTATGTTAATGGGACCCCTATTTCTATGGTTCATAGAGTAGCTAACTTTATTGAGCTTTTTGTTAATGATGCTTAATTAGTAATAAAAATAATGTTTATTTATAACCATAATAATAACAATAAAGTCATAGTGTTTGAACTATTTAGGACCGATGTTTTATCATCATCAAACATTGTAAGATATCATATTCTTGATTAAATCAAGTTTTTTTTTATATTATGTTTTTTTTTTTTAGAGGTCTCTATCTCTCCTACTACTATTGATGATAATATGGGTGGAAGAATCTCTAATATCTCTCTTGAAATTGGGAGAAGATTTTGGATGATAGCTCTAATATGCGAATATTATTATATCGAGACTTTGTAATAATGAACCTAAGCTAGTTGTCATGGAAATTAAATGCTTAATTTGTTCATCATTCACTTTAGATGAGTTATCATTCACAAACTCAATGATTGAGATGTTCCAATGTATAGCAACTTTATTAGCAATCATTGTTAGGTGAGTGATATAGAAATGTTTCATATAACATCATATGGTTTGGGTAAATTGGGTGAGTAACGTACATAATATTCCATATTAATCGATCAAATAGGAATTCAATAATTAAATAATAAAGATTGATCTTACTTCTATTGAAAAGAACATAATTAATTACATATAGATCGGGTTCCGACATTAATTATGACCAAAGATAATCGAAATATTATAATTTATTATTATCATTATTATTATTACTATGAATTATGCATATTTATCTTACTACCCTAATTTTTTTTATAATTAAAGAAAGAAAATCCTACTCAAAGATGAAGTCTTGATCATGTGACAATGAGGTATGGATGATCTTTCGCTTATTATCAAATCAATTAAGTTATATTAAAGTAGGTTATAGATAAGTAATATTTGTAAATAAAGAAAATATATATTTTTTTTTTTCATCAGTAAATTGATAGAAAGATTTTGATTTATGGTATGACATCATGTTATTTATTTTCTTTTATTCATTTGAAGAATGAAACGAGTACTTCTCATAATTCTTCTCTTTTATGATCCTTCTCACTATTCAGATAGAAGCTGAAATCATCAACGCAGCCAAATAAATGTGATGATTGGAAGGGACAAAAGTAGTCAATTTAAGAATTGTTGTAGAAGAATATTGCGTGTGAAAGCTCATAAAGACAGAAAAATGTGATGATGATGCATGGAAAGAGAAAGCCATCAGCTCGACAAACATTCAAGAAAGAGAGAGAGAGAGAGAGTGTGTGTGTGTTTTTGTTGCCCATTAGCTCGACGACAAACATGCAAGCTTGAGATACTGTGACCAGAAGTGACATGAGGTATCAGTAGCACCAGCAACTTCAACTAGCAAAGCTCAAGCTCTTTGCCTCTTCATCCTTCACATCTGCCCTCTCAAGTTCTCCCCTCTCCTCTGTCTCAAGTCACTCATCCTTCCATTTGCCCAATAAACTAATAGGTTACATCAACAAATAATCTCACTATTGACTTGCAGATACTAATTATTCACATCAATTCACAATAATTGGACTGACAAAATTCAATCAAATAATCTCTGTGAATAAAAAAGTACAGTTGATAGGTTCTTTAGCAGCTTCAGTTCCAAGTCTCAATTGAGTTCATGCATTATGTTGCTATAATAAACGGAAAATTATCTCCTATATTTTGGGAGCCTTAAGAGTATGTCTTTAGACATATGAACTAAGAAGTAGCAACAGATTACATAAAGGTTTGAAGCACACTTGCCTTAAGAGTATGTTAAGATCTTGGCCTTACCTTCTTCATTGGAATGAAGGTTTGAAGCACACTTGCAGAATGTACAATGTCAGAATCATTCTCAGGTCTGTAGATAGTATCTTTAAGCTTCTGAGAACACCATGGAAAGAGTATGCAATCTAGCCTACTTGTAAGATCAATTAGCCATGGAGTTCTCATCACTGCAGGGTTTTTGCAGAGTCATCAACATCTGGCCAACCGAAGTTAAAACACAAGATGGAACTTCTGATCACATAATGAGTGATGACCACAACTGAATCTTTGAAGCCCAAGCTGAAGTTTCATCAATATTGGACAATAGATACATGACATGCTGTCACAAGTTGGTGATTCAGAGTGCTGCATTATCACAAGCAAAAGAGCCTCATAAATCACTTGTTTTCTGAAACAATCTGACAATTAAACGCCATCCGATGATAGATCAACGTGGCCACAGAGGATTAACAGCTAAATGTCTTTTGCATGTATCAGTCCTTCAAGCTCAGCTCTCTATATGTTGATTGTAAACGATGAATCATTGCCCAATTCTCGGAGACTATTATTATAGTGTCAATTGCTTTCATTTAGCATATTATTTCAGCTCACTTGATGCATCTCCTCCTTTCAATTTGTCACTGTATGGAATCGTTTAGGATCAACTAGGAATCGTTTTCCTCTCACAGTAGCTTAGAATGAACCCAAAAGCTACAGTGGAACTTGGTGTCATCCACAAAAGATCAAGTCTATCACACAAATCATAGAGGACTGAAGCAGAGTTTCTTTGTGAACAGAAACTGTTTGCATGGCCTGAAAGATAAAGGTCAATCTTTTGCAGACATGGTGATGGGCTGTTTGTCTGAGCTCACATTCAAGAAATCTTTGCTCTGTAAAGCAACACAATCTCCCAAAACTAGTTTTCAGCTGCCGTGGTCAATCACCAAGCTTCAGATCAGAGATGGTGACGCAAAATTTGCTCCTTTGCTCTGTGGAACTCAGTACTACCACTTGGTTGGGGTCTTAAATAAGGCCAACTGCACATCTTACTGCAGTGAGTCACTGAAATCAATCTTAAACCTTTTGAGTTGCCTGTCAGATTGTAACCACAGATTTCTCATGCCTGGGAACAAGCATTAATGGTAGTCAGTCCTTTTGTCTAAGAAAGGAAAGGTGAAGGATGGACCTACCCATCAACTTTAATGTGAATTAAGGTGATTGACATCCACTCTCATCATCCTCCCTCTTCATGAAGGTATATCAGACAGGCTGAGCTGCCCACAAGCCTTATCCAAAGAGGTCTCTCATGTGTCATGTGGTCAGGTGTCATGGCAGAGAAGGGCCCTCCTGTTGTTAAGGCACCTAGTTAAAACACCTTTACCTTTCCATTGGGCTCTCCCCCATTGATGGCAACCCCTCTCCTCTTTGCAAGGTACACTTTACTGAAGGATAGCAATAATGGCAGTGTCCTTGCTGCTAGTAAAGCCATCTCTCAGCAACCCTTTACTTGTGTGTTCTTTATAGATGCTTTCCCCTTGTCATTGTCGCATAGCATTAGCTATTGGGTCATACGAGTGACCAAACTTCTAGTGTTACGCTTTTGTCTCTACCAACTTGATATGCATCATGTTGCTGCAGCTTATCTAGGATTTTGGGCGAGGTTAAAGGTATGCTTATCTAGAATTGCTGCAGCAACAGCTACGATTGCAAACCAGTAAGACTCACAAGCACATGAAACCTTTCAAGTAATTAAATGAAGTCCACGCGGATGGGGTGCATCTTCTTCCTCGTAGCTATTCCCATGAAAGAGAAGCAACCAAGGTGGTCTGCCATGGCAGCACTACCTTACAGAAGGCCTCTACCCCTTCTTCATCAAGCGAAGACAGCTCAACCAATCCTTGCTAATAGCCGCGGGAGATTGAAGAACCAGACTGAAGAAAACTGCTAACTGCTTTACAATCATAAAGCCAAATAGTGTTGCATCGATGGAACATGAACATGTCCATGTTGGATTGGAACTATTGAGGAATCAGCAAAGTAATGAAGGCTTTGCACTGAGGTTGCAGGCAATATGCTCATGGATCCTACAAAGGGAGCAGCCCACCACACAATTCATGTGGTGAAGACCTCAACTAGTTGGCAACGCTTGAAAAGAAGATGGAGAAAGCTGCTGATGTTGAATAAGGTGGCAGATTGTGAAGGCCAGAGGCACATGAGGTGGTAGTGATTTCTACTTCTTTTACATGCATCATGGGAATCATCCACAGTAGTCGCATTGCTGCAACAAAAGTTTGGAGAAGTTCTCAACCAGTATGAGAAATTCCACTGTAATTAACTACAGTATACGTTCTTATACCAATCATTGCTTTCCTTTCTCTCTCCCATCAGACTCAATGCTTCCTTCTCTCTCCCATCCAACCCATACCAGTAGTTGCTTAGTGATACAACGTGGCATACCATGTTCCAACCGTGATCACAATTCTTTGTCCAGTGAAAGCACTTCATTACTCTGACAAGTCCTCTCTGGTTTCATGCAGTGGGGAATTGTTCGAGTCAAGGGGTCATCTATCTCACAAGTTAGATTAACATCAAGAAGATGAGCAAATTAAGAGTTAAACAGTCTGATCATTTAACTGCAATTGTTTTCAATGACAGCCAAACCACTTTGATGTAATTGAGAACCCAATCATTCAAATTACATGTGCTTCTTTCTAGCTTAGCTTCTGTTGTTCTTTCTTCTCCTTTCTCTTTCTTCCTTTATGAAAAGCAAGTAGTTCTAAGTAAAACTTCAACTCACTCTCTCTCTCTCTCTCTCTCTCTCTCTCATATTTTAAATCATGGTAGAGAATTGACAGTTAAGCTCTTATTTGGTGTTATCAATGTGACAATTAATGCTATAATAATAAAGAGTGCATTAATGTCTCCACAAATATGAATTGCTCCAACATTAAAAATTCTAGCAAAGTTGGGAGTTCCAACTACATGCAACCAAATAATTGTGTGTTGGCTTCTACAATCTTATGAAGTACAAGAGATGATTAAAGGTTTTTCAAGTAAGCTAATTTGTGATTGGTTAATCAGATTCAGATGGATACATTCTACCAGCAATTTACTGAAAATTTATGCTACTTAAATTTGATTCAAAGCCTGCATTTAATAAGTAACACTTATTCACTACAAATGCCTACTACAATTAGTTATCTAAAATATGACCATTAATCCATGTGACTAGGATGACGTGGATCCATTGAGATGATTTGGGCATGAGGCTGTTGTCCACGTGGACTGCTGAGGAGAGCATGTTGTGGGTCCACTCATCAATTTGGGCATGATGGTTGTATCCTAATTTCGGTTGTTTAGAATCCTCTTTTTTTAATAAATAATTTAAAATAGTAAAAAATATTTGATCATAATACAATTTTGAAAGTGGATGAATTTTAATATATAAAATTATGAATGTCCTAATCATTTGTTTAATTGATACATTGAACAAGTATTCATTGTTTTCATGGACAATCTTTTATTTTTGTTTCTCCATCTTGATCTAATCATTAATACATACTTAAGAGTCAATTGATTCGATATCATATTTTCTGGTTCAATCATATTCTCTCTTTTTCTCATGTCATTTAATTTGATTACTTGGTGGACTCCCCCATTCCATTGAATTATCCGACATAGACACTTGTCTCAATTGAGATGATCAACCCAAATAGTCCTAAATTGAGGCGACAATGCCACCTAGACTATGCTACGTGGATAATGACCTCCTGAAATCCACGTAGACAACGTGGGTGCTGCTCTAGTACACGAGAATTTGAGGAGGCGTCCCCTTTTACGCCCACTTCTGAAGGTGGGGGAAGAGTTGGAGGACACGACCTAACAAGGACACATGACTCCCTTGCCCTACCTTCGACGTTACACATAAAGACTTCCTTCCATCCAATCACAACCCAAAAGGCAGCGGGCCCCGCCATGACATTGTTAATATAAAGCAAGAATATTTGAGGAAGGAAAAAAAAAGAAAAAGGTTAAAAAAAGGAAAGGAAAAGAAGCGGTAGGATTCTTGTGGTTTAAGCCACAACTCCATAAATACGCTCCTTCGAATGGCATTAAACTATCGCTGGCCCCACCTTGGGTAGAAAAGGTAAAAGCCTTGACGCGTGGGAAAAGAAAATGTTACTCGAATTGTTCCGATTGACGATTACCGACCAATCAAACCCATCGGTCGATAACACACGGAATCAACGGCCAGGATTAGTCGTTGGCTTAGTAGTTTGGGGTGTAAAAACTGGGGGTAACTTTCTATCTGAGGTGACTCCGTCACGATCTGGTCACCGCTTTTGGTTGGGCTACCTTTTGTCGACACTTTAACCCGTGGTGGTGGTGCGACTACCGCCGGTGATAATAGAAACTCTTTCTCCCTCTCTTTTTCTTTTCTTCCTCTGTAGTATAAGGTCGGAAGTGAGAGGGAGGCATCTGTGCCAACGAAGAAGTTGAAGGATCGAAGCTTTCTCTGAAAGGGAAAGGAGTGGAAGGGGTAGAGAGGGAGAGGGAGTCAAAGCTGGCATTTTCCCCTCTCTTCCTCGCCCATGCTCAGGTCTAAATGGTCATTCCACGGCTCTGAGATCGCCCATGCTCAGGTTTAAGGATCGAAGCTGAGATCTGAGTTGAGCTTCGAGTGGGAGAGTAGGGAAGGTGATGCTTTGGTGACAATGACGGCGGGCTCACCTTCTCTTGCCGCGGAGAGGAAGCACTGGTGGCTGAGCAACAGGAAGGTGGGTGTTGCGGCACTGCCGTGGTGCCTCTTCTCCTCTTGTAATGGCTTGCCGCTGATATACGTCGGGTGGTGGTGTTTCAGTGAGCCGGGGCTCTGTTTCTCTCTTGCTTTTGGCTTTGTTGTTTGATGCGTTGAGGAGCAAGCATTTGCTCTTTAGCTTTCTCTGCCATTTGTATCGGCCGAAGAGGAGCACATCGTAGTCATGTTCTCGATGGAATGCAGACATTTTTCCGTTCGAACTACTTAAGAAGCATGAAACAGAGAGATGGATCGAAGTAGACGAGATAGACTTCTTGTTTTCCTTCACTGGTACGCATCAAAATCTAATCTTTGTCTCCGTTTTTGCGAGTCAGGTGGTCGACAAGAACCTCCGAGAAGCACGGGTTCTCATAGCGACGCAAGAGCAGTCAAATGTATCGAAGGCGGTGGGCCTCCTCGACGCCGCCCTTGCCCTCTCCCCGCGCCTCGAAGCCGCCCTCGAGCTCAAAGCCCGCTCCCTCCTCTTCCTCCACCGCTTCCGCGAGGTGGCGGACATGCTCCAGGACTACATTCCAAGCCACAAGGCCGGCGGAGGCGGCGGGGACGATGGCTCCACCTCCTCACTCAGCGCCGGCGACCACTTCTCCATCGTCTCCTCAGCCCCTCTCAGCCGGGAGCGCGCCAACCTCCTCTCCCCTGGCCGCGAGCAGTCCGACGGTGACCGCTCCTACCGGTGCTTCTCCGTCTCAGACCTCAAGCGCCGGCTCTTGGCCGGCCTCTTCAAGACATCCCAAGGGGAAGGCGAGTGGAGGTACGTTTACAGGCCTTACACAAATAATGGTCAACCAAAATCAAGAAAAAAGTTCTTTGGATATGCTAACAAGCATACATTGGTCTTATGGTTATAATTGTGCTACATCAATGAATTCAATATCCAACAAAGAAATCATTCACTGGAAGAGGCAAAAAAGTGCTCAATTATAAGTGCTCTCCCTGAAATCTTCCACAACCTACATGTATTACATATATGTGGAAGCTTTGTAGGTCAGCCATTAGGTGAGGGCATGGATTTACTTGCCTACCTTTTCTCTCCACCAGTACGCAAACAAAACATACGGAGGCAGCATTGTAATTGTAAGGATTAGTAGGTAATTTTCCCTGCAGCACGCAAACACTTGCTGTCCATTCTACTTCATACTGAACCGGCCACTCGAGTTAAGCCGGACCGCACTGGTTTCCGTTAATCTTCTTCTTGTCTTGGGAGTTGCCGTTGGGTCTCGGTGAGCTTACCGCTTGGGTTGCTGATCTCAGGTATTTGGTGCTCGGCCAAGCTTGTTGCCACCTCGGGATGATGGAGGACGCCATGGTCCTCCTCCAGACCAGCCGTCGCCTCGCCTCCGCAGCTTCTCGCCGCGAGTCCGTCTGCTGGTCCGACGACAGCTTTGACTCAGCGGCCGGCGAGGACGGCGGCGTGGCTGCCTTCCCTTTTTCTGAGTCGGAGTCGGCCTCCCAGCTCCTGGCTCATGTCAAGCTTATCCTCCGGAGGCGCGCCGCCGCGTTGGCCGCGCTGGACACCGGCCTGCCGGCCGAGGCAGTTCGACATTTCTCCAAGGTCCTCGACAGCCGTCGCGGCCTCCCCGGTAGCTTCGCCGCTGGCTGCCTCGTCGGTCGTGCCACCGCGTACCGCGCCATTGGCCGTCTTGCGGACGGCATCGCAGATTGCAACCGCGCGCTCGCCGTCGACCCTTCCTTCATCCCCGCCCTCCGAGCCCGCGCCGACCTCCTCGAGGCAGTCAACGCCCTCCCGGACTGCCTCCACGACCTCGAGCATTTGAAGCTCCTCTACGACGCCATTCTCCGCGACCGCAAGCTCTCCGAGCCGCCAAGGCGGCCAAACCATGACATTCGGTACCGCGACATTCCCGCCAATCTCCGTACACTCAATGCGCGTATTCAGCAGCTCCGAGGCCGCGTGGCAGCCGGCGAGGGGAACAACGTTGACTACTATGCGCTAATCGGCGTTCGACGCGGGTGCACGCGGCCGGAGTTGGTGCGGGCGCACTTGCTGTTGACGCTGAAGCATAAACCAGAGAAGGCAGTGGGATTCATGGACCGGTTGGAGTTGGCAGACGATCACCGGGATTTAGACACAATCCGGGATCAGGCAAGAATGTCTGCCTCGATCCTGTACAGGATGTTGCAGAAGGGGTACGCTATAATGGCAACGGTGATGGAGGAGGAGGCAGCCGGGAAGCAGAGAGCGAAAGAGGCATTGGCCAATGCAGCAGCTGCAGTAGCAAGCCAAGTCTCAGCACTGAGGACGGCGGAGAAGCCAAAAGCAGAAAGGAATGGTGAGGACACGGCAGTGGCAGCAACAGCGGCGGCTGCGGTGTTGCAGAGTGTGTTTTGCCGTGACATGGCGGCGGTGGGGAGCATGCTGTCGCACAGGGCAATTCCGGTGAACGTCGGGGCACTGAGCTGCTGAAGGAGGAGGAGGATGGCGGGAATGAGATTCGAATTGTTGCCCACTTGTATCACTGTACAGCTGGCGGAAGATGTCATATGGAAATTTTGTTCTACTCTGTGGATCTTATACTGTTGTTAGATTTCTGGCACTCCTCTTCGATCTTGTGAATCCTAGTTGTGGTTAGTATGATCTATCAGATGTTTGTACAGCTTAATCTTGAGCTTCAATCAATGACTACTTCTTTATCCGCTGCTACTACTTCTCATCTTTTAGATTTTGATGCTGTAGCTTTTATAGTGTCAGAAGAGCAAAAGAATCTCTTTCTCAGCTTTTGGCAATGAAAAGAAATTTCAGATATAAAAGGGGAAAAAAAAAGGGTAAGCACAGTATTGTTTACAGTATACCAAAAGATTTTACTGCCAAAGGAGACAGTGAAGGACAGAAAATGGAAGTGCAGAGCATCTGCTGGCTAAGATTGTGAGCAACAAAACCAGCGAGAGCAATTTTTGCTCAAACTCACTGGCAAACAAAACCAATTTAAAGGCTTCCATTGATGCCGACGCGCTCAAAGTAGCATCACAGAACGAGAACTTATTCCCAGCAGCACAGAACTTTTGCTCAAAGCAGCTCGGCATCCGTACACGTACTCATTTTGCTTCAGCAGCAAGCTCTGGTCCCCAGAAAACTTCAACGTAATCTCTCTCTCCCTCTCTCTCTGCAACTTTATGTGGGCGCATCGAAGTGCCTTTGAGCAGGCGTCCATGAAGAGTCACATAAATGTGACATCACAAGTTTTATCCATTCTCTCACTCCGCCCACAAGCATGAACGAAGGATAACGTGATTCCTGCAGCTGATACGAAGCTTACAGAGAACGCTTTCATTGTTTTCTTCTGATGCACAGGAGAGCACTGCCATTATTGCATGACAACTCACTGCAACACAGCTGCAACGATCCTCGGATTAATTTAATGGCGGGGGATTATAAGCGTCCATGGCGGCTAGGGTTCCAAGCACATGAGAGGTTGCAGGAGATACAACCGAGTCACATGTACCAGAGGTGATGCCACCTTCTGCATTGGCCTAATCCCGTCATTATGACGTGCTCGATCGCCATCCTCCACATGCTTCCCTGTCATGTCGTACCCTGTAATCCTGGTGTTCCACACCTTCTCCAACCTAAAACAATTAGGCTCGTAGGTGATCACTAAGCTAGTTTGAATATTTTGGAGTCGCCTGTTTGATGATTCTTGTGATGTAATCTAAGGAGACATGAGTAGCTTCTAATGAAAAGAGACGACGATATAGATTTGACTATTATCTATCATAAGCCTATTGAATGTTTCACGATACAAAACTGCATGCGATGAAACCCGTGACAGTCTTGAATGCATGACTCAAACAAACACCTCAAGATTGCTCTCTACCGAGATAGAATCCAATGCAACTCCACGAAATGCATCTTAGCTTACGTCTGCATGGAGCTGCTGCTTCCCACGCCAATCCAAATACTCTGAGACTTCCATCAGTTGAATGGGACATGTGAAGGCCACTCACACTCTTGTAGCCTTTGGGACCAACACCAAACACCTAGGCACCCTCAGAATCCGCCATTTCTTGAACCTGCAAAAGGTTTGTTCTATGTTTAGGATCATTACACAAGGAAGTCACCATAACAACTGCGTGAAAAGTTCAAGCTTAGATTACTGTTTTACAGGTACCAGTGGTTTGGCGTCTGATTCGTGGAATAAACAACGAAGTCATACACACCTCAAAATAAGAGAAGATGATTAGTTTAAGAGCATAACATTCTTATATAAACCTCTCTTACTGGGTGTGATGATGAAAACGAGGTGAATCTATCTCAAATCCAATGCATCCGGAATTGTTTTGGAGTTTAGACTTTATCTTTTGGCGAAATAAAAGGAGCACTCATAACCTTCGAAGTAAGCTCTACAAAAGCTCCCGAGTCTGAGAATGAAGCTAAGGGATACCACAGAATGGGGAATAAGGAAGGTGCCAAAGGAATCAATGGAGAGGCTTTGTCGAGCTCCTCATGGTGTTGGAAGAAGAGGGGACACGACTCGATGCGAGGGAGAGACGTACTCACACGTGATGGGTGCAAAAGACTGGTTTTGTGCATCAAAAGATGGATTAAAGAAAGGAATACAAGTGGCCATCATGAGGGCTTGTGAGAGCTGGATGGCACGTGCGGAGAGGTCAGAGCCCACATGGGCACGAGTGAAGTATATGTTCATGGCAGCGAGTGGGGGGCTTGAGGAGTATGTCGCACGTGCCATGTCAAAGTATGTGTAATTAATTGTTTCCATCTCTATGTTTTTAAAAAAGTTATATTTAAATATACAAGAATAAAATATTTAACTCAATTATTTTAATAAAATCTTTCTCTTTTTTTTAATTTTTAATTTTATAAAATTATCTCTTTAACTTTGTATAGGGATCTCAATGTTTTATTTTCGTAAATCCCAATGTAATTTTTAAAAATATAAGAATTGAGATATTAAAAATAGTTAATTATAAGAGATAATATATAATTAACCATAGAGAAAGACTAAAAATGAACTTAATTTGATTAGAAGTGATCATAATGATGTGAGACTCCTAATACTAGTTTTTTTTTTTTTTGGTTGTGCATTTTGGTGCTTGTGTCTATTTAACTTAAATGACATATTATTTTTTTTATTTTCACTGTGGAACTAAATTAGGGTGTCATAATGATATATCCATCTAATTATATATATAATGTGCATCCTTTTGATTTCCGTGTGAAACTAAATTAGGGTGTCATAATGTCCTTGCAATGTTGTGGGAAACAGAGTAAACTTCATTGTATCATTTGTAAATGATATATGCAGTAGACTCCATTGGCATTCTTAATCATGTCAAAACATATGATTCCATTTATACGTTGCAACACATTCAAAAATCAAATTTCTACTCCAATATGCCTATTTCAACTATGTGTCTGTTTTCTTAGAAGGATTTGATAACAACAAACATTTAAACAGATAAGAATTACTAGAAATTCAAAGAATTAAATTAAAAAGTGGTTTTATATATGGCCAAAATCAAAATTTGCACTTCCCTTCATTATTTTTGATAGATTGGTTCAAAATTATGGAGCTAGACAACTCCAAGCTTATAGTAATAATCAAATAAATGAAATTGATTATACCAACTTATATTTTTAAAAAAATATAATTCTTATAGATGCAAGGAATATTCTAAGTAGCATGAAATATCTTAAAAGAATATTATTTGTCTAATAGATTTATTCAATATCAAAATTTACTAAATCTTTTGATAACAATGATTATCTATAGAGGGTCAGTCTCCTCGTAATATCTGTCTAAAGTGATAAAAATTAAAATAATTATACAACAAATAAATAGCTTTTATTGTCGAATGCTTGGTGGCAGAAATATCGAAGAAGAATTTCCTAAGATAAATTTATTAATTTGGAAGCTGCAGAGTCTAATTGCCACTAACAAGTTAATTTTCATGGCACCATTGCATCTCATCTTTATCCATATGACACCTGCATGCCTTTCCATCTTGTATGTAAATAAAATTGACTAATTTAATTTATTTTAATTAAATATTTTGATCATGATCATGATTATATTTTAATTGCTCGATTAGATTTAGATATGATGAATCAAGTTTTTATCGATTTGGGAAGAGCCAAATTTTGATTAATTTTTAATTTTAATTAATTTTAATTTGATGGGCCTAATCAAATATATGGTTTATGAGCCCAATCTAAATAACTCATTTCTAGGCTTACCCAATTAAATGAGATTGACTAGTCTAAGGATTCCATAAAAAAATTAATAAATTATAAATTATAATTTTTTATAATTTTCTCATATGACATATTGATAAAATTTTATATGATATAGACTTATATAAATTAACATGAACGATTCATAGAAAAAATAAAAGAAATATAAAATTTGGTATGCAAATTTAGGAAATCGATTTATGACCTTAAACAAGTCTCTAGATAATTGTGTATAAAATTTTATATATCATTATTTTATTCAGATTTAAAAAAATACTATTGATTGTTAGCTTATTATATTAGTTTATATGACGATAATATTTTTCTTGCCAAATATTAGTTTATTATACTGAATTATGAAATTTTTCACTAAGAATTTTAATACAGTTGAAGAATTTTAATACAGTTGATATGAATGAGACATCTTATGTTATTGACACTAAGATATTTAGGGATAGATATCAAGGATTACTGGGATCATCTCAGAAAGTATATATTGATCGAGGCTTAAAGAGATTTAATATATAGTTTTGTTCAGCAAATGACGAAAGTAAAAAAAATTTAGTTACAACAAGTGTTTTTTTAAATGACTTAAAAAAATAAAAAATATATTCTTTATGTATGCACAATTGGAAGTCTATTATATTTTGAAGCCTATACCAGATCGTATATTAATTTTATAGTTAGAATAGCGAGTATATATTAAAGTTACTCATGAATAAAATATTAAATTGCTACAAGAAAATTGATAAGATATCTAAAAATAATAAATGATTATATGTGCTCATATATAAAATTTAATTAGACTTTGTAAATTATCTCAATAGTAGAAAGTCTATTTTATATTTATATTAGTTACGATGATAATTTATAGAAAAAAGTAAAATAATATATTAATATATTATTAATAATATAAGCTAATTTTATGACATACTTTGAGACCACTAATCAAGTTTTATGACTGTGAAATTTTATCTCAAGACTTGATGTGCTCAAACTTAATTGCCAAGTCGCTAAGGATACTTTGTGACATATTACAATAGTTTTTCTTTAAGAATAATAAGTACTTTAGTAGTTTTATGCATTATGATAAAAAGTATTTGATAGTTAGATAAATAATTTAAAAATAATTAATATCAATTAAGAACTTAAGTTTCATTGTATTGATTGTTGATCTATTCACTAAAATCTTATACCGAAGTATTTGAAGGAAAATATTTTTATGATTTGATTTATGAGCAAATCATAAAAAATATGATGATGCATATTTTAGTAGATGTTATAATTATTATTCTTATTTACGTAATCAAAGTTATTTATTTCTATTATCATAATCACACATACAAATATATTATAAATATGATTTGATTTTTTGATCAAGTAAGAAAATGCTAGAGTATATGGTCCTATCTAATTAGGTAAGATATATTATAGATATGATTTGATTTTGATTATAATTATCGACTAATAGAAATAAAGTCTACTTACGATAATTTTTTTTAGGATATGACCTTGATACGGATTCTCTTAATTACCATTATAGACTTATAAAAGGTCACAACATCCAAAAGATAAAATAATCAGTTATTAAGATATTATAAATCTTTTTTAATCTCAGCTTAATCTGTATTTCATTACTCATAATGGTCCTATGAATGATAGGAAGAAGCGAGAAAGAAGTCTACTTCTTTTTGCTATTATAACTTTCAAATATGATAGATAGTACATTTACAAATCAAATGAATACTTTATGAATAATATCAAAAAATATACATTGTAAATTTGATATATTGTTATTTGATTTCAGTTTCTAACATTAAATTTTTTTATATAACAATAGTATAATCATGATTTTTATACTTAATATATTAATATCTTAGCTTACTTCATTAATCTTGATTTAACTCAAGCTCTACCATCCGCGTCACTCAGATGATCATCAGATTATCTAACAAGCTTAAGATGTAATGAAACAATTCCAACATATATGAATTATAATTTCTTTTAAAAGTACCTATACATATATGTATATAATATAATTATTGCATTTGCTCAATAGTTGTCAAATCAACACTGTTTGATTCATAATCTACTACGGAGGTCTGCAACCACTAATTAATCAAGCTGATTGATCTCTTTGTTCGGTGTTAATTATGCAAATGAGATATAGTTGTCCATCTTTTTCAGCACCAATTCTCAATCAAGTTGTGACTATATATTTGACAACATACGTAACTGAATTCTCTTCTTTCTCCGAAAGAAACTTAAGAGTCGTTCTCTATCCACATCGTTTCATGATACACACAAGTGAATCTTATCTCAATGAAAGATATGCTTTACTTAGTAAGCATACACCAATAGATTTAACTAAAAAAAGTTTGATTGGATTATGTGATTTATCTTATATTTTTTTTATTTAATCTTTTGATTCAATTATATATTAATAGAAAAAAATATTTATCTAATCATGACTTGACACCTGATAACATGGTCAGGAAAAGACAAAGGGTTTAGTAAATTGTGTAAATATCAGTCCTATACCATAGAATATTTATTTCGCTAAAAAAGTCTACAAGGATATTATAATCAAAATAAATTACTATCTATTTAAAATTCTCGTTTTCTATTTCAAGTCTGATTAGAGCATATGAGGGATCGCATTGGTATCCCCACTCAACCTCAGTCTTTGTGCAACTCAGCATCCGATCGAGTTCTTAAGATTTTCTTAGCTCCGCTCAAGGTCCTTGCGCACGTAAATTTAAATCAAATTAAGTTGATTTAGACATCACTCACATCCACCACGACATGTATAAATATGTATTTAATTGTAAATGTTTGGTGTACAGGTTGTGTTTTATCGTAAAATGATGGTTGGATTGAGTCCTCGTGTTCGACTTCAATGGGCATGAATCATCAACGTGATTCGTGGCTTTTCAGTGAACCAGAAAAATCTGATCTTAGGGGAAATACAATGTCACAAACATGTAAGGAAACTGAATTAGGGACGGCCAATGGGTCGATCTTTGTGGTTGCTTTCAGCCGAATCATCATGAGACTTTTTTGGTGGCGAAATATTCATGAAGACTACAACAACGGCCCTACTAAGAAGAAGAAGAAGAAGAAGAAGAAGAAGAAGTCGTCAGGTACCGAATGATAGAAAATGAAATGACAGCAAGTGAGAAAGTTACATGCGATGGACTGATCCCCAAAAAGTGAAGGGATCATAAATGCACACAAAGGTCCCACGACATGCGTATGCTACTCGAACTCTTGAGAGATCATTAATAGTGGTAGTTTTTGGATACACATGCATGTCGACATTATTTAGTAAAGAGAAGAATGAGAGGAAAAAGGATTTTTGCTGTGGAATAATCCAAGTTGCTCTCGTTATTTGATCATATGAAAGGTGTCTTCGAGGCAAGTAGTGAGTCACAAAGTTAGAAAAGGAAATAATCTGATGTTTTGTTTGATTTGTTCCTCGTAATAGTCGATTCTAATGAACGAGAGAGTGTCTGCGTTGATGCAATGAATGCCACTCGAAGAGTATGGCGATAGTCGCATGACTTTTTGCCGACGACGGAGCAAATAAGGGAACCAAAATGAGCCAAGTAGACATAGCAAATCCATCACGTAAACCAAACCATGCGACTCATACTTCAGATCATGCCACAGCGTACGTGTACGTATACCATGCATCTCTGTAGCGGATGCAGATCTTGGCATGAGATGGCAGCTAACATGACCCCGTGTGTGTGTGTGCGTGTGCTGCTTCTCTACGCTCTCAACCATGCACAAGCAGTAGTAGTAACTTCCCGATGCCGTCCTGGCGTTCGAGACGGACAACGACGCGAACCAAAACGCTGCCGGATGCAGTAATGGCGCCGCGACAGCCACGGGCCCGCGAGAAGGGCGCCTGATGGAAAGGTGACAACGCACGACGAGTTTCTGGGAGGTGTTCTGGAGAAGAGAAGCCATCAGGGCGGTGGAGACTGCAACGAGCGAGAGAGAGAAGCCCTACCAATCAGGGAACAGTGGAAAATTCTGGTGGCCGGGGGTTTAGGTCGGACGTCTACGTCTCCATTGCTCCGACTCTTATCACCCCCATGACTTTGTAATCAAACGCACCATCACAAAAGCAATCACGTATTGCCATCCAAAGCGTAGAAGCGTATACCCTTCTCGTGAGCAGGACCAGTCGTCGATCGGAATCGTCGTAACTCGTGTAGTTACCGTCCGCCAATTCGTCGGAATCGTCGTGACGTGTTACCTAAATCGTGACTTGAGTCGAGCCTTTCGGGGCAACCCGAGGCATCAGTCCACGCCACCCCCAGGGTCGTGCACCGAGTCGTATCACTCATACATGACTTGTTGGGAGAAGTGACTAAGATTTCCAACCTTTTGTTTTTTTCTTTTTATTAGATTTTACTGCAGAAAGATAGGATATATATATATATTCTCCATCCTCGGAACAATACAAATCCTCCTAAACAATACATAGTCCAAGTAAATGCTGCCATCATGTACATGGCTAGGGTTTAATGTATCCAACAGATATGGACCAGTTTTTGTCATGACTTCAATGGACTACATTCTCAATTTTGCCAGACACAAAGGTCCATTTGCAGTGTTTATTTGGTGAAGTGGCATTTCCAATTGCTGTTTCTGGCATCACCAAAGCTTATTGTGGGGTCAAATCTCTCTCTCTCTCTCTCTCTCTCTCTCTCTCTCTCTTTATTTGTTCTACTATCTTTCCCATAATTTCAATTTCTTTTTCATTTTTATTTTCTCTGGTTAGACAGAAAAAAAATCCCCAAAATTTTCTACACCTAAACCATAAGCAATATCGAAATAAACACACACATATATTGATGTTTATCATTTTTATTTACACAATTAAGATGTCATTTTAGTTTAAGAAAATAAGTCATAAGCTTTTTCACCTATACCAAAATATAATCCATTTGTCATTAAGGGTTTCGTTATGAATTTGCTACACACCGTTGATGGATCGATGTACCTTGGTTGATAGAGTCAGCACGGCCTGGTCCATTGGGCAATGTCGGGAGTCTCTGGTCGGTTGAGCCGGGTTTCGAGATCGATCGAACACTACTTTCAGTGTCGGCAGCGGGGATTTGACGAGCGCCTTCTAGTCTGCGATGACAGTTTTCTTGCAAAAAAGATCGTTGTCGGGTGTTTCCCGACTTTGGTCCCTCCGATGATCAAGTCAGTGGCGGGTTGGAGTTTCTTTTGTTTTTCTTTTTTCCTCCTTTGGCCGGGTCCCGATCATATGCTTTTATGCTACTGTGTTACTGTGTGAGGGTCGATCGTATACGGGCGTAGCGACCGATCCTTGGGAGGTGAGGCGGTACCTTCGTGCGATCGTCGTTCCGGGACGCACGAAACGGCGCCAGGCGACATCGTCTCGAGCTTTTCGGGATGGGACGTGTCGAGCCACACCTTGATACGGTCCTTGGCCCGACACGTGGGGGTGCCCCTCTTGCTTACCTGACTACAGTACTACGTGGTATCTCCTCATGACGTAGCCCGGACTCATAATGTACCTTATCACACGCAATTTTACATGAAATCATCACCACGATAGCGATCTCATCTAGAAACATATAAACCATTAATTCGGTAATGCCATCATTATCGTTTGACACGGGTCGAGCATGCCATTGATTTCCATGTCCCCCCTTTTGTCCTTTTCTCGATTAATTACCAACCATATATTTATAATTTACATGACCCCATTTAAAGCTAAACCGGTCTTTAACAAAATCTGTACTTCAGATATCCATCACAACAGGTGAGAATACTTTGTACAATCCACATAAAATTTTGATAGCCATGGTCTAATGTTAAGATAGGTAAAACGTAGAACAGGAGGACATTAAACTCGATGAGTGTCAAACACATAAATGGACGGCCTTTATGTGTATTAATAGATCATCAGTTGGTTGTCATGAGGTACTTTGACTGGACATGCACCGCAAGATATAATTTATTTACCATGTGACCGTCGTGCGCCAATCAGTAAGACCACAATAGATTCGGTGCGGTGTTGCAGGAGCAGCGTCCTGACGCTCAGGGAAGGAGTTGTATATATTCATCTATCCATACTTGTCACACAGAGAGAGAGAGAGAGAGAGAGAGAGAGAGAGAGACAGAAAGAGAGAGGGTGAAGGAGGTGACAGACATATGGTGGCAAAGGAGAAAGAGTAGCAACGTGGTGGACTGGAAGTCCGTGAGGCTCGTACGGCGCGAAGGCTCGCGCCACGACAACCCTCGGAGACACGATGCACACGTGGTCATCTTCCCAACCTCGCGTTTCCTTCCCCTGCCCCATCACGCTCTCTCTCTCCCCCCTCCCTCTCAGTGTCTGCCTCGAACCCACTCCCACTTTTATTTTCCCTTACCATTTCTCTTTCTCTCTCTCATTCACGCGCCTGGGGCCAACTCGTATCCCCCCACACTGCAACAGTGCCCACCTTTCTACTATATGGAGTCCACACTGTGATCTCCCTCCTCGCTGCTGCTTGTCTCCGACTGTCGGGAGAGTCGAAGATGGGGAGAGCCCCATGCTGTGAGAAGGTAGGGCTGAAGAAGGGGAGATGGACAGCGGAGGAGGACGAGATCCTGGCCAAGTACATTGCTGCCAATGGAGAAGGGTCTTGGAGGTCACTGCCCAAGAATGCAGGTAAACGGAGCTCTACTGCACTTCTTCCTCCTTCGACATGAGATGGTGTCTGATCTGCTGCTTGTTTCTTGTCCATGGGGATCTGAAGGGCTGTTGAGGTGTGGGAAGAGCTGCAGGCTCAGGTGGATAAACTACCTCAGATCGGACCTGAAGAGAGGTAACATCACCAAAGAGGAGGAGGCGGTCATCATCAAGCTGCACGCCACACTCGGAAACAGGTAAACCATTTCTAGTCCTTTTGATCTCCCAACTGCAGCTCCGTTCATCATCATCTTGTCATTTTGCATTAAGTGCTTCATGATGTTCTCGGTGCCGTCAGACGCATAGGAATCGGAAAGCGAGCGTCGCGGACCCCGTGTAGTCGCTTTGTCTCTGCAAAGTAGCGTTGACCGATTCCATATTTTGGACACTGGCAAATGGTACCGCACATTGATTCAGACAGCGCGTGGTTCACATGATGATTATTTTTCTTTACCATGAGTTCGAAATAGATTTGAGATTGCGCACCGATCCGTGGTGTGCACACGGAGTGTTCTTCTTCGTCTGCCTCTGTCTTCCTCCTTTTTCGTGCGTTCGCCTGTGCTCTCACATGCGCATAGCACTTTGCTCGCCTCGTGTCCCCGGGTGGGTGGGTGGGGCCCGCCGTGGTGTACTCGTGATACGCGTGGGTGTATCTCCGGTACCACCCATACGCTTTGTTGGGTAAACGAAAGAACGACATGGTCCCTTCACCACCGTCTACCCAGTCTCGTACCTCTTGATTCTGTTGATCCGTACAAGCAAAGACGAAGTAAAATGTGTTCAGGTGGCAGCGAAGGGACCACAGAACTAACTATAGGTACGCTTACAAATTATGCTCTTAATTAGATATGACGACGCCTCTTCACTTAGCCTTCTCAATGATAAAGAGAATATTATTTTCTTGTCGAAGCAGGCATCGACTTCATTGTGCTTAACCACGGTTTAAATTAAGACGTCCGGTTGAGCTAATTAATTAGGTCAACATGAAGCAAAGTACGATGACAGCGAAAATTAACCGTCGAAATATAACCTGATGCAAGTAATTACTGCTGTGACGTGATGTTTATCATCGAGGGAAAGCTCGCCCATTGAATGTGACTGCATTAAATCTGACCCGTAACGATGGCTGGTGCGTCCATGAAACCTTTGCTTGTGTCATTGCAGGTGGTCGGTCATAGCTGGTCATCTCCCCGGACGAACGGACAACGAGATCAAGAACTATTGGAACTCACACCTCAGCCGGAGGATCGACAGCTTCCGGAGGCTGGGGCTGGACGGCGGCGATGCCGCAGTCCTGGACCTCAGCACGCTCCCTGGCGCGGGCAAGCGGCGGGGCGGCCGGACGAGCCGGTCGGCTGCGAGGAAGAACAACATCGGTGGTGCTGTCGGAAGAGGGCAGCAGCAGCAGCAAGGCGTGGTTGTGAGTCCCCCGGTTTCGTTGGTGCAGAGTGACCACAGCGTGGTTTTGGATCCCGATCAGAACCAAGCCAGCAGTGTTACCAACGACGGGCTTGTGGATGCCTACGAGGAGATGGCGAGCGAGCTCCTCTGCTGCACGAGCCCCATGGACGGTCGGCTCTGGGGCACAGATGCTGAGATGGAGCACGTACTGCTCGGTCCAGGAGAGGAGAGCATGGCCGGGCGGGGTTGGTTCCATGAGGGGGACAGCGGGGTCATGACCTCAAGTGAGGAGAGAGGGGGTCTGGTCACTGTGACAAGTGGGCCGGAGGAAGGTGGCGCCACAGGCTTGGGTGTGGAGACGGGACCTGAGTTGGTGACCAAAGGTGAGGAGGAGGTGGGCTCATCTTCATCCCAAGCGGAGAAGCTCTTGGACTGGGACTTGGAGGACATGGAGGCCGAGCTATGGGATGAAGCAGGGGATATGTGGTGGCACAGTGAGCACCAGGACTTGGGCCTGCATGGATTCGACGACGGTGGATACCAAGAGGAGCCATTGGATAGCTGGCTCATCTTCTCAGGCACTTCACTTGGTGATGTCACTGCTCTTGGGTGGTAGAAAGCGCCATGGTAGGAACCCATGTACAGGCAAAAGAAACCTGAGGGCTTGTGGCATGCATGTAGGTGTGCCATAAATAATACTTATTGTCCTGTACCTATTTAGACAGGATCTCTGTGGCTTGTCCTTCTGGGATTCCTTCCTCCTTTCCAAATAAGAAAAGAGGCTCAGAACCTTGCAAATCTTCATGAGACTAGACCGTAACAATCCTCTTGTGTGCAAAAGTTGCCTTTTGTTCTGTTTTCTAGATTTTATTCTCAGGTACCAACCAGTTTCTTCTTGCTAACAGACACATGAAGTTCCAAGATAGTATGCTTTCAATAAGCAGCTAATACATTAAAAAAAAGTTCAAAGAAAAATCTCTTCTCTGTAATCTGTTCAGCTTAATCTGCATTGAGTTGATCAGTGTTTTTGCTTCCTGATCTTTACAGAGCACATTATATGCATAGAGCTTTTGGATGAAGTAACTTATCCCTCTTTCAAAGTGATCTAACAATGATCGACTTTTTCTTTGAGCAAGAAAACCCATCAATAATGTTGGCATGTCTGTCAAATTAGCAGAATTCAAATGTATACAACTGCTGGCCAGATTAATGGTATATAAAACATCAAGAAGTACTATAAGTGGACAGAAGAGGAAAAAAAAAAAAGGATCAGTGTTTCGACTAAAGCATAGATAGGACTTAAGTGTTGTCTCCTTTTCGATACTTCTGGTGCATGTAAGTTTAACAGGACTCGATTAATCGATGATGAATCTGGAGGGAGAAATAGAGCTGTCCAGTGGAGAGAATCTTTCTCTCGGAAAAGCCTGCATACCATAGCAGGCACAGAACCCAATAATTTAGGCTGTGTGGTTGGCTTTTAGCTATTAAAGATTTGCTGGTCTTTTGGCTAAAGACACTTCAATAGTGACAAGGAGAAGCAGGGCAAAAAGCTTTCTCTTTCTTTGGTTCCCATGGCCTGGACATGCAACAGCTGAATACTCTCGTTGAGCGAGTCACGATTGTAATGAATCATGCAACATGTAACTCAAGTTGCAATATAAATGCCAACGTACTCCGTTTATAAAGATATAACTGCGTTCATCGATCACAGTAGAAAAAGGAATAGAGAGAGAAAGAGTCGTCTTTCCTTCCTCTGTTTTCTTGTCCTTTTGATCCTGTCGCTGCGACAAAAATGAGAAGGGTTTCTTGTAGAACGAGACAACGAGGGCGACGAACGAAAGAAACGTGCCGGAGACGCTCAGCTTACAGCAGCTGATCTCTTCCTCACATCTCCTTAGTCTTGCACAGCAGCGAAAGCAGCATCATCTGCAGCCCTCACCAACCTCTCACTGGATCTCTCTTTCTATCTCTGTACTAAAAATACAGTGAGAGGGGCTGCAGATGATGCCGCTTTCGCTGCTGTGCAAGACCAAGGAGATGTGAGGAAGAGATCAGCTGCTGTGAATATGATGGGCAGAAGAAGGACATCATTTTCGCATGCTTTGGGGAATTCCTGCGAATGCATTTAGGAGTTGGACGTCCTGAGTAGCTGAGTCACACTTAGAAGAGGAGCAGAGATTGTTCTGATTGAGCTTTCTACAGTTGAATTATGACTCCTAATTTTTGTTTATCTAAGATTGAAAAAAAGACTGATTCAGATAAATTGATTTAAGATTTCTAATCGATGTTGCATCTGAGAAATCATGTATTAGATAAAGAGATGAGGCAGAGACTTAAGTCTCATATTTAAATTGCCTGATCAATTTGTCTTAGGCGATTAGATGTCACTAATAGGCAAATGAAAGGTTACTCCAATGATCATAGTAATTTGTGTACATACTTTTGTGTGATTATTTGGTCAGTTTATGCATTTATTATGTACAATATATTATCCTGGTAATAATGTTTCTTTTTGCATTGTATCCTTATTCACTTCCATTCTAACCCTGCCTACAGATGTTTTTTACTTCAGAGATTGAATCATAAGTAAATTTTACCTCCACAAACAACATAACCTATCACCCCAGCAGATGAAGGAATCACTTTCTCATGGGAGATCTATCTTAATTTCTTTCATAGAGAAAACTGGAGCATAAGCAAAGTCTACTTCCAGGACCAGATTAAAGACATCAAACAAGCCACAAGACACAGGTCATTTCAGGGATATGTGCAACAATTGTTAGGGTTTCAATTGCAAAATTTATGGAACAATGGGGAATGCAGCTGAGTGTGTTTTCAATAACTTCATTATGCAGTGAAGATTGACTGTGAGGCTACAAGCAACCAAAGTTGGTTATCAGTAGACAAACATTGACAAGAAACTTGTGCTTGATGTTGCAATCACCAGCTGCTATGTAGTGATTTCATATTTATCCTGTTTGACTTCATGTCAGTGAAGGAACTGCATAGAACTGGTTTCTTGGCCTTTGATATCCTTCCTGAGAAAGAACACCATACTTATTTGCCGCTCCCTTACAGATGGAAATCTTCTAAAAAGATTTTAACCAAGGATATTGAAAAGAGGGTAGCTATTTAGATCAGTGAAAAGTTTGCTAACTTCTATACATCTTTTGACTGAAGACCATTATCTCCAATGTCATCAATAAGAAATAAGTAGATTGAAAATAAATGTGCCAATGACTAGTAAAAAGTAAGCCATCTGGAAATGTGACCAAATACTTCTAACTTGCATACTTTCAGAGATGAGGGCAACAGAGAGTAATTGCTCATCAAACCAAAAATTATTTGTATGAGAAATAAAGAAGAAATTGATCTGCTTACAAGGAGACATCCTGGAACTCATCCCTAAAAAAGGAAGCAGGTTTCCAGGGTTCCTCAGATTTAGTTGAGTCCACAATTTGTTCAATATCAAATTTGGAGCACTTGCCTCATGAGATTTCAAATATGAGGATATCAGAAAGCTAATCAACCTATGCATCATTTCAGTAGGTTTCTTCCACTTTGTGATCTAAATGTAGATTAGCTTAGACATATCTTTCAAGAAACAACATAGGACACATTAACAGTTACCATCAGATCTTTTCCCTACTTATCCAAGGAAATCCCACAATCTTGTCTTAGCTCAAAGGTCCTCAGATCACAGTATTACTACAATAGAGCTCTTTAAGTTGATGAGATCATTTAATCAACCAAATTTGATGACATCTAATGCTCCAGATCATTAAGGTTGTGGAACTCTATTGAAGCCCCCTAACTTTAAAAAAAGACATGATTTTGATTGTTTGAAAACATGTTTCAATTTTAACATCAGAAAGCAAGAAGCAAATGGTGATATCATCAGATGCAGCTATCAATTTTAAAATACTCCAAGAAAATTGAAACTTTAGACAACATTGTTAAAAGTTTAAAAGTTCGCTTACATTAGATCTTCAATTACTCGATATAATACCATTAAGCTAATAGATTGCTGTTAATAGTCTTTGATTAGATGAGAGTTTTAAGGAACACAAAGAATAATATGTAATAAACACATAATTATATGGTTTGATTCCAAATAAAAGTGCCAACCAAAAACAGCTCCATTGTATATAGACATATAAAGATAGAAGTTACCACAGGCGCCATTCCCTCCCCCGCCGCCTCTCTCACCACCCGTGGATGAGCTCCGAGCACTTGATCTTGATCCACCGGAACCCCTTGCGGATCGACGACTTCACCTTGCCCTCCACCGCGTACGCCTTGTACTTTGCCACCCTCCGTCGCCGCTTCATCTCCGGATCGCCGAAGCACCACGCGCTCGACCTCGACGACGACGACGAGACGCCGCGCCGGGGCGGGGCGAAAGGCGGATCGGGGGACCGGCGCCGAGATGAGGGTACGTTACCCTTCACTCTCTCCAGACTGCGGTCGTCAGCGCCAGAGCCGGCGCCGTAGGCCGGGAACTCGTTGCGGTAGCCGCCGTCGTAGGGACGTCGGCCGCCGTCGGAGTCGGAATACCGGAGCTCGTTCCGGTACCTCCGGTCGAAGTCGCCCATCTCCTGTCGGAGAGGAGGCGAGAGGGGAAGCGATGAAGCGCTTTAGAGAGAGGGAGGAGGCGATAGGGGAGGTTGGAGATTTGGTTCAAAAATGCTATACTTGAGAGACAGAGGTGGCGATGACTATTTATAGCTCCTCCGTTGAACGGTGGGGAAAGGAGTTAGTTTCTTTTATTTTTTTGTTAGTCGTAATGCATTTAAATTTGGGAGATTTTCGAAAAAAAATCCCTTTTTTATTTTCCAGAAGATGTCTTTGTTTTCTTTGTTTTTTTCTTTTGTATTTTCTTCCCCACCCAATGTCGCCGCCCCCACTTCCATGGTAAGGTCCATCCTCTCTAAGTTGCACCCTTTCGAATTTGTCGTGCTCATCGTCTCTACGCGACATCTTTCTCGCTTATTCTATTTGTCGTATATACTCTCGCAATATCAAGAGCAAGATCTTTATGTGTCATTTTTCGTCCACCATCTTTGCCCCATGAAGCAACACAAACGGGTGTTATACAGTGACAACGAGACCTTATGGTGGGAATAAAGGATGGAGGCAACAGGGAAAAAAATTAAAAAAAAAGTTTTTTTTTCAAGAAAATCACTTATTAATTTTTTAAAATTTTTTACATTTATTAAATGATTCATTATTCAATGCTAAATAGCTTTTATGTATTTTTATTTATTTGTCTTTTTGTGTATAAATATATATATAACATTATTTCTTTCAGTAATTTGTGGATATATTTTGTAGGATTTGTTTGAAAAGGAATATTGATGAAAACTAATAATAATATGATTGTCAATGATGAAATAAGATTCATACAAATTCAGGAATTACATAAACAATGCTAATTTTGTGGAAAGACAATTTTTATCAATTGTTTTTTTTTTCTAGCACATAAGATTTACCTTATCTGTCATAATTTCTCCATCCATTAAGGCGAATTCACCTGATGATATGGTGCTGCACTAAGTACCCTATTACTAAGTGGATTCAGACGTGAGATCTATCAATTCTATAATGTGACACTAGCCATAAGCATGGAATGCTAATTCTGTTATTTCAATGTTCACTAAATCATTATTATTTCATAAGAATAAACATAAAACCTGTCAACTTCAATAACGAGGAAGCAAATCCAAATTGATGGGCAGATATCTCCACCATCTGAATCATTTCAAGATGGTTGAGAAGTAATGTGACAAAGGAATCGTAAGACTCATCTATCTTGTGGATATTTTGGAGGACGAGACCACATGTTGATTAGAGAAGATAC